TAGGGTTAACTTGTTTATGGTTACAAAATAATAATCTCTAGGCAACTTTCTCTTGTATATAAATATACTGAAGCGTCCAAATATTAATAGCGGGGTACCGATTTACACCGAAAAGACAAAGATTTAGTTTGTCAGCAAGATTAATTTCAAATCTTCTATTTATCTGTTGCTTCACGGCATATGATTTACCAGCATATTAATAGTAGATTAGTACTACACCTACATCATTTTCATACAACATTTCTCATACAATATTATGTGACAAGATATGATTGGTTAATTTAAAGTTAAAATTAAACTTTCACTCAATCAAATCTTGCCACATAATGTTGTATGAAAAATATTATATGGGAATAATGTACGTATAGTATTATTCTTAATAGTAGGTATCGATTTACGCCGAAAAGACAGAGAATAAGTAGGTGGCTCCTCAGATTATATCACTACATCAGAATTTATCATAGCAATAATCATGTAGAAATTCATATAAACTGTATATGCTGTTAGTCTAATTTATCTAAGAGCTGACAGCATATATAGCTCAATCACACAAAAAAGGTATTATGTTTCAGGAAAAAAACGTAAAAAAGGTATTATATTAAATGGAGGAGCATGTTAAGATGCCTTTAGTCATATAGTAGCTCTACCCATATCGATTATTTACAAATTGAAAGCTATCCATTACAAAGATGAAGTTGTAAATTTCCATGAAATAGTTGGTCTTACATATATTTCTTCGGTACTTAATATAATTACAGTAATTTCATCGTGCTCTCACAGTATTGGAAGATATATTTCTATGAAAAGCATCTTTGTAATATCATAGATTAAATTACCCAGATCTGTCTTTTCTCAAGAAGATAAGTAAATCCTGACCAACTTATAAAAGGTAAAGCCAAACAGAGAAAAAAGGAAAGATGAAGCCCTGTAAATGAGCAAACATAGTAGTGATGAATTGAGATAACTATTAATGCCGTAATAATCAAGTAAGTTCTTTGAGTCAAAAAAGGTGAATGGAATGGAGAACCCAAACTAATCCGCTTACATAAAAAGGCCTTTAGTAATAGGTATTGCACACGCAATTTGTAAAATAAAATGAACCTATCTAGTCATGTAGGGTCTCTAAAATAAAAGCACAAAGAAACTATTTCACCAAATATCTGTGTCTTAGCCGTTGTGCATCGTGTAGTGGGTGGAATCACTTTATGCGCCAAAAGAGGCAAACAAAAGCAATAAAGAAACACTAGTGCTTTTATCTGCTACCAAAGTGAAAACTGAAAAAGAGCCAATCCACATAAAGCTACAAGGATCTTTCCAAAGAGACCTGGTTTGGTTTCCTTCTAAATCTCTAACTCCATTAATCGAAGCTATTTATAATTCATAACTGTGCTTGTTGTTTTCTATGTCTAAAAGCAACATGTATACATCTTCCAGAAAGATGATAAATATTAGGAGCAATTAATTCATTTACCAGTAGGAATTGATGAAAATAGCCAAATGTATATGCCAGAACCTAAAGTATCTCTAATTATAAGCCATGTTTTCGTGTTTGGAACAGAAACTCTTTCTCTTCATCAAAAGAAAAGCCTCATCTCATTATAATTATGCTTTCATGTTGATCTCTTTGCAGTGAAAAAAAGAAAAGTGATGTAGTATCATTCCAGGGCCCTAGCCCTAGAAGTATATCATTGATTACTATGGAGTGGATCAATCTTGTGGTGGGCCGTAGTTATCCGTCTTATAATCTCAGCCGCACGATACAATTTTCAAGTCATAACACTAACAATTAATTTTGACTCTTGAAGCAAATAAAAAGAACACAAGACATTAATTATTTGGAGAAATTAGTTGAGTACTAAGACATGTATACCCACGAAATTGATGTTAACTAAAGCTTTTTTCACCCAAATTGAGGTTCTTCCTGGTAGCAATTATTGACTTCTTTTTTATTTTTATTTTTCATTTCCTTTTGCCTTTTTGTTTTATTTTTCTCTTAGAACTTGGATCAAACGCTTAAAAGATCGATGAAAGGTTTTTCAGACTCTCCTTTCCGCTCCTGGTGAGTTGTTGCGTCAGTAGGTCTAATTAATAGTATTGAGTGATATTCCATGTAATGTTGCAATCAAGCAATGACCCACTTATGAGTCAATGAGGGCCATAAATTCAACTAGTGATTTCAAGTTTACTGATGCAGTAGCATTAAAGTTGAAAGCTTCAACTTTGGCCTCATCGGTTCAAAAATTGAATCTCAGACCTTTATGAATGTGACTAATTGGTGATGGTATGATTCATTCAATTTATGAATCCCCACTCTGAAGATGACTGAACATGAGCACCCATTGTAATCTCCATGCAAAATTAACAAGCGGGTTGTCTATGTTCACGGTGTCTGCAAGATGTTCAACATCATGCTAAGGCGTGAGGGGTATGATTCTAGTGGTCTTTAACATGATATGATTCTGATTGCCACCCAATATAGGCACTCTAAAATCTTAATCAAAGATGTTTTTATCATGTGAATTTGGTATAGCTGGGGTAGATTTCAAATGTTAAGGAAAGGTCAACTGACAAGCTTAATTAATTACTTAACGTACGTCACCTAACTTAATAAAACATTATTATTGCTAATTAATTATATGGATTAGCAATGCATGCTTGCTCTGACTCATAATTATGTTGGCGTGCAAAAGGATTTTGATGAGTTAAACCTTAACCAAATTCATTATAACTAAACTCATAAAAGCCAACATGACCTGGACAAATTTTGTCCTCCTTTCACAGTGTTACTAATTCACTTGGTATGTCAAAATATAACAAACCTTAAAGGACAATTTAATTGGTCTATATAGACATTAACATAATCATATTACAGCAGACTTCAGAGTTCAACATCAGGTTCCAATGTCTTCGCAGAATTTTAGATATGTTTAGTTCCCAGAATGATGAAAACTCATGTGAAAACAAGCAGCATACTGGCGCATACAGGATCTGAACCCAGTCGGTAGTACGAATTTGGACCACACTGTAGCTGTCTACTTGACAACCGCCCTTTGTTGCACATGTAATGTTGGTGTCATGACCAAATCGGAAAATTCCTGAAATAAAAGAATTGAATGATGGTTTTATTTTTCATTGGAGCCTGGAGGTATCATCTAATCTACTTTTTTCTGTATATAGAAAATAGAAGAATCATAGATAAAATAGTCTGTATATAGATAGTAGAATCATAGATAAAATAGAAGTCCACTCCTCTACTCCACTTTGAGTATAGGGATCTTTCAATTTTCGGCATAAAAAAGAATTCCCTTGTTTCTTTAAACTTTTTCTACTAAATTAAAATTTCTTCTATCAAAATAGTTATCATTAACATGATCAGGTTTAATTTGTAAGTAATGGTAATAGAAAAGGGTATTAATGGAGTTAAATGAGTCAACTCAAATCTCGACCAAAAGACTGGGTAGCAAGATTCTCTCGTGCAAGCGAAATCTATTTTAGCTGTCAGGCATGTACTTATGTGAACCAAAAAAGAACGAAGTTGTGCAAATGCAATTAATATCACAACTGGATTGGTCAGGGTGGTGTCCGACCGGTTCATGCAGGCCGGGTCAGACCCAGTTCTTCTTCTCGTCCTAGACTCACCTTCGTTATTATAATGTATCAACTATAAAAGCATTGCTGTCAGATAGAAACGCTTTTAAAGATCAAAAGGCTAATATATTCTTCCTTGGCAGGCCACTTTTTTGAATTTTAGAATGATGGTGGTCTCAATTGAGGGGGGGCAACATGTCTCTTAAAGCAAGGGACTCGATATCAAAACACAAACCACAATTGGGCAAATTTTGGCAGTGGGAACTTTAATGGAAACACTTCATTAAGCATATTAAGGGAACGATCTATACTTATATTTTCAAAGATATACACCCTTTGATTAAGAGAAACCAGTACATTAAACATCTTTTACTGCTTTATAATAGTCAGTAGAAAAGGCATAAAAAACAGTTGGATTCCTTCTGTTGGCTGCTACTTTTTCCATACCATGGTCCTCTACCAAAGTGGTGTATATTTTTATATACTCTTTCTCGAGCATTGGTGGACCCTAAACTAAAAGAGATCACTACTGATCATAAGAATAAGATTTTCTTCAACCAATTGATAAATAATATTGGATTGGTAGCTTTAATTAGCTTTCAAACATTGATTTTCTGTGTGGATCAATTGTAAGTTTAAATGGCCAATCAATGCCACTTTCAGTTATATATATATATATATATATATATATATATATATCCCCCACAAGGATTATTTATTGCATGGAATGGTTGAGACTTGAGATTGTTTACCGGAATTTGTGGTGCCCGTACGGCGAGTGGAGATTATTTATACAAAATAATGATAAAATAAGGTTGCACACTGCAAAGGAAAAAAAGAAGGTATAATGAAGCATATACGGACAATTAAGAGTATTATTAAAATAATAGAATAGATAATAATAAGTAGAAGGTGCTTACAGTATATTAAAATAGTGAAAATGTATTGAAAGGTGGGGGCTTGTGGACTGTGGTGGGGTTTAGGGGTTTGATTGGTGATGAGAACGCATGGGGTACCCACCTCCCCCTCGTGCGCGCTATCTATCAATGGCGGCTCTTCTTCTCTCTCAAATTATCATCATTAATGGTATGGTGCCAAAACAGAAGGTGTTGGATTATAATCTCAATATGTTTATAATTTCTTTTCTCGTTCTATCTGTTTGATGTATTTTACTGTGTGTAGTTTAGTAGTGCGCATTGGGGTTGTCCTGTCAGCAAATTAATAAGATGGGGTGGGAAATTGGGAATAGAGAAGAATGTGGGAGACAGCCGGAAACATTTGAAGGCCTAGTAACAGTTGACATAACGTCTTTCTATGGCCCTTGTGGGCCATACTCTCCACATCTACATTCCCTTTCCTCAACTATATTTATACCACCTCTTCGCTCCTTAATCTTCGACAACATCTCTCTTCTCTTCTCTTAGTTTTCTTATAGATTTTATCTTGCATTTTGTTTTTAAGTTTCTGCTTTTCTGTGTGTATTAGCTTCAATGGCTGATACAGGTGCTTCAGGTTCTGGGGGGAGAATGTGGTGTTCTGTGCCTGAAAGGCTCCAGCTGCACATGGCCATGTTGGCCTTGCAGTTTGGATATGCCGGGTTCCATGTGGTCTCTAGAGCTGCCCTTAATATGGGCATTAGTAAGCTTGTGTTCCCTGTTTATAGGAACGTCATCGCTTTGCTTCTTCTCCTTCCATTTGCATACTTCCTGGAAAAGTACATCTCTTACACTACTACTAAATCTTCATTTTTTATTATTAAATATTTCTTTAAATGATAGTAACGTTTCTAAAAATTCTTCTGTGTACAGGAAGGAGAGGCCAGCCATTACTCTCAATTTTCTCCTCCAGTTTTTCTTACTTGCGCTTGTTGGGTATTGATCAAACTTTAAACTCATAAAGTATACAACAAACAGCAGAAAAAAAAAACTAAGAATACCTGGATTCATCATTAGACTAGGATCATGACCTAAATTTATAATTAGAAAATAACCAAATCTTATTTTACATTCTTTTAACGTTACAGAATAACAGCAAACCAAGGTTTCTACTTGCTGGGCTTAGACAACACCTCACCCACGTTTGCCTCAGCAATCCAAAACTCCGTTCCTGCCATTACCTTTCTCATGGCCGCAATATTAAGGCATGTCCGCACTTATTTTTTTTTTTTTTTTTCTTCTTCTTCTTCTCTTTTTAAGTTACATTTATGTACGTGTATAAACATGCACATACAAGTATATGTATGTTTTATGTTGCCGAATGCCGATGCACCTCAAATCTTCGTAAATGTAAATGTTTTATGCTTTTATTTAAATTATTATTATTTTTTAATTTTCCAGGATAGAGAAAGTAAGACTAGACCGAAAAGATGGTATCGCAAAAGTGATTGGAACTGTCTGCTGTGTTGCCGGGGCCTCCGTGATCACTTTATACAAGGGTCCAACTATATACAGCCCAGCTCCTCCTCTAAACCAACCCACACCAATGTTTGTTTCGCTGGGAGATGCAAATGGCAAGAACTGGACCCTCGGTTGTATCTATCTCATTGGCCACTGCCTTTCCTGGTCCGGTTGGCTTGTGTTGCAAGCACCCGTTCTCAAGAAATACCCAGCTCGCCTTTCAGTCACCTCATATACGTGTTTCTTTGGACTAATTCAGTTCTTGATTATTGCTGCGATTTTTGAGAGAAACTCGCAGGCTTGGATTTTTCACAGTGGGGGAGAAGCTTTCACTATCCTCTATGCGGTCAGTAACTCGCACACTTCTTTGTTATTACTGAGTCACCTATTAATTTACTTTAGAACCTGGGCTGAGGGGTTGTTCATTGACACCAAAACCACATTTATTTTTGTTCAGAGCATAGATAAGAAAATTACGTTTTAATTCTAGCAATTCACCACCCACTGTTCTTTTGCACTCCTGCATATGGTTATAGTTTCATAACTTACAACTTAAAATCAAAACTTGAACTCAAGTTCCAGTCTTCCAGTGCAAGTTATAGCATCTTTTTTTATATATGCCAGTCAAGATCCATACACAAGCAATGTGGCTGGCCTATTGGTTTTTCCGTGTCGTTTAGTGCATGATTTTGAGATAGGCAGTGGGTCTAGTAGCTTGGTATCTTCTTTGTCAAATAATCAAAACGGCTTGTGAAGGGCCATGAATCCCGTGTACTTTGGGAAATGTTAGTCTGTCAAGTCTTTAATCAAAATAAAAGGGTAAGTTTGTCCCGTTTGGACATGTGCGAACCAGTTCTTTATGGGATAAGATATGTGATAATGTCTGAGATCACCTTATAATTTAATTTATTTCTTCTTGTAAACTTCTCTTTTAGTTGTACTGAGATATAACATAAAAGTTGTTATACAATAATGTAGTGAGATGGTGGGTACATTTGAAAACGAAATATGAGCGAAGTTTTATATGGAAATATGCAGGGAGTGGTGGCATCTGGAATTGCATTCGCTGTACAGATATGGTGCATTGACAGAGGGGGTCCTGTCTTCGTGGCTGTGTATCAACCTGTTCAGACTCTTGTTGTCGCCATTATGGCCTCCTTCGCTTTAGGCGAAGAATTCTACTTGGGAGGGTAAGTGGGTCCTTCTCCTTCTTCTTCCCTCTAAATTTAAAAAAAAAAAAAAAAAAAAATTATCAGTGTACTCATTACTCTAGATGTACATTAATCATGCACTGGCGGGTCCATATTCCATCCCAACCGTAGGATATATTAAGAAACCAACAGTATGTATGAGGGTTGAGATTGACATTTTTTACTGCATTATGCTCTTTGATTGATGTCCGGGTAATCTTTCGACGAAGTCCAACTGAACTGAACTATTCTATCTCCCAACCACTATAATGACAACCATCACAAGGGCTGTCGCTTGAGGTGACCTAAAGTTTAATTAAGGCCTGAAAAAGCTTGAGGGTGATCAGAATTTGAACGGTAAAAAGGAGAAAAATACAGTAAATATATTCCTGAATTATCTTTAATTTATCTGTTTGATGGTGTACAGGATCATTGGTGCGGTGCTGATCATAGTGGGATTGTACCTGGTTCTCTGGGGCAAAAGTGAAGAAAAGAAGTTTGCATCAAAAGAAAAGGTTATGATTCAGTCCACTCCAGAGCATGGTAACACAAGGACAACAACCCACATCAAGACGTCCCTTACCCAGCCACTTCTTCCTCCATCAACAGAAAATGTTTGATCACAAAGATCCTAACTTTAACCAAAGTACCTGTTGGCTGGAGAACAATTTTAAAATTGCACTATCCTATGTCAAAAAGCTTGTGTGTGTATGAAGTTGTTGTTGGTTTTTTCCTCTTTTTCTTTTTTTCCTTTTTTTTTTTTTTCTCAAATAGTGGAGAGAGATAAGGAAGGAGAGAGTTTTTCTAAGGGGATTAGTGAGATATGATGATCATGCTCAGGCATCATAATATCTGAAAATCCCTTATGCTTTTATATGTTAATTTTATGGTTTGATTTACGAGAAAAAAGATATGCAAATTAATTATGAAGCTAATGCTTAAGATCATTATGGTTTGAAGTGATTGGACCCACAATTGTACCCATGGCCATGGTTATCTGTATAGAGGTGGCCAAGCATGATGATTGTTTTATGTGCTATCATAACTACGCTTATTTTTAATTATTTCGGTCGGCTTCAATCATGCATACAGACTAATTCACAGTCTACAGATTTTGTAAAATCTTTTAAGTGTTTTATGCGCCACCATTAGTACTAGGAGACGTCAATATAGTCCACCAAGAGGAAAGGGGGCATGGGAGATGAATTAATCATTATACGAAAAAACTTAAGTGAGAAACATACAATATCAGATTTTGGTAGATTAATTTAACTCAAGATCAATTTAGTTTCACCCATTCAAAAGAGCACAAAAACGTCCCTGAGGAACCATGCTCCATATCTGTATATAAGATGATCGCAATCGCATGCTTTAATTTTAAGTATGTGAACTTTTCACTCATCCTAAATTTGAGTGGGAAAGTGGGACGGCAGCAGATTATTACAGTAGTTATTTGTTGGCAAGTGCATAGGATTATTTAGGAGGAAATATCCTAAGAAATGTCTCTATCCGGATGGTGACAATGGAGCCACACCCATCTAACTTTGATGCTAGCTAGAAGACAATAAAGAAACGACAACATTTTAGGTAAGATTAGGGTAATATTATTAACTGATCCCAAGATCTCATCGTTCTCGATAATATTTCTCATTTATTGCTTTTTAAAAAGCCATTTCTTATTTAATAAGATGCTTTTCTTCTTTAATGATGTGAATGGGATCCATATCATTCCGTCTTTGTCTTTTAATTTTCCTGTCTTGTCTTTTAGCCTTGTCCTCCAATTATGTTAAATTTTGAATTAATGGAAATTGAATATAACAATTACTTATTCTAAAATACGTGGGATGAAGTATGAAAAAGAGAACGAAAGATTTGACTGATAACATAATTCACAAATGAGCAATAGATGAAACTTATTTTAACTACATTCAAAGTTTAATGTACGTAACTCCGCAATATGACGCTTCGAAATTGGGTGTTCTCATCTTCTGTCTTCATTTGCGTTAATATTCCCACCCAATTCAAGCATTGATTCATCTGCTACACTTCCATTTTGCCTCCTCTTATAACGTGTTGCTATCCACAAGAACACAAAGAAAAGAACAATATCAATTCCAGCCACTATCCAGTAGAAATAATCAAGCCTGCTCTTATTAAGATCATTTCTTAGCCACCCAGTCTCTTGCCCACCAGTACTACGCACAATGATCTTAACAAGTGCTGTACTTAAAAAACTTCCAATTCCAAACTCACTAAGAAACAGTGCGCTACTAATACTCCTTGTCCCATCAGTGGCTTCATCGTAAAAAAACTCTAATTGACCCACGTAAGCGAAAACTTCTGCTGAACCAATTAGAAAGAACTGTGGAAATAACCAGAATACGCTCATCTTATGCTGCTCCTCAAATGAATCAACTCGCTTTTTTTCAACCAAAGCGGCGGAGACGAAAGAAAATATGCCCAAAAATAGGCCGACTCCAATGCGTTGTAAAGAAGTGAGGCCACGTTCGTGACCAGTGAACTTCCGAAGGAGCGGGACCATCCATTTTTGGTAGATGGGGATAATAATGAGGGCATCCAGGGCGGTGAAGATAGCGACGGAGCCAATAGGGATTGTGAAATGGGGTCCGAGGTTTCGGTCCGTCAGGCCGGCCTGGGTGAGGAAGAATGTTGATACTTGAGAGTATGAGAGGGCAAGACCTATTGTTGTTGCGCATACTGGGAGGACCCTGAGTAACGACTTGAATTCCTCTACTTGGGTGACTGTGCAAAGCTTCCAGCGGTTCCTGGTGTTAATATCTGATGGTGATGGGTCTGTTATAACAGCTGCTTTGTCGAAGAACCTGCAAATTAAAACAGTACTATGAATGCTTGCTCCAATAGCAAACAAATAAAAGAAAGAATTTTTATTGCTAATTGCCAACCTGTATTGTGCGGTATGAAAAAGTTTTTTAGCACCATGGATATCCGACTCCTTAGTTTTAACTTCGTAAAGCTCAGTTTCATGGCTTACCTTTACCCGTCTAAAGTGGTTCCTGAGAGAAGCCACCACAACCTGAAGAAACCTAGTGAAAGGACTTCCCATGGGTTTCTTGAAACGATAAAAAGGCATACCAGTGGCTAGAATGACAATGGAGAAGATCATCATCCCTGTAGGGATCCCAAAACCCCAAGCATAACCCAATCTATCCTGAATAAACGCCATCACTGTAACAGCTAAGACTGCACCCATGTTAATTGCTAAGAAAAACCAATTAAAGAATCCGGATTTGTCTTTGACTTCTTTTTCATCTGCCTCATCATACTGGTCAGCCCCAAAAGATGAGACGCATGGCTTGATACCACCGGTTCCAAGGGCTATGAGAGCCAGTGCACCGGTGAGAAACGCATTCTGCCCTGCATTTGGTTGTACGCATGGTCTTACCCTGCATGGGGGTGGACGTAGGCTGTCCATGGTAGACGAGATTGTTAACATCACCATTCCCTGCATCACCACCAAATTTCAAAGATAATTTTTTATGAAATTCGGCCCAAACATTAACGTTATGAGAGAGCACTATGATCCATTAAATTTTAAAAAGAAAATTATAATTTATAAAATTCGATTAAACTGAATCATATTAGTTCATCATTAACGTTATGAGGTGTAACTATTTTTTTTTTTTTTCCCTAATTTATAATTTAGAATGCAATTTGAATACTTACGATTGAATAGAGGCAAGAGAAAATAATAATTGTTCCAAATCGACCCAAGTAAGCATCAGCTAGAAATGCTCCAACAATTGTTAGAAGAAAAGCCGATCCGCTCCAATTAGTCATAAGAGTAGCAGCAGTTGGAAGACTTTGATTCATTTTAAGAACCAAGTATGCCGCCAAGCTCACCGCAATGGAGAAAAAAGCTAACCTCTCAGCTAGCTCATTCGCTATATATAACAAACGTACATCCATCATAATTACCATCACTCTTGTTATATATACAATATATATGTCAATAAAATGGTTAAAATTATGAAGTATTTGCAAAAGCTAACCTATGACGAAAGAAGAGGCTTTCCATCCTCCAGTTGTTCGCTTATCGGCAATTCTCCCTCGAAAATTAACAGACCCATTGCTTACCAGACTCGACGATGATAGAGCTCCTTCCTGCAAGAAACATATATCATAATTGATTATATTTATGCATGCATGCAAACAATTATACAGACAAATTAAATTAAACTGATCAGGGTATTATTTTAGAAATTCTTTAGTAATATTAATACAATACTAACCTTCATGATCGGCTTCTCGTCTGTTTCAAACTTATCCATGGCTAGCAGAAATGGACTTGTGTCCTACAGATTCTATTGTATTATGAGCCTGCTCTTCTCAAATGTGTAGGTGTGTATATATAGCAATAGCAGGATGGACGGACGTAGTCGTTGTCTTTTCTGCTTCAAATTTGACAGCTAATTTTTGCCGGCGAATATAGTTTGAAGATTCCTGAATTCTGTGAGATACAGATGCCACAACATGAAACAGTCATAAGATATAAACTCATTGGTTATAGGAACAAACTTAAATATAAGAAATAATAATAATAATAATAATAATAATTGGAAAGAAACTAGCCGATGGCCGACTTGCATTTGCTCATGCCTTACTCAACAGTTCGTTTGACTTGGCCAGGTCAAATCCTAATTTTTTTGACTTATTTAGTTGGCCAGTTCATAGAGTAAAAATTTAGAACAGCCTAGCTGGGAGGACAAAAAGGAGAAAATGACAAAAAAAACGGCAAGGTAATTGCATATGATTCGCACTTAGTTTTTCCGATTATTTATTGGCTGTGTTTGGGGAAAATGCTGAGAAATACTTGTTAAGAGATTTAGAGCTTTATCCCATCTTGGTACCTTATCTCTGTTCTATATTATCAAAGTAAACACATATCTATAGCGTTATAAGTAACAAGGATTTTAGGTTGAATGAACTACAATTAAGAAGTATAAAATCAGCTGGAGGGCTTGAAAACAACCTTTGCCATGGGAACTAATTTTATGTCTCATGGATCAGTCTTCTTTTTTGTTGGCTCTTCTTGTTTGAGCTTTGAGGCAAGTTTGGTATTTCAGCTGTGCATATTAATGGTAAATTAATCTCTTTGTCTTGAAACTTTTATCTGAAATATCCTAAAGTAAGGAATTCTTTTTCACTCATTTTTCAGTGAATTTAAACGGATTTGTCTGGTTTAGTGCCGGTTCTTGTTTGTTGCTTTAGAAACTTAGTGGTTTAGTTTATGAAAAAGCAAACAACTTTGGAGATAATCAGTTGTCCTGTTCTAAAAGTCTGGGGATATACGGGCTGACTAATATAGCCCAATTTAAAGTTAGCCTTTCTAGGCCCAATTAGTTGTAGGAGTGAACCAAAGGATTGTCATTGAGCCAACAATTTTCAACTGCTAATATTCCTGTTCATCAACAGATCAGTATTCTTGAATTGCAAGTCGGAGGCATTCACTTGTTCATTCTTAAGGGGATGAGACCACTAATTAATTCTTTTGTTTGGGTTTTTAAGCAAATTAAGAAAGTAATACCACATAATCCTCCTAAAATGATATTACTAATCAAGAACCAGCAATGACAAAAGCGATTTCAAAAGCTTTTCTTGATATACATTTCATAGATATTGTATAAGGCATATTTTGATCAAATTTTCAGAGAAGTTAAATGCCATTACTTACAAGGATTATTACTGTGACTTTCAAAAGTGCATATGAGATTCTTATACTTAAGAACAATTTGAATCAAGTGGACAGAAATTGTGCAAAAAAGTAATATAAATGACAATGTTTGGCTTTCATCTATGCATGATTTGCATACTAAATGGGTGGATCCGTGGATATATATGTTAATCATATTCATATTTTCAGCGAGAATGTCAAGTAGCCAACTAGTAGAAAACTCCCATACTTCTTCAAATATGTATATGTTTCTAAAAAGAATTATTTGGTTGATTGTATAACGAGATTCAACAGGGCACTTGCACATCAACATCACGAAGAGTTAGTTGCCGATATCATGCTGACATTAATGAAAAACCTGTATTAAAATTGCCACTGAAGATGGAGAAACAAATGGCTGAGATTTATACACGTAAAATATGTAGTCAAATTACAAAGTAAACTTTAAATGAATTGTATATTATTATTATTATTATTATTATTTATCATTGGCTATCCGGATTAGTTTATAGGTATGCCAACAAATCTTTGAGACCTATTAAACATCTTACAAATTTAATATGATAAGTAGTTTCAAGGTGGTTTGAACCCAGAAAATTAATAAAATGAACAAACTTTCTTGATCAGGAAGACCATTTTTGGGGTTAATTGTATTTAATTTTTTGTACAAGGTTTTACTCATATGTTTATTTACAGACTTCAGAAGGAACTGTGGAATTTATTTGAATTAATTAATGAACATGAAAAATAATCACTGCATGTATAAGAGTCGTGTGGGAAATGAAGACATGAACTTGTACATCGAAAAGGAGGAAAAGATAAGGATAAAAAGAAAGATGTTGTCATGGACATGGTAACGTTGGACATCACATGACAACAGAAATTGTCCACCGCTACATGGTAGGTCAAACAAATATTGTGTATTTATTAAAATTTTTTTTTTTTTCGTGGTACAATTATTTATTTTCATTTTCTATGGATCTTCCGAAAGCAATTTTGATAACCCAAGTCTATCTCGGATTCATGAAGATATAGTTACTATTCAACTTCCACCGGTATAATTTATATATCATATTGTAGGTGCATATTTTTTACATATTAAATTATGAAAGAAGTTCAAGTATTTTACAATTTTCATTATTATATTTTTTTTTCAGGTTAAAAATTCATTTTCAGATACTGTTGGCGTCATTTTCACAAATGAAAGAAGCAGTTGGCTTCTAATAAGTTATCAAGTTAGTTTCTATTACCAACTACCAGTCTGCTAAGCCTTAATGATATTATCTTCAAATATTGGTATCAAATAGTGGATATTGCAAGGCAAATGGCTTCTTGTTTGGCCGTTTGACTGACAGTTATCAGTATTTGTTGACGGCAACAGAAGAAACAAGCGGCGTTCTTATCCTAAGTCATCTGTACAATCACCTTCTTTTTCAAACGCTGGCACAACTGCTACTACCAAACCAGTTGGCAGTCGTGTGTTTTTCATCGAATCACGAATAAAATTACAGTATTCACCATCAACTTCAACTTACCGGGTTAAAAATTAGCTTTAATGATTGAGACGCAGCGCTTGGGGACTCAAAAATGTGTTAAGAAAAATAAATATTCCTCACGCCGTTATTATATAGCATTTTTATGCTATCCTACAGTTGAAATGGATCTATTTGAATTCAAGTGAGAGTAGTGAAAATTGAAAGTGGAGATATGGGTGTGAGGTGGGACTTTCTTGTTCTTGTTGTTGTTGTGGGATTGATATCAAGTTTTGCAGAGTTTTGTAATGGTGGAAGAACAAGTAGCTTTGTAAGAAGTGCAAACTTATCCCTTGATATGCCACTGGACAGTGATGTGTTTCGAGTGCCTCCCGGTTATAATGCTCCTCAACAGGTGATTTTCAATTCGCTCTTCTTAATTTCATTTTGTTGATATAATTTTCCTGATTAAAAACTGAATTTTGATTATTGTAATTAAGGTTCATATAACACAAGGAGATCATGTGGGAAAGGCTGTGCTTGTCTCTTGGGTGACTCCTGATGAGCCTGGTTCAAACACAGTGCTTTACTGGGCAGAAAACACAACACTTATGAAACAGGCAGAAGGCATCGTTCTTACTTACAAATACTTCAATTACACTTCGGGTTACATTCATCACTGCACTGTTAAGGATCTGGAGGTGTGCACTTCTTGTCAGATTTTTACTCATTTTACTTGATTAACAATTTTAGTTTGGTGTTTAGAGTTTGAGGACTTGTGGGCAAAATCAATCTGTCAATGTTTGAACTTTGAAGTAACACAATTTTATTAACATTGCAGTTCGACACCAAATATTACTATGAAGTTGGGATTGGGAATACTACACGACAGTTCTGTTTTATAACTCCTCCAGAATCTGGCCCAGATGTCCCATATACTTTTGGCATAATAGGTATTTCTCTCTTAAATTACTTGAGTCAATTATTTCTTAATAGCATTTTGAGGTTCTCTTTCTAGGTTTAACTGTAGTAACATCTTATGTCTAGTCAGCTTAAAGGTGAAATATCCAATAATTGTAGTTGACGCAAAAACTGAGCACACATTGTAAATATACACAATTTTATCTTGTTCTCACTAAGCAAGCATGTTGAGCAGGGGATCTTGGGCAGACTTTCGACTCAAATAGGACTCTTACACATTATGAACAAAACCCAACAAAAGGACAGACGTTATTGTTTGTAGGAGATCTGTCTTATGCAGATGATTATCCACTTCATGACAACACCCGTTGGGATACTTGGGGAAGGTTCACAGAGAGAAATGTTGCTTATCAACCTTGGATATGGACTGCAGGAAATCATGAAATTGATTTTGCTCCTGATCTTGTATGCCTTCTATCTTATGTCCTGTCACTTCTATTTTTTAAACTTATGCTGATATCTTGTTTAGTTTTTATGTTTTCAAGTTGATGGTATCGTGCTTTCCTCAGCTATGATATTACAATGTTTTTGGCAAAAGCTCTTACTAAACGATAGTTTTTTCTTTTCAGGGCGAACAAAAACCCTTTAAACCGTACCACAACCGTTATCATGTACCTTATGAAGCATCATTGAGTACTTCGCCTCTTTGGTACTCCATTAAGAGAGCTTCAGCCTATATCATTGTCATGTCCTCATACTCAGCTTTTGGTAAGTAATTTTTAGTTCTCTGCAGTTTCCTAATTTCATTTGTGTGGTGTTTGTCAACCAAGCCAAGCGAACATATATATAAATTTTGATATTTTTAAGCTCAGCATTTGCAGCAGATCAATCCTAGGCAAATCTCTTAGAACTACTTTTGTTTATGTAATTTGTATGGTGGTTGATGATTTTAATGGGGAATTAGCTTTCAAAAATTGTTAAAATTACTTGTTTGCATTGATAGATTTGATTGTGTGGACATAACACAAGAAAGTACTCTTATTTCTAGGGAAATATACTCCTCAATACAAATGGCTGGATCAGGAGTTTCCCAGAGTGAACAGAACGGAGACACCCTGGCTTATTGTTCTTATGCACAGTCCACTATACAATAGCTATGTACATCACTATATGGAGAGCGAAACCATGAGAGTAATGTACGAGCCTTGGTTTGTGGAGTACAAAGTTGACGTAGTCTTTGCCGGTCATGTTCATGCCTATGAACGATCTGTAAGTTCCTTTTTATATTTTAGAGTCTTTCTCAAGTAGCAATTCCTTCTGTTTGTATAAATCTATTCTTCTGTGGAACAAAATGTCTGCAGATCTACTCCTCCATGTGATCTATGCATTATAAAGGCCAAAGAATTCACATTTCCCTTCTATATATTTCTTTTATTACCATAAAGTTAAAGTTAAATACATGCCATGACAAAGAGGCTCCAGAATATAGTGGCTAGTCAGGCTGGCTGGATATTTCTTTATTCTGTTTTTCTATGGCAATATGTTCCTCCGAGAGAACAAAATGTAATGAAAGAGAAGAATTTTTTATTTTAACATCAGATTAAAGCCTATTTGCTTTAATTGCAGGAACGTATATCCAATATCGCATACAACATTACAAATGGAGATTGCACCCCCATTAGTAATCCATCTGCCCCAGTTTACATAACCGTTGGAGATGGAGGAAATTGTGAAGGATTGGTAACACAGTAAGTTATAGCAGATGGTCTTATGTGATTAAATTATTTCTTTCTTATTATCACTCTGTAGCCAAGAATTCAGTTTCAATCAGATGAACATTTGTACATGTAGTCTGATTTTCTTTTTTCCATTGAGCAGAATGACACAGCCACAGCCTCGCTACTCAGCTTACCGTGAAGCGAGCTTTGGACATGGAACATTAGATATAAAGAACAGGACTCATGCCCACTTCAGTTGGAACCGTAATGAAGATGGTTATGCTGTAGAAGCTGATTCTGTTTGGTTGCATAACAGATACTGGAACCCTTCAATACAATTCTCCATAGCTGCATTTTAATGACATTTATTTATAGGACATCAAATCCAAATATCCAATTCTACAATTTATCTCTTGCTGCTCTTGCTCAGTTATCCATTCAAATATATCTTGAAAATCTTTTGCCGTGTTAATTTACATTTATCATAATGCTTGTGATACTTCATATTGAGATATATGTATGGAATGATATAATCGTTATGCAAAGTATATCATAATATTTTATTACAGATTTCAAATAGTTAAACATTTATGTAAACTGTAATAAATGTAAACTCTCAGAAATCCTGTGTTTTGACTTTTGAGCAACACCATTTCTGTAACATCTAGGAAATATAATAGCGTGATCAATTTGAACTTGAACATCTGAATCTGGGCATGATGACACATTTGCTGAGTCAATGTGGCACTGGATTCATAAAACTGAGCTGGACATCATAAAATACTGCTCCTGTCTGTCTGCATTGCAGCATAATCAGAGTAACTTTCTTGTAAAAATACATGTTCCTAGATTTTAGAGATCATTCGTAAATAAAGGTACTTAGTTTCCATTTTATATGTATGGATGACTTGGAGAAACAATGTAGTTTGAAAATTTGTTAATATTAAGATAACAAAATGAAAACATAACATTCCTTTTAGGAAATAAAAGACGATAAGTTAAGGTTCAGTTATTTTGGTAGTAAGGATTCACTTATCTTGATAGATAAAGTAGTTCAATAATCATAAATGATTGGCAATAAAAGATGATAAATTAGGATTCAGTTGTTCTGATAAGCTGGAATTCACTTATCCTGTTAGATGAGAGCCTGATAGATTGGAAATGAGAGAGAGATTGAAGATCCTGATAGATATTTTTTTGAACTTCTTTTCTACATTTTATTATTAACCATTATTTTACTGTTTTTTCTTTTTTAAGATTTTCCAGTTAGAACAATTGCGATTTCACAAGGCAATTAAATGGCATTTTAAAAAAGAAATAAAAAAATCTATAATAAATTTGCAGGCCATGTGTTACACATGCTGAAATATAAACATTCGATATATAATATTTTCATTTACGAGTATGGTAGTGATGTACGCAGGTGGATAAAAGAGGCACGACAGAGCCCAGGAAAACCCATGAGGCATCGTGGACCTGACACAACATATGTTACATATGTATAGGTTCCACATTTTTTTTTTTTTTTTTCTCAGGTGGATACTACAGTTTATTTACACATAATCTATCTAATGTCTACATATAAACGCATAGCAGCAGCTTAGATGTCTCGTTTCCACAGAGTCCAGTTTCAAACTTTCACATGCACCATGGAGTCTTCAACATATCCCATCCAGCTCCATCCACCAGGTTGCCACCAAAAAGCCCTGGCTCTTCCAGCATAGGATAATCAATGGACATCGCCGCTTCTGCCCATATGGATTCATCAAACTCAGGCAAGTTCACGTTCAAATTCTCACAGAATCCATCCATTCCCTGTTCATTCTGCCCAACTTTCGCTTCGTTTTCTGCCAAATTCGGATGAGACTCGATGCTGTCGTTAGGAAAGGGAATGATCGAGTTGTTGTTGTACACCTGTGTCGCATCGTTCACTGTGGGAAGCGGGGTATCTGGTGAGCATTTGATACCTGAATCATGAATGTTTTGAGGCTGGTTTGGCATTTGGGGAACCTGGGTATTGGCAGAAGCGGTTGGATATTGAGAATTAACGCTCAACTCTGGTAAATTGAGCTTGGCGTCTGGACCATAAAGTTTGCGAGCAGCAGCATCATAAGCCATGGCAGCTTCATGCGACGTGTCAAATGTCCCGAGCCAAAGACGTGCGCCGCGATTGGGTTCTCGAATTTCAGCAACCCACTTGCCCCAAGTTCTCTGACGAACACCTTTGTAAGTGCAAAGAGCGTTCTCTGGACCTCCCTTGCCTCTCATGCAACCTTTCCTTGAACTTGCCTGCGCAGGCTTTTTCAGCAGTTTTTTCTCTGCAATACTACCCACGAGTGTTTTTGACATTATTACAACTGAGGACTCTGAAAACTAGGAAGGTTTGGTGATGATAAGTACATCGCGTACAAGGGGTGGGCGGTATTTATACAAGAACAGGGGAGACAATAGCTTGAATGCAGTAATAAGGCACACTAGAATGGACTTGAAACGTGTCTTTACAATGGGTTTGGGCTGATACTTGTCATGAAGAACTAGTTTAATCGTGTCCACAAGAAGGCTCGCTGTTATTTCTCATAGATACACTTGGCTTACATTGTTGTCCTTACACAAGCTCAGGTGGCAAACACACAAGAGAAAAATGGAAATTCTACTTTCCATCTTTTTATCTCAAAACAAAACTGAAAATAAGAAGGAGAGTAAATGGATAATGGTAATTTACCATTGGGAGCGGTGTAATGCTTAGGACAAACGGTTGGGGATAAGAACATGCGGGCGTTTCTAAAACAAGCACATGCCAATTTGCAAGCCTACTTTGATACGTGGGGTTTAGTGACCCATTTCCCAAACTTAAAATATGGCATGGAATTCATGCATTTAATTAGTGGACCCATTTCTGTTACTCTTCCTACAAAGATCCTCTTGAAGTGAATCTTCCGAGTTACTATGCTTACGCTTTTTGACTCTTATTCCAAGTGCTAACAGCAGGAACTTATTTTTAAAAAATGGCAAAAACCCATTCACAACTTTTCTAATTAACCCCATTTATTATTTACTTCAATTCAACTATGCAACTCTGCAAGTGCAATCCCTCTTTTCATCAACTCTAAAAAGCTCTATGATGGTTAATAAAAGCCGATTTCTGTCGACTCTAGCCCCTCAATATTATTTTAATGAGAAAATAGTGTAGAAATTGTGATAATCTAATTGAGAATACAATGAATTCCGCATGTTTTCGTAGCAATGAAAACAATAAATAAATAAATAATGACAATGATAGTCTAAAATCATTGAACCTAGACGTATTCATAAAATGGTTGCCAAAGCCTCACCGCTTTTATTGCGAGTCCACCGAGGTTGACTTGAACATGTATGGGCTAAGCAACTTTATTTAAACAAAGAATTTTCATTCAATTCAAGAAATTGTTTCAAATAGTTTAAGCATCTGAAATTAAAAAGAAGAAAAAGCAAAATAACATGCTCAATACGATTGACCATAATTTCTGAAAGGTTTCCAAATATTTTTGTAAATCAAACTCAAACCTATCCATTGTTAATCCATTTCTAGTCATCTGATCAATCACGCAACAAAATCTAGACCCGTAGGCAACCATGGTGCAAATATTACAACCATTTAAACACATGAAAGTGGCATTTTACAACAATACAAAATTAATCAAATAACATAAATTATCAACTAGAAACTATCTACAATGCTATTTAAGAAGTCAAAAAATTATGTTGGACTCAATCTGTTTCCAAGTATCAAAGATATGAAAATTACAAGAAATTAGCCAGGATGATTTTATGTACAGTTTCTGATAGAAGGTCAAAACTTTGACACTGATGTGTTCCCGTTTGCACTCTGAAACTTTGGAGTGGCAAGAAGCTAACATGGACTGAAGTGCTCATGCACTCTAGCTAAATCATTGGTAAGATTCACTAGAAAAAACAGTGACTTCGTCAGACCACAGCAAGTTAAAGGCTTTTACAACATTTATACTCTCATGGAGACACTTAGTTCTTGTGCTTCATTGGAATCTCAGCATTTTCTTAAGGCAGCCCTAATCTCCTTCAACATCTCATCAACCCTGACGCCTTTCCTGCAAAAAAAAAAAAAAAATACATAAATACAAAGCCTTCTAATTTCACAGAAGAAAACAACACTGCATTTTATTTTCAACGGCTACATAATCTAGTGTTAGGCCTAAAAATACTAGATAATTATTGTCAATAAGTACTCCCAAAAGGAATATACGTTCAATTTGAACAACTTCCTTATGAAGCAAAACCAAACATCATCTACACCCAAATTAAACTTACAGGACACTAACACCAACAACAGCAAGGGGGCGTGGATAGTCTTCAATATCTTTTTCCCTTTTATCTTTGTTTGCAGTCCCTGAAGATGATATATTTTCTTTGCTACTTTCAGTTGACAATGATTGTACAGCATCCTCCGAGCTCATTCCTGTTTCAGAAGTTACCTTATCACTTCCAATCTTCAGTATTTCATCAGTCAAAGATGTAAGTCTATCCTTCGCCTGAAACAGAAATCAATAATCTCTCATCATCATGTGTATAAGAAACAAGATTGATAAGATCAGGAAATTCACATAAACTTAACAACAGTACTAAGAAAGGATCCAAAAATTGAAAGAGAAACCCAGAGCCACACCTCAGGAAGGTCAATCTTGTTGAGAACCACAAGATATGGACGTTCTAGGTAATCAGGATTGTACATCCGTAATTCCTACATAAATGACAAATTAAACAGTTTGAGAACAGCAGAAAAATTGAAATAAACAGGATTGAGGATGGACCAAACAATTCCATGATGATTCATATTATGCAGAACAGTATTTTCGAACGTAATAGGAAGCAGTTATCACCACAGATACACCAAGAAGAATTGCCTGGTCAACAATAGCATAAAACTGTTTCATATGCGATTAATTACAAATTTTCAAGGGAATTTTTGTGGAGATGTAAAATATTTGTAAACCTATGAGGATATTGATATTAGGCACCCTAGCTCGAAAGGCAAGACATTAAGAACAACAGCCTTTTTAAGATAAGTATATAAGACCAAGGGCCTATACTAAAGGTGGGGACCCACTTCGTAATCTGAAACCCCCAACAATAGTAGATTGTTGGCATCAAAATGACAATTCTCAATGGAACAATGTCTACTTACACCCAGGTATAAAGACCTCAAAATATAAACTTGGAGTTGATCAGCCACTGTGTCTCTAATGAGTAACCACTAGCACATGACAGTAATTCAATCAATTCAACCCTATTTTTTCAATAGGAAAATAGAACCAACAAGATAATATGCTGAGAAAATAAATAGATGTAAGCCAACAAACATATGATTTTAGGAAAATACTTCTTTGACAGTTCTGTAGTCATCCACAGGATTCTCAGCAGCTGCATCAACAACGTGGACCAATAGGCGAGTTCTCCTCAGGTGCCTCAAAAAATTCCGACCAAGACCCTGAAGGAGAAGGATGACAAGGTTTTACTTTTAGCAACTAAGAGCTTCAGAATGAACAGTCGAATGAAATTGAATCGGATAATACCTTCCCCAGATGAGCACCTTCTATGAGACCAGGCAAATCTGCTAATGTTGCTTCAGATGAAAATCTCCCTGCACCTAAAGTTGGGTCACCATCAAGGCGCCCAAGGTTCGGCATCAATGTTGTGAAAGGATAGTTGGCAATATCAGGTTTTGCATGTGTTATAGCTGCCAAGAGTGTGGATTTTCCAGCATTTGGAAGTCCCTGCAAGAGCAAGTAAATGCAATATCTAAAACCATAATATACCTCACCACAAGGTTTACCACTGAAAAAGTATAACAAAAAGCTACCCAGTTCTCCTACAAATGTCTCAAGTTATTTCTTCCTCGTCCATTAAAAAAATTGACTGAGATTATCAAACACAGGGAAAAAAAGCTACAGAACCAACCTCTTGAGCTTAATCCAAGGCAGTAACCTAAGCCACTCAAACAGTAAGCTACTATTTGATCCATTTACCATAAGTCTAGAGTCAACAATAGGTAACACCATTCTTCTTATCCTCAAGTTTTTTATGTAGACACAAAACATGGTCAGTATTCTTCAGCCCAAGGCTGTTGACTAATTGAGAGCTGTAACTGCAGGCAGATGTATCAGGCTCAACGTAAAAAGTACGGACCAAAATGTTCCAATAAGAATCAGATAAATACAGGTCAATCTGGTCCCAAGAAATTTTATATTTTGAATTCTGTGCCACAAGCTATGACGAGATAATATAAGTTTAAATATCAATTGCTTCAGAGTTAAATATGAGCAACCATCTCCACTTTCACCCCAGAAATTTTAACAGCCTGAGGAATACTTATTAAGAGAACAAACCCATGAGACACCCAACTGCAGAAGATATATATATATATACACAAAAATAGATATAGATTTTCTCTATGCATAATATATACACACACACACACAAAAATAGATGTAGATTTTCTCTACACATAATATACACACACACACACAAAAATAGATATAGATTTTCTCTATGCATAATGTAAAACTTGTTTAAGAGAATAGAAAGGAATACTTACAACTAAACCAACATCAGCAACAACGCGTAAAATTAACTCCAGACTAACCTCCTCCCCAGGCTGACCAAGAATTAAAACCTGAAATACAGATAAGAAAAAATGTTTACCATTTCTTTTAGCAAAGAATGATGTAAACATTGACTAACCACACATTACATTCTAATGCATCTACCAATATTGAAGTATAAGATTTCTTCTCAAGCCAGTCCTTCAATAAAAGCAGATCTACACAAGAGGGCCACCATTGACATTAAAGAGATGTAATGGGACAAGGTGAATGCATATATTGACAGCAGATAATGAATAGTTTGCATACTCAAACAAGGCATGTGTAGATGAATTAAAACTAGGCTGATTCATGTATCATTTCCCTGGCTAAGAAAAATTTCGATATATTTAACATAGATTTGCGCTTGAAACGCTGAGATTTTACACTACTAAAAGGAGTTCCACCCTACTATAGAATCAATTTATTAAACAAAGAAAATATGAGCAGTAACTCTACCTTATCACTATCATCTCTCATCACATTTGTGGTTAAAGCCATCATCTTTTTCCTTCTATGCTCTGGCATTTCTAACAAGCTAATCTGCAACAAACCAACAAAATCTAATAAAACTAGATATCAGAATGAATATACAAGTCAAACAGTGTGCTAATGAAATGATATTTTAAACAAAACAAGAGCTCCAATCTAATAATTTATCTCAGGCATATTCTAGAAATCTTTCAAACTAATAATAACTCAAATCCCGACACCTGAAACCATATCATTTATCAGTGAAATATTTACTTAATTTTATAAATTTTAAATACAAGATTTACCCCCCCTTGTCCACCCCTTGCAACAAGTACTTCATCACCTGGATGGGCAAGATCAGCCAACAACTTCCCTCGCTTATGCTTTACAACTGTACCTGTCAAACCAATACATAAAATACAATGAGAGTACATAAGGAAGGGTCCAAAACATTCTTATCATTAACTGCTCAGCAGACCAGTTTTGGGATATTATCCAGAAAGGCAACTATAATATATAACAATGAGTGAAACGTACAAACCTACAGGCACAGGAATTCGCAATGCTGGGGCAGCAAGTCCATCATGTAATTGGGAAGATAAAACACCCATGGAAGCAACATTTCCACCACGTTTTGCATTATAGCGGCTTTTCTTGTGAAACTCCAACAATGTGTCTTTTCCCTCATCAGCATAAATTACTACATCAGCTCCAGGTCCACCCATGGGAAGGATAAGTGATCCATCAAAATCTCTCTTATATAAGCTTTTCTGTCTTGCTTTTTCCTTGGCTTGCTTTCCTTGTGATTTAGCCGCAGTTGGTTTGGGCAAACTAAGGATTGCACCGTGTCCCCCATCTCCTGAACGAACGGTGATGATTACCTGATCAAAATACTTGTGTGGTTCACTAATTAATGTAGCAGGGCTTTTAGAAGAAGATTCTTTGGTGCTAGCAAGCCGGCAGTTGATAGTATAATATCTCAAGTTTTGAGAATTGACTCTCTGTCGACTAAACCTATAAATAAGGCGTCAAGTGAAAAAGCTAAGGAAATTAGAAGAGACTCTCAGTTAGAGAATTAAGCGATACAAAAATTCATGAGAAGTAAAACACCTAAAAATTACAATAATAAACCCAAACTCGAGAACACTTTTATTTATTTCTTCGAAATTTCCAGTTTAATCGTTTGAAAAGAGAAGAGAGAAGGGACAAACTCAGAATTACAAGTAAAATGAAATTTTGCGAGGAAAATTGAACACAATACCTTCTAGGAATAAAAGGATAGGAGAATAGTTTTTCATTATAACAGTGTAGACTTAGATACGAAGACGACGGTAAGGTAGCCATAGAGAGCATTATCCCCAGTACCAAAACAAAACAGAGGGAGATTGTTTAGGCGGGACTCGCTCAGATATTTCAGGTTCGAGTCCATATGTCTTTTGGAACAATTTGAAGCCATTTTAATGCCAGGCTCGCCCAGATATTTCAGGTCCGAACCCATATGTCTTTTAAATATTAGAAACTGTGACGTATCTAGGCCCAAAATACTGCGGGCTTTAAAGCTTAAAATTGACGATAACCCGATGTCCCAAATGACATGGAGGACTCCACTGCAGTCTGCAACCAATCGTATTAAATCTTTGAATAAAAGCAGACCGACAAATTTTATCTCTCCCAAGTCTGATTCTGATGTGATAGTTGAGTTGGTAAACCACATCACACTTAAGATACTAAATAACTTTTATTAAATACGAATGGTCAATTCTTAAAGATGAACGATCATTCTTTTATAAAAAGCGATCGTTCATTCATAAAGAATAGTTGTTCTTTATAAATAAATCAATCATTTATTATGAAACAACCATTCTTTAGAATGGCAAAGCTATTCCTTCTTATAGAACAGTCATTCCTTATGAAGAAACAATCATTAAAGGTTATTCGTCCCTAAGGAACGACCGTTCATGTTTAGTCGAAGTCGTCAGTTGACATGGTAATGTCAACTCAAGTGCTACGTCGGATTTGTGAGAGAAAAATTGTAAGATCCGTTTGTTGATGTAGTATTACTTTAAATCCTTACTTCGCGAAATCGTTAAATTTTACATGTCCTACATATTTGAGGTTCACAAGGAACGAAAAATTGGTAAGCCAAACGAAAGAATTTTGATATATTAGGTGTATGAAATCAAATTAATTGAACAGATGTGTCAGTAATCATGTTCCCCTTTTAGCCTTCAATTACGATCAGAATTCCGCACCTCAACAGTTACTGGATTAATCCATCACTAACAAAAGTCTTTATGGTTGTGAAACTCCAACGCCATGAATGGTCGGATTAGGGGTAAGCAGCAAGCTGAATAATGGTTTTGACTCTGTAAAATGACATTGGCTGTCAAGCATTTCGAATTTTGATCGGGTTCATTCCCCCACTATGACTAATTAATTGCTTCTGTTGGATAGGCCTGGAATCTGGAATCCACAACGACACTATTTAAAGCTCAAATATCAACATTACAGAATTACACACTTATACATGAATATATTTATAAACCACTCAGTAACTTTTTGTTCTGAGATAAATGTTACAGACAAATTTCTTTAGGCTTTTTATAGTGAGACTGAAGTCAGATACATAATCTTTACTTTTCAACACTGCTTCAGCACTAGAGATAGCGAAGGAAAAACTTTCATTAAACAACATAATAACTGTAATTCCTAGGTTCTGTCAAATAAAAAACTGACATTAAATTACAAATTAATCTTAATTCCTAACGAGCAAATCAAGCAACAATATACAAGCCAGACCTTGGATCAACTAAAGCACTAAAACAACCAATCTGCTGCAGAGTTATACTCAGCAGTCAGCTTTACTTTCCTTCTGGCCAATCATGAGAAGCATGCCTCCGCAGGCCCGTAGCAACAAACGAGGACATGAGACAGCCAGCCCCACAACTTTTACAGTTAGGCACAAATGATACTGTCTATCCATGACCATATCATATACAACAAACCAAATTGGCAACAAGACATGAGCCTTCGTGGTACCTAGCTAGCAAAGCTCAAAATACTTCAACCACTCAACTGTTGAGAAACTCCTTCAGAGAGAATGGAGGAAGCCCATCCTACAAAATTAGAAACCAAGAGAGTAAGGCATTCACTTCATGGCACAAATACTTCAAAACATAACACAGCTGCCTCAATCCTCATACAACGTCCACAACAGGCTTTCCTTCTACAAAGATATAATCTTTCCTTGACATTCTTTCCAGACACGCTATGTGTAATATCAAACCACAAGGAATACACAGATAATATATATAAAAGGAACCAATACAATTGAAGGGAAAACCAGTCAAGAAGCTACTAAAAACGAACAAGATATCACAAAAATTGAGCTAATATAAGAAATCTAAAAACATTTTAAGACCTTGCTGAGCTCTTGATTTAAACACTGTCTGACTGCTGTTGTCTGTTGTATGAGCCTTTCCATTGCTGCATAGCTTTGACAGTTTGCTTGTGCTGACATTATACAGAAGTTACAAGGAAAGAGTACATTAAATTATTGAATGTAGTACACCTAAACAATAATTTGAGGAATGTGACCTTTGCAAGAAGAATAGATATTTGTATGGTTCAAGACAAAAATAATAGTATAACATTTTTATGCAAGAAGATACTCATATGTAACATTTCTTTGCATTGAAAGTAAATATCTGAAATGCAGAAGAAGAATAACACAGGAAACAAACCAAGAATTGCCCGGTTCAAGCTATCTGCAACATGCTGCCGATATTCCAAACTAAGCAAATGAAACATTGGGGATTTCTCTGGTTCTTCATAAGCAAGCAGAGCCATAAAATCCTAAAGGAAAAAGCAAACTGTTTTCATTTCTCTCCCGATTAAAAAAAAAAAAAAAAAAAAAAGAAGGAAAAGAAGTTCAATAAATATCTATCAGATAATTTGCATCAAGAAGATACATACTTCAAGTTTTTCAACATATTTTTGAACCTTCCCAAAAGGGGTCAACTTGGTTTGTGCAAATTCCAAAGCTTCTGTGCTGCCACAGGCATTAAAGAAAAATTAGAATGGGAATTGTCTGATTCAAAAATATTTTCTGCAGATATTATTGTAATTTACTCACCATTTCCTAGAGATGACAAGCTCAACAAAATGTAGGCTCAGAAGATCAAAATGCAAGTCCTTATTTTTCTCTAGTAAGTCGTCTGCCAGTTGTTCTGTTAATTCAACGGCCTTGAGTGCATTCCCTTCTAATGCAAAGTGAAGAATACCTGAGAGTACATACTGCAATTAGCCCATGACAACCATCCAACTGAATCTATGAAGAAATTTTAATAAAGTAGCACCATAACATATAAGGAAAACTACAAGCAATATACATCCATATCTCACTGCATAATTTCAAAAAGACAATCACATACTCTAGCAATAAACATTGATAAACTGATGCAGCTGGATAAACCCATTCTTGTTTGTTCTAATTCTCCAGTTCCCTTTAAGTTATGTCTTACCAAAAATATATGAACATATCTCGATACTTAATTGGACTAGTAAAACTCAGCACTCTGTTATATTAAGTATATACTGGGCATATGCAGCCAATTAGTGAGGTAAACAATGAATGACATATTTCAATGTGAATGACCAAGATGCTAATATGCATGTACCACGCAAACACACAACTTTATCCACCTTGACATCCATACAATTAAACTGTCATCCAAAATGAAATTTATAATTTTAGGACTTCTTCTATGCATTTTACAGACATGCAATTCAAATGCACAGCAAATAAGAAAGCAAAATTTCACCTACTTTTCCTTTTCTCCATGTCCTCAAGACAATCAGCAGGCTGCTTCATCCCAGTACAGGAAATGAATGAATCCACAGTTTCTTTATAGCAATTATGCACAAGATAAGATAGGACAATATTGTGGATGTCATTGTCATTGATGGCCTACAAGAGACAAAGGAAGATAAAACCCAGATGTTAAAAAGAGATAAGCATGCTGTAGATATGTTTCTATAGAATGCATTAACAAGCATTTTTTAGTGCCGTTCAGGTGTTTCATCATGGTTACAAACAAATATACAAAGGACGCAAAACAAAAATTCTAGAGTTGAAAGTGAGATCTTTGGAAAAGCCTAAGTCGGTGATAGAAGCCAAGAAGCACTAAAAGTTCCCAAGAAAACATTTAGGTTTAGTTCCACAGAAGATGAAGTCAAATGATGATTTGACGACAGCCCAACAATCGTAAAACTTTTAACTCAATTTTGTGAAAATCCTTCTTTTTAATCTATTTAGTAGCATACTTAGTCTTATTTAAATCCTATAATAGCTAACCTAAAGGCCTCTACCTGCACTCCTGCCCTTGAAGTACTCATCTAATGTCCATCATAAACACTACTTTCAGAATATAATTTCACGAAATCATGTCTAAACCGAACTCTAATTAGTTTCCAAAGCTGATAATGCTTTATATAATTAACAAATAAACAACAGAAGCCTATAATCACAATTAAAAAGTAAGCAGAACAAACTCAACCGCATTATTTCCACAATACCCAAGTTCCACTTTCATCGATAGAATAATAACATAAACTGTATTAAAAGCAAAATCATAAAACCCGAAACTAGGGTTTCAATCATTAGTAAAAACAAAAGCCGACAAATTTACCATCAATAAAATTGAACAACGATAACTGGCATGAGAGTAAATTTAAACAAAAAATGACATAACAAAATCATTAAATTATCGGAATTTCATTTTATGAAATTATACAGAAAACAAGTTAAAGATTAAAAACATACAATATTTTCGTAGTGACGAGGATCGACGTCCATGATCGAGCGGTTAATCAAATTGAATGTTGGTTGGTTCGGAAATTATATAGATTGATTGGTTGTGTGGTGAGCCCTAAATGGGTAACTCAATAGCTTGAAGAGAGGAGATGATCGAAAATAATGGAGGTTTAGGATAGTTTGGATATCTTGAGCGAAGCAGAGTGGGACAAGGAGATATCCGATCCCCAACAGTTAGTGTCTCCGCTGCGATACTACACGTGCCGTCCACTCTCCTTGCCGTCCTTATATGCGTACAGTGATGTATCAAAATTTTGATTTTAACTTGCCCTAACACATGATATATGGTCCATCGATTATTTGTTATGACATTTTTTTCTAACCATTTAATATTAATTATTCTAGATGCCCGCTACATGTGCATAAAACTGTTACTATTTCCAAGTAAGATACCATTAGTTAAATCAAGTCAACATTTAGCTATTACATTTATTTATATAATACATCATCCTATTTTTACAACTAATACATGAATAGTAGAATAGAATTTAGTTAATTAATTTTATGGATATTGTTAATAATAATCACAAGCAACATCATCTGTAAATACAAAAATAAATAAACAAATTGACATTTAAAATAAAGTAAGCAGCTAAAGCCGCACGAGTTCGAGGGGAAGCAATCGGGTTGTGAAACTAATGACCTTTTTCCACCAAAAAATTTCAAAATACCACTTTATTATTTAAAGCATAATTTTGCTAGTAAATTTCGTTGTGAAGAAGGCCATGATGATCAAAATTTTGTTCTTAGTAAAGGTAGAATGGTCAATTAATAGCAAAACAGCAAATGATGATGACTATTGGTAGGCAACCATGGTCAAGGGGGTTAGGGGTTTTGGAGGGGGGATGTCGGTGGTGCAAAAGGTGGTGGCTAGGGAAGTTTTTAACAAGGCAATCAACATAAATTGTATTGGGAAGAGGCAGTGTTTGCGCAAAAACCTAATAGGTAGACGACGACAATCAGTGGTTAATTGGATTGGGAGATGTTGGGGGTTTTCTTAGGGTGGCGCTGGTGAGTCAAATGGTGTGGTTAGAGAGGGTTGCCATTGTTGGATTCGACCAAAGTAGCTTGAAAACGTGCGGGCCAAAGAAAGTGTAGTGGCCAACAATTGGCGGAGTAGTTAGGTACGAGGTGAAAAGGGTTTTAAGTGTGTTGGCAAAGGAGAGTGATATGGTGGGGTTGGGGTCAACGTACGATGCCGTAATCAGGCCGTTTATTGGTGCCGTTTGGATTAGGGTTTTATCACTTCCAGTAAAATTTTAGCCAAATCTGGTGTCTAAAATCCAATCTGTCACCACCCTTTGCTTTAGCAGCCCCCACCCAACCAAACCCCCATCACCCTACCACCGACTTGCTCACCGTTCATCATTCGAGTGACACTGTCGTCACCACCAGTATTTTCGTTAAATAGTAAAGNTGTTACTATTTCCAAGTAAGATACCATTAGTTAAATCAAGTCAACATTTAGCTGTTATATTTACTTATATAATACATCATCCTATTTTTACAACTTGTACATAAATAGTATTTAGTTAATTAATTTTATGGATTATTGTTAATAATAATTGCAAGCAACATCATCTCTAAATACAAAAATAAATAAACTAACTAACATTTAAAATAGAGTAAACGGCTTTTTCCCACCCAAATAATGGGCCTAATGACCTTTTTTCCACAAAAAAAGTTTCAAATTACTATTTTACTATTCAAAACACAATTTCGTTAGTAAATTTCGTTGTGAAGAAAGGTATGATGATCAAAATTTTGTTATAAGTAAGGGTAGAATGGTCAATTAATAGCAAAACAGCAAATGATGACGACTATTGGTGGGCAACCATGGTCAAGGGGGTTAGGGGTTTTGGAGGAGGGATGTCGACGGTGCAAAAGATGGTGGCTAGGGAAGTTTCTAACAAGGCAATCAACAGAAATTGTATTTGGAAGAGGAGCAAAAACCTAATAGGTAAACGACGACAATCAATGGTTAATTGGATTGGGAGATGTTAGGGGTTTTCTTAGGGTGGTGCTGGTGAGTCCAATGGTGTGGTTGGAGAGGGTTGCCATTGTTGGATTTGACCAAAGTAGCTTGAAAACGCGCAGGCCAAAGAAAGTGTAATGGTTGACAATTAGCGGAGTAGTTAGGTGCGGGGTGAAGAGGGTTTAAGTTTGTTGGCAAAGGAGAGTGATATGGTGGGGTCGGGGTCAACGTGTGATGCCGTAATCAGGCTGTTTATTGGTGTCGTTTGGATTAGGGTTTTATCGTTTCCAATAGAATTTCAGCCAAATCTAGTGTCTAAAATCCAATCTGTCACCACCCTTTGCTTTAGCAGCCCCTACCCAATAAAACCCCCACTACCCTACCACTGACTTGCTCGTCGTTCATCATTCGAGTGACACTGTCATCACCACCAGTATTTTCGTTAAATAGTAGAGAGTATTTTCATTTTTACAATTAATATCATTATATTTAACAAAAATTATTAACGAAATATAACGTTTGTATAGTAAAGTAGTATTTTAATTTTTTTTAGGTGGAAAAGTGTCATTAGGCCATTAGTTGGGTGGAAAAAAAAATCGTTTACTCTGTAAAATAATACTGGGTGCGTTTGGTTTATTATTTTGGATAGAGTTTTTGGAATAATATTAGGTAGTTGGTTAGGGGAGTATTACGAGGTAAAATTTAAAAATTTATGAAAAAGCCCATAGGTTTGCTAATTTAATTAAACACCCTATTCTGGCCACCACCGCCGGAATCTGGTCGAAAAATTTCGTTACAAAACAGACCGATCAGATCTGTGTCGTAACGCGTCGTTATGGCCTTTTCCAGCCAAATCCATCACTGATCTAGCTGGAAAAGGCCAGATCCACGACCTGCCGTGGCCGTGACTGCCGGAAAAGGCCAAAACGACGGCCAAAGAAATGGCAGTCGTTTTCGGTCAACGATAGCCAAGATTTGGCCGTCGTTACGGCTAGATCTGGCCTTTTTCGACCAGATCCGTGGTGGATTTGGCTAGAAAAAGCCAGATCGATGAACTTCCGGCCATTTCTAGTCGACAGTTAGGCTGTTGTACAGATTCCGGCTACCACCAATGGTGGTTGTCAGAATCTGACAAGTATAGCTCGCAGGGGTATTTTTGCTAAATTTTAAACTTTTTTTTAGGGGGTATTTAATGAAATTAATAACCTTATAGGGTCTAAAAGTAATTAAAAAAATAAGGTAATATTTATAGAATAATGTGTCAGACATTATTTGGAGAATAAGATTGAGGATATGAGTAAAAATAATAAGCTAAAGATGCCCACTAGTGTCTTGAATCTTGATATTGCTCCTCCCTTTCATCAAATTAGCGTGAACTTATTTTTAAAAGTTTTACACTTTTTTTTTTGTTCATAAAGAAGAAAGAAAATTCACATAGAAAGTAAGCCTGTCTGATCTTTTCGAGAAATTAGGAGCTGGGCCGGTTCGTACAGGAACATTCCTAACCCTTCCTCCGAAATCCGAATCCTACTTGTTCGGCTTCCCACATATATATATGGAATCAGTCCAATCAACATCCTACCAATCAAAAACCCCAAATCACCCTTTCCCTCTCTCTAATCCTAACCAATGAACTCTCTTCTTCTCTTTCTTCTTTTGTTGTCCTCCATTTCTCTCCATTCTTGTTCGCACATCACCCACCTCTTCCAAGCTTGGTGTGAGCAACATGGCAAAACCTTCTCATCAGACCAAGAAAAGCAACACAGGCTCAAAGTCTTTCGAGACAACTATGATTTTATTAAACAACACAACGATATGCCTAATTCTTCTTTTACTCTTTCACTTAATGCCTTTGCTGATCTCACTCACCATGAGTTCAAGCTATCTCGTTTAGGCCTCTCTGCTTCTGCCGTTAATTTTGACCGGAGAAATGTTCTAGAATCTGATTCCTTAGATGATATTCCTGCTTCAATAGATTGGAGAAAGAAAGGAGCAGTGACACATGTTGAAGATCAAGGCAGATGTGGTATGTTAATCTTCACTACGGATTCTTGATAATCTTATGAGGTGGAAGCTAACATGTTATCTTGTTTGATTTACTAAACCCCTAACGATCTGATTCTAGTTTCTTTTATCTTTTAATTAATTTTTGTACGAAATCAACTAGAAGATTGAGTAGAGGTATAACCTGCATTGATAAATTTCTAATTATTTATTGTATTATGAGCTGACTTTGTTATCGATTCTGTTTTTAGCTTCTTCTTGCTAAATTGGTACACAAAACGTAAATAAGATTTAAAGATGAGACATAGCTCAAACAGTAGTGTTTTTGAATTTATTGCTCTCATATATTAGGAAGAACGAAGGACAAAAAGATGTTTTGTTGTCCTTTCTTCATTAGTGTCATCAGTTAAGTCCATTCTGGATTTGTGGTCTTGAGTCTAAAGGTTGCTGATTATTCTTTTCCATACACTCGAGAAATAAATCTAATAATCTATTTTTTCTTGTATTGTCTAGGTGCTTGTTGGGCATTTGCAGCAACTGGAGCTGTAGAAGGTATAAATAAGATTGTGACTGGTTCTCTTGTCAGCCTTTCAGAACAAGAGTTGATTGATTGTGATAAAACTTATAATGATGGCTGTGGGGGTGGACTTATGGACTATGCATATCAGTTTATCTTAGATAACCATGGAATTGACACTGAGGATGACTATCCATTTCTAGGCCGGCAAGGGCAATGCAAGAAGCAAAAGGTAACAGTTCAATCTTCTCCCTCACTTCTATCTATCAAAATATTGTTCTCTTTTAGCCTGATTCTCGTCTCCTCTGCTTTTTCTAATCATTACTTGATTATGTTGCATATTTAAAACTTGCCTGTTTCTTCTTTTCCGGTATATTCATGTTCTTCGATTCATTTATATGGCAGTTGAAAAGGCATGCTGTGACAATTGATGGTTACAAAGATGTCCCGCCAAATAAGGAGAAACAGCTACTGCAAGCTGTTGCAGCTCAGCCTGTGAGTGTAGGCATATGTGGTAGTGAGAGAGCATTCCAGTTCTACTCCAAGGTTGGTCCCAATGTTCAATCGTATTGGTATCAGATTTCCGCTAATTTGCTTTCAGTATGATTAATTACAAATGTTTCAACTGCTTCTGTGGTAGGGGATATTCACTGGTCCATGTTCAACTTCTCTGGATCATGCTGTATTAATAGTAGGATATGGCTCAAAAAGTGGAGTGGATTATTGGATTGTAAAGAATTCCTGGGGTACAAATTGGGGAATGAACGGTTATATTCACATGCAACGCAACACTGGCAATTCTCAAGGTCTTTGCGGTATCAACATGCTAGCTTCATACCCGACTAAGACCAGCCCAAATCCACCTCCCCCACCTTCTCCAGGTCCCACTGTGTGTGATCTATTTACTTACTGTTCCCAAGGAGAAACCTGCTGTTGTACGTTGAGATTGCTTGGAATATGCTTTAAGTGGAAATGTTGCGACTTGGATTCTGCTGTGTGTTGTAAGGACCATATTCTATGTTGCCCATCTGATTATCCCGTGTGTGACACGGAGAGGAAGCAATGCTATAAGGTCAGTATAGAATTCTCTTCTTTCCATTAGATATTAAGTTTGATATTCTTTCTAAGTTCAAACGAAGATATACAAAACATTTCAACGAAGAAGATAAACTTAAAAGTAGCATTTTCATAAACTCAGAATTTTGTTTCACTGAACAAAAAGCTCTCAAAGTACAAAGCATAAGTTATGTAGTCCAAAAAGAATTTCAGACGCTTGTCATTTAACTTTGATTCTTACAGAATTAGATTTCTGTATCCAAAGTTTTGTACTTGAAACTTGAAAGTTTATTTTAGTCCGCTTTCCTGTTTGGCTGCTCTAGTCTCATAAACAACACAATATTTATATTTGCAGCGTGCTGGGAATGTCACGGGAACGGCATTTGAGACAAGAGACTCTCCCAGGAAGTTTGGCGGTTGGAACACCTTTATGGACGCATGGTTTTTGTAAAGTCACTTCAACCCTGATTGGTGAATAATTCTATATGGTGTAGTCTGTAGTTTTATGCCTTGTTGAATGCCTGATCAAACATGAGGACTGTAGCTAGCTTAAAATTGATATTTTTTGGTCATAGGTGTGAAATACTGAAATTTTCATGGGATGGTATATTTGTTTCTCTGCAAATGAATGAGCTGAGGACTATCAGTAGATATATAGAATTGCTGTAATGTCATTTTTTCTCCAGAGCATGTAAGGATTCTTTACAAGATATAATGCCCTGTCAATCAGTACGATTGTGAGTAAGTTGTATTTCACAATCCAAGTATCTTTTGACCTACATCTAAAGGTTGCACTCCACTTATTGGACGTAAGCACCAAATCTCCCTCTTTGACATAATATCGAACACATGGGTCACTAGGGAAAATGTTTGATGCACAGTATAATTTGCAGCATTGTCGAAAAGTTTATATTAGCTAATTCAAATTAAGCAATTTTGATAATGTACAGCTTTAGGAAACATGTATTGCCTAGCCTGCAAACAATTGATTTGGACCTCTAAATTGTGCAAAACAAGCAAATTCAACTCAATTGTGTCATGAACCCTGATTAGTTTGCCCCGAATCCTAACCATAGTATCAAAGGATATTATAAGCTAGGACACGCACAAAAACATATAGAGTGGGAACAAGATACACATCCAACAATTACGCATCCGTAGCATAAAAGACAATGCCACCATCAATTAAATTAGTTCATTTAGCCTAAAGTCAAGCTAAGAAAAAGTTTTGCCCAAGGAGCCGCTTCTTGATAACAACCACTGCTGATTTTTTATCAATCCTCTTTACTAAGAATTGGTACTTCATAGCTCAGCCATCATGACAACATTTAGCTCAGTCTCTTAACTAAGGTTGCAAGCTGAATATTGAACTAACAGAGCTCAACTCAAACGAAGAAAAAAGCCCACAATATTTTCATATAGCTCATATATCATTTATACACAAATAGTACTTTCTGCAGTGATCAATTCAAACTTGATAGCTAAACTAATTTCAAATCAAGCTCCTGCTTCGTTGATAAACTAATTGAGCAAAGACGCAACAATGCGGAAAACATCGCTAGTTAACTCAACACTAACATTGACTGTTCTTGATATGCATCTACAATGGACCTGTAGAATCACACTTCAGTTTTAATCAGGCTCAGAGGACAGGCACTATCAAGACTTACACAGTTTCTTAAAAAAGTAACCCATATATCAATTATCAATTGCACGCTAGTTTCAACCAGTCTATAAACATCTAATAACTTAAGCACTAAAATTGGAAATGAAGAAATCAGATTACACATCAAAATTTACAATTTGTCTGTGTATATATAACGCACTAGAGCAGCAAGAGTAAGCATTTAAATACCTATTAACTTGAAGAAGGAAACACATCTTTAACAGCTGAAGCAGCAGTCAAGTAATTAAGAGTGTTCCTTAAAGTTTCCTTCTCTCTCTTGAGCCTGGCCGCTGTATCTTCCAATTCAAGCAACGCTTGTTGCTCTCTGGGCGCACCTTCAAAAGTGCTCCCAACAAAAAACGAAAACGGCGTCGGAAACAGATTCCTCCGCAGATCCACAACCTCTTTTTCAGGCTTACCGTTTAATCGATTGGATAAGCGAATCACATCCTTCATATAACCCTCCACGTCATTGGCCAACGCGTCCAAGTGTTCCTCACCGGATGGTCTGTCCTCCAGCCACGTCACCTCCGCAACAAGATATGGCTTTGTACGGACAATACCCGTAATACGAAATCTTTCCTGACCTTTACAAATGAGAAAGAAGCGATCGTCTACAAGTCGTTCGTGTTTGACGATTTCGCCAACACAACCAACTTCCGTGGTCCCCGAAACGGCGTCAGAGTAGATGACACCAAAGCGGAGGTCGGTTTGGAGGAGAGTATGCATCATAATGCGGTAACGAAACTCGAAGATCTGAAGAGGAAGAATGGCTCCAGGGAAGAGGACAAGTGGAAGCGGGAAAAGCGGGAGCTCAACAACGTCATCAGATTTCGGTGGATTAGTATGGTGCTTTTCGGAGAAAGAAGAAGCTGAGCAACGTAGAAAATTAGGTCTTCTACGGCGGTGAAAAAGAGTTGAAGAAGAATTAGAGAAAAATCTGAAAGATTTAGGGTTTAATGTAGAGTTAGGGTTTAAAGAAGGTTGGTGAGACTGAGGGAAAGATGAAGAAGTAGGACAAGGAATGAGTTGAGGTAGAGCCATTATTACTTGGTGTTTTCAGTTACTCATTTCATTGCCAAATCAAAAGAGAGTACATGTATATGTGATAACAGTACAAGTGAAATTCTGGTAAAACTGATGATTGATTAATTTGGGCTTATTTAGAAATCTAGTGGTTTTTAGGAAGTGGCAGACGGGGGTGAGGATGTGGATAACATGGAAAGAAGGAGAAGAGTGGGGTTTTATTTTTGGATGTGGTATTGCAATTTCGCCACGTGGGTGTTGCGTTATCTGGAGATTATTTTCTACGTTTAATCTTGTTATTGGAGAAGTTTGATGTACGATTGTGGCAGTGGCTATGGTTGGCCAAATCATTTTCAATATGGAAAACCAAAAAATCTCCCATTTTTTTCATCTTCAAGAGCTCCACTTGAAATTTGGACCGAATCAGTTTTCTGGTTGGCGTAAATATAAGAATGCTTTCGTATCATAAAGATAAGTGATTGCAATCAACTATTTATTAGGCAAAATGTGGAGTAGTTGATTTGGGCTACGGCTCGAGGCTCAGAGTCTCAGACTACTCAACATGGAAGGCCCATTACCCAGTAGAGAGCTACCAGAATAAACTGGGCTTTAGGCTATTTAATAGGACAACATGGGCCGTACCAATCCAAGAACTGAAGTTTTAGGTCAATAAAATTCATAGAAAACCAGTCTGATGTTCTACCAACTCTCTACTTCTACAAGTTTCTCATATTGTTTTTTTTTTGTGTAAACCGACGAAGCTGACATGAATTATCGTTTGCGTCAGATTAGGGGTGTAGAAAACTCTGAGGGCCGTTTCGTTTCTTGTGTAGTCATCACATTCTCACCGCCCGTGCATATCTCATAAGCTGACATTTCCCATAATAACAATAATCAACTATTCGGTGTTCCCTGTATATATGTCGAGGTTTGAGACTCGTAATTATATACAAACAAGTCAAAGGATTAAGAAGAAAGGAAACATTAGATTGTGATAAAATGGCACAAGAGGGACAGGTGCAATCTAGAATAATAGAAGAAGAAGAAGAAAAGGTGATCATTTGTCACTCTGTTGAGTCGTTCAACGAGCAGCTCCAGAAGGGAATCCAGTCCAAGAAACTGGTACTTCTCATCACACTAGTACTTCTATTAATTTTTATTTCCTCCCGGTTGTTGTGCCCTTGAAATTTCGTTTGTTAGTTTGGTTTGTTTCTTACAATGGTTATCATCTAACATAGTTATTGTAATCTGACAGATTGTGGTCGAGTTCACGGCTTCATGGTGTCCTCCATGCCGGTTTATTGCCCCAATCGTGAATGAGATGGCAAAGAAGTTGCCTGGTGTTATATTCTTGAAGGTAAACAAGTCTTATACATAAATTGCAACGCTAAGTAATGGTGATTGAAACGGTCCATCACAAGTTTTGGTAATAATGATATTATGAAAATAATTGCAGTCCGTTGCTGAAGACTGGGATGTGAAAGCCATGCAAACCTTTGTGTTACTGAAAGAAAGCAGATTTCTGGAGAGGATTTTGGGCGCTAATAAGATAGAGGAGCTGCAAATGGCAATTGCAAAGCATGCAACTCCTCCTTAATTGGTGCTCAATTTAAATTATGGATGTAATGTTTTTGAATTTCTTGCAGTAGCCTTTTTCTCTTGTTTTAGTTGAAGCGAATTTGGGGTCTCTGTAATACATAATGTTTTCGTTGCAATGTTTACTAATATGTTATGGAAAGCACTGAGAAGAATTAAAAAAATAAAATAAAAAATTAGGCTTGAATTGATGAAGAACGCCTTGCTTTTAAAACAATACTCAATTAATTAGTTGGACATATCCCATAAGGACAAAAATGGTTCAAATTGATGGGTCTGGACATTGGGAAGGATGGTTTGCACATATATTTCTAATTATTTACTTGTATATAGGCGGGCTAGTTGATTTGGTCCATGGGCTATGGGTGAAGGTCCAGATACCGTTCTATATATGTACTTCCAGAAGCTTCTCACTTTTGTTTAAAACGATAAACCAAACCAGGTTCCCACTGCGTACGTGTCATCATTGACATCACAAATGTATTTTCGAACGTATCCATCATATAAATCGCATAATCCATGTGCGCAAATATTTCAACGTTTTATGCTGTTTAACGCGTTCTCATTTCTTAACTAGGCCGAACGACTGCACCTATATAGTTTGTTGTAAAAGCAATTTGATACCCAAAATGTTTGAAAATGACAAATAGCTACTTTCCGTTAGAATCTATTAGTAAATTCCGCATGAAGAACGATAGCATGGTAATTTTTCATTCAACCAAAACAGAGGCCAATTTCCTCTCTTTTCTTCTTTCTTTTTCGTTGCATTATAATAAACGATGCTTCAATGTCTTCGTCTCCGCCACTTACCTTTTAATGAAACTCCAGCTTTGACTTTCTCTTTCTAATCTTCCTTATTTCTCTCTAAAGATTTTGCCTTTCCAAAGTTTTGGAGAGAGAGTAAAGGGTCTTTTGAGTTTTTTTTTTTTTTTTTAAGGAAGGTTGATCACACTTCACGCCCCTTTAACCAACCATGTCTAACTTTGGAGAGAGAGTAAAGGGTCTTTGAGTTTTTTTTTTTTTTAAGGAAGATTGATCACACTTCACGTCCCTTTAACCAACCATGTTTGATTTAATGAAGTATGAAGAAAATATCTTATACAACTCGAACTACACTCACTAAGGACCAAGGTTTTATTCTAATCTTGATCCTCATCAATACCTTTTTTTTTTGGTGGTGGAGGTGAAGCTTTTGGTGGATTAGATGGTGATGATGAAGATGAATTTGATGGTGGAGGAAGACTTGTTGGTGGATTGGCCATTGGTGGTGGTAGAGGTGAACTCCCTGGTGGATTAGATATTGGCGATGGTGGTGGTCGAGAAGAACTAGTTGGTGGATTAGAAACAGGTGGAGATGATGGTGGTGATGTAGGTTGTTGATGCTTGATTTTTGACACCAACTAATCGAAACGTGCGCAACGTTGATTGGTCAAGAGACACACGTGATTATGGATAAAATGTAGAGTAAATGCAATGAGAGCTTTTTAAAGTGGTTCGGATGCTAAGGTAGCAAGTCCTACGTCCACTGATAATTGTATTAGTATTGTGGGTCAGGTCGCAACAGCGGACTGACTTACAAATGATTAGGGAAAAGTAAATACAAAGCTACAAGAGAGAGAGAGAGAGCTAATTCAGAGTGTAAAATGGCCGAATCCCCTTAATGAAGGGGTCTTCTCCTTTTTATAGTGAGATGAGTACAAATAAACATCATTAAATCCATGGGTTGGTGTGAATGTCAGGACTAAATCCGGCTTTATGTCACATTGCCCACCTTCCAAGCTGATTTCATGCGATTTGGAGCAGGGAATGGACACATGAGAGCCCCACGGCATCTTGCAGGCCTGACGTGCACTTACCGTTCTGACGGGAGCATGTCACCCCCCATCACATTCATGACCTATGTCCTTTATAGTCTCGAAAGGCAGAGTTAAAATCTAATTATGTGAAAATCTAATACTGGAGCTGCTTAAATGACAAATTCTCCTTCCTCTAGTATCAAAGCTGCCCATCTGATTGTCTCAATTTCAGCATTTCCGGACCTTCCCTGAACAATTTTTTTGGGGCTAAATTTATAGTTTCAAAGTGACATTCTCTATAGTTTCTGCTTTTACTTTCAATAATGTGTTGTTCTTTATGTTTACAGATAATTCCAAGTTCTCCGATGCAATTTTCAGAGTGAAGCCTCTTCATAGATTGCGAGACCTTGCAGCTCATGTTCATTCAGTTTAAGTGAGACGATGAAAGGGCCATCTTTCATCTCCTATTTCTGCTTTTATATCTTTTATTCATTGTGACGACGTTGTTTTGATTCTGGAAGTCTTACAACACGTGTGTTTCCAGCGTTTGATCATTTGAGATTGAATGGTGGAAGGAACCCCTTACATTTACTAATGCTGTGAATATGTACCTCGAAGTATGTATATATTTACGAACTACTTTTGGTGAATTGTGATGGTAGTTCCAACACACAAAGTAATTCAATGGTTTAGTAGGTGAAATGGATTATTGAAGAGGAGAGGGAGAAGGTGTAGATGTCAATAGGGGTGGAGATGTATTTTGAGGAGGTGGTGGTGAGACAAGTGGCTGTGCAGGAGGTGATGGAGTAGAGAAGTGGAGGGGTCAAGTGGATTTGCATTGGGATCAGAAGGTGAGGAGGTTGTAGGAGGTGGAGAAGATGGTTGTGATGATGGGGGTCGACTGGTGTTAGATGGTGGTGGACGGAGGGTGGTGGAGGTGGCATAGTAGTGGGGGATGAATTTGGAGGAGGCACGACAGTAAAGAAAAATATTTGAAGAAAAGAGAGGAAATTGGTCTCTTTTTTGACTGAATGCAAAATTATCATATTGTCCTTCTTTAAACGGAATTCACTAACAGAGTCTAACGAAAAGTTACTGTTTGTCATTTTCAAACCTTTTGGGTATCCAGTTGTCTTTGTGACAAACTATGGGGGGCGTGCAGATCGGCCTTCTTAACTATGAAAGAGATCAGAGATGCGTTCGCACAGATGCGTCACCTATCACGTATGACGTATCCGTTATTACTAAGAAATGGGCGAATCCGTAATAGTAGGTAAATAAATATTCGGTCTCTTTTGCTGCTAGACCTATAAATAAGGTTCGAAGGGTCGTATTATCATTCATCGCTAAAATATCAAATTCGTCTGTGGATAATAACAACAACAGCAACAACAACAAAATTAGATGGCGGAAGAGGGACAGGTTGTCGGCTGCCACACAGTTGAGTCATGGAAGGAGCAGCTTCAGAAGGGAATCGACACCAAGAAACTGGTAATGATAGTATACGGTTCTTGTTAGGTTTAGGTTTAATTTGATTCTTCGAAATAATTTTTTATGGGTTTTGGCTTTTCAGTTGTGTGAAATTTATGAGTGGGTCTTGAATTTTCGTTTGTTAGGTTGCTTTTTCTCTTACGATTGTTTAATCTTTCATCTCTGGTTTACAGATTGTGGTGGACTTTATGGCTTCATGGTGTCCGCCATGTCGGTTTATTGCCCCAATTTTGGCTGATTTGGCAAAGAAGATGCCTCATGTCATTTTCTTGAAGGTTGATGTTGATGAATTGAAGGTAAACATACTTAAATCAATCCATCAAATGCTAAATTATGTGAATGGAATCTTTGATCGGATAGTTGATTAATGATGATGTTACAAAATTGCAGTCTGTTGCTGAAGAATGGGATGTGGAAGCCATGCCAACCTTTGTGCTGATGAAAGAAGGGAAAATTTTGGACAGAATTTTGGGAGCGAAGAAAGATGAGTTGCAACTGGCAATCACAAAGCATGCTACTACTGAACCTCCTGCTCCAACAGCTGAAACTGCTGCTCCAACTGCTGAATCTGCTGCTACAACTGCTAATGCTTGATTGTTGGGGGTTCATGAACGGAATAATGATAGTTTGATGTAGTTTCAAGTGTCATGTCTTTGTTTGTGGTTAGTTTTATCTACTCTTTTATCTTTGTATGATTGGATGTGTGGAATGTTCAGCTATGTAAGAGTTAATAATCTTAGTCCCATTGTCCTTTGTCCTTGTGAAGTTGTTTCAATGAGATGCTTACAAACTGCAAAAAATTAGATCTTATGTCGACACTTTAACCTTGCAACTTTGAGAACAATCATAAACGCAACCATAAATATAGCTTCCATTCAGTGGAAAAAACCTGTTGTCTTTACACAATAATCACTAGATATTACCCTCATCAAAGGGTTAGAACTTAGAACATGTCTTCTTCTACTCGTAAACAATTCTAATATCGTAGAACACTTATTATTTGTAGCTGAAGCTTACCACCAGATTCAGTATTATAGATTTGCATCATAACATCACCGTGTATAGACCTTACCAATGGCGTAGCACCTGCTTGCTTGAACATCACCATCACCACCTTTCAGAAATATATTATCGATGAAGAACTTTATAAACAAGATGAGCGCCTAAATCTACTATTGAAGAATCTTCTTCCTCTGTCGTTCTACTCTTCATCCTCTTTTTGACCGTTTTTGTACTGTCTTTTCACAAGAGATATTTTTGATGCATCTCCACCAAGTTCTTCAAAAACTACCAACAAATTTTTTGTTGGCTTCAGAAAGGACCTTGGAACATGATACCTGCAAAATCCAAACTTCAGTTGATTTAAAAGTGACACAAATATGATAATTCAAGGTCATTTTATTGTCTTCTTAGTTATATTATAGATTATCAGATCCAAAAGATTTCAATGCATTATAGGGCAATACCATCGTTGGGTCGGTCGGCCACATCCACGCAGGCACTTATTAGGGCGGTATGTCCCAGCATAACTACAAGTATTGCAGTCACCCTTTGCATAAGCCATCCAATATCTTCCTATACTCTCCCCGTTAATCCACACTTGACCCTTTCCCATACTTTGCATGTCCAAAGCCAGTGGCTCATTTCCTGCAGGTGCATCAAAATATGCCTGCGAATTCCAGGCTGACATTTAGCTTCTAAAGATCAAAGCTAGTTTTGTTGCCACTGTATTAATTACTTTCAAACCTCCTTTTACCTTGTACCATGTCAAAGGTTGCTGGCCTTGAGTAGATAGTGACACTCGAGTCCATTCAACAGATGAGACTTCATTTGGTGATACTAGATTCATTGCCTCCCCTTTTAAGCCAACCTGTTTATGTAAAAATCCATAAGATAAACTTCTGGCTCGGACAGGACAAGGCAAGAACATATTGAAACAAATCTAAAACTCATATGCATATTTTTTGACCTGGTATGACCATTTCTGCCACGTTAAGTCTCTATTTCCTTTGTCTAGACCCTGTAGCATAACTGGACCCAGGATTCCTGTTTCCCACTTTTCGTAATGGAACCCGACATTCTACAATCACTCCACAAAAGTTGTATTCAGTTACTAAATAATTTGATAGGCTTATGCCACAGTGATGTATACATTTAATGATTCAGTTCCTGCTCATGCTAATTGACTATAAGGAATGGGCAAACAAGTTGCTCTTCCCACAATTAGTTTAGCTGTCACACTCGCATTCAAGTAGATGGTCAGGAACCAACCGGTAATCCAACAGCCATGCTGAGGAGTGCAATCTTATTTGCTCCAGCACGTAGGTTAACTGGCCCTGTAAATGTGAACTTTCTGCTCTCCCTAGTCCCAAAGGCTGAGCCTGTAGTAAAGTAGTATTATTAAATCTACGAGCTTTTTTGCCACAACAGATATCAAGATTTAGTAGTTGTCTAGTTGACCAACTAGCAAAACATACTTGAACTTGACAGCTCCTGGAAGAAAGAGTCCAACAACAATACCTGAAAATTGTCCATTGATGAAAACATGAACAGCGTGACCAGCTGATTCTATAGTAAGAGTGGGCTTTTGTCCTCCTCGCAGAAATGATTCTGACGAACCAATGTCAAGACTGGGATGAAATGCAAACCAGAAAAGTTAAAATTAATAGCAAGAAACATGCACTAGAGATGCGTTTGCATCCAGCAGCTTTTTAGAGTAAACTGAGTTTATTTTGTTGGCATCAAGTTGCTTTTGGAAATCAGGAATAGGTGTTCAAAGAAATTATAATGCACCAGGCTCACCTCGTCATATACCACAGGTAGTCACTAGTATCTCTAGTGACATTTACCTGCTCCAAGAGTCCAGCAGTTGTCATTGTTGATCTTTGACCCAGAGAAGAAACATCTTCATCATAAGTCTCCCATGAAAGCAACTTAGAGTCGGCTGGCAACATTTGCATATGTACACTTTGAACTCCAACCTAGAGAGCACAAGACAACCATATCAATGACTTGGTTAGATAATTATGAAAAAGAAAAAGAAAAAGAAAAGAAAAGCATCAGAAAATATGCTCTTGAACTGCAAGTTGGATGTATATTTAAAATGATTAGCCACTAAGAATTTACTTACTGTTGCAGTGTTAAATACAACATTCTTGCAATCAGGAAGGATGCTTATGGACCAAGGGGGCAAATCATAATGCCTGCCATTAAATATCACCTTGGCAGCAGAGCTTGCATGGTAATTCGAGAGAAAAGCTGTACATCTCCCCTTCCCTGGAGAGAATACATAAGCCTGGAAGATGACCATAATTGAATTAAGCATTGGCACTCGGAAGAATGGTCTTGAAAGTTATGACATAACTTGTCTTACTACCAAAAACTAAAATAATTATTCAAGCAAGAAAAGGCTGACTGGCTGACCTGGTGATAGGTTCCCAGTGAAGTCACAGTTGGATCTGAAGAAACTAAAGCATGTTCACATAGCTTAATAGCCTTGTGAAGCTCCTTGAGATGACCATATTTAGGTTGCCTGATCAAACCTGTACATGTGCAGAATAGTGGTTAGTTGCAAATTCCTGGCTCACAAGCCTAAATTGCGAATTTCACAAAAACATCCTCAATATCAGAAGATGTCAATCACAAAAGAAATGAGTTTTTTTTTTTTTTTTTTTTTTTTCTCACCATATTCATCAAGTGGAGCATCATAATCATAACTGGTGGTAATGAAAGGGCCTCCAGCAGTGCGCCCAAAGTTAGTTCCTCCATGATACTGTCATAAGCCATTGCCATACACAATGAGGTAACTTTTAATGCTAACACAAAAGTGCCGGTTTAAACAAGAGCTAATGAGGCAAGGTAACCAACCATGTAGTAGTTAAAATACGAACCACCCTTTTGTATAAAACGGGCAACTGCAAATGCCAAATCTTTAACTGGTCGTCGGTGAACAGGGCCACCAAACTCTGTAAACCTTTATGATATAAGAAAAAAGCTAAAAGGGATCAGAACACTGAATTTGAGGTCACCTAGGCAAATTTAAAAGTATAAGATAAGCAAATATTTACCAGCCACTCCAGGCCTCAGTCCACATTGTAGGCTTGTAAGGTTTGTTGGGAGAGAAAGAATCGCAGTAAAAACCATTACATGCATTTATCTATTGCCAAGATTTGCAGAGTAAACTCAGAATTCCCATTTAAGAAAAGTTGAATCTTAAGTAAATATCAGCCAACTGAGAGAGACTCGGTAAAAAAGCTAACCACAGGGTCTGGAGCATCATCTTCCTTGCACATCACCCATGGGACTCCTGTATCTAATGCAACGGCCATTTTTGCGGCCCAATTTATGTATGCATGACCAGCAGCTCCCTTACTTTCTGGTCCATACTCATTCTCAATCTACATAAACGAAATTAAAACAAGAAATTAAATATACTGTCAATTAGTTTAATAGTTCATAGTCTATACCAGAGTCATCTGACGACAAGTGCATAATCCTTGTTTTTTATCTTCTCTTTTTAAGAAACAAACACTACAGCTAAACAATGCTAAAGTATACCATACATAATAATAAAAACCTAAATTCTATAAGTGCAAAAAACCATGAATCCATACCTGAGAGAGGATAATGGGACCTCCTTGTGATGCAAATAACTTCTCAGTTTTCATCATCTGTACAATTTTCTGGGTAAACCCTTCCATTGCCATCTTAAAACAAGAAAATGAATACAATGTCAAACTATAATCCAAACAGCTTTACTACTTTCTCTGATTTTTTTTTTTTTGGGTTAATTATTTCACAGAGGAAATGAAAGTGAAAAAGAAATAACCTTGAAAGGCCCATTATCAGTTCTAAAGCTGATACCAGGAACATACTTCAACCAAACGGGAAACCCTCTGTACCAAACAGAGAGTGAACCAGTCAAACAAAACACTCAAACTAACAAAAGACAAAAAGAAACAAAGATATACTCCTTAGTAAAAAACAGAGCTACAAAATTACCATACTATGAACCAAAAAAAGAAAAAGAAAAAACAAACAGATCCAGGCAATAAATGTTGAAAAAAAAAAAAAAAGATTTGTGGTGTAGGTACCCGAAATTCCACTCAGCACAGACATAAGGTCCAATGCGGAGATGAGCATATAGCCCTGCTTTCTGAATAGTCTTAATGAACCGTACCAGGTCGTTTCTTCCTTCGAAATTATACTAAAAATATCCAGAAGAGTATAAAAAAAAAAAAAAAAAAAAATTAGAGAAATTTAAAGTGTAAAAATGAGAAACGTAGGAAAGTAAGGATCCAGATGATTACATTGCCCGGAGAAGGCTCATGCACATTCCAGAAAACATACGTGTCAATAACATCTAACCCTCCATCTTTAGCCTTCTGTATAAGATCTTCCCACATCTACACCCAAACACAGCAAAAAAAGCATTTAAAACAAAGAAAACAAAAACAAATAAGAGAAAAATGGACAAATATTATGTACTTCAGGTGTGCTTCTCGGATAGTGAATAGAACCGGAGATGAGGATTCTCCTCTGGCCATTGATGATAATGGCCTTCTTATCATAGGTCACGATGCACTGGATCACTTCACTGCCAACTAACATTACCATCAAAAGCCCGATCAATAACAGCTTGGAAACCGAGTTAGTTTCCATCTCTCTTTTTCCTCAGACAATTTGGATGAAAAATTTCAAAGAGTTAAGAGATACTAATGGCTGATTGAAATGCAGGTGATCTGCTACTCTGCAACAAGCATTGGTTTTGGATTTTGCTGCTATACACAACTGCAAGCCACAGAGACTCTCAAAAGCTTACAATTTATATATAAACTGTTGTGGTGAGGGTCAAGCATTAACCTCATATCCTTCTTCAATTATTAAAGTTTCTTAAATAAAAAGTTAAAAGTAGTAATTTAATTTCACTTACTCAAATGATTGAGATATTTTGTTTTTATCCTTCTGAAATTTGAATTTGAATCCAAGATATTACCATTTACTCTTCCTGTATCAGTACAAAGCCAAAGTAAAATCAAGGAGTAAACCGTAATTTGAGATTTATTTTACCCGGGCTTTTGTTTGTTTTTGAATTTTTATTTTTCTGAACACGGGCAGACAGGCTGAGCCAGCTGTAACTATGTGGTATTACATCTTAAAGACATGTCCTGATCACGAAACTAGTATTTATGTTGTTGGGTAACACAAAAGTAGTGGTTATCATTTGATAAAAACAACTATAATTTTATTTATTTATTTATCCCTATAATAACAAGGCAATTTAGCTTTATAAAGTTAGTCAAAACTGACAATTGTAATTGTGGAGCACAAAAACATAATTGCTCCATTTAAATGCCCCGCCAAATATATAATCTTTCATGCTTTAGTACCGACGCTAGATGGTCCTCACTAATTCGACCCCACTAAGATTAAAACTTTGCCTTGTTCATACGGTCAAATGTGCAAATCCTTACCCTTGGATTGATTTTTTATTCCAACTCAATGATGAGATGACAGACAAAATGTTATCTTCTTTACATGTTTTCCTTGGTCTTATGTGATGTGTCCACGTGTCTTTTCCTGAAGCTCTGGCATAACATAAGCCTTTCATAGATATATCTTGTAGATTTATCGTGTAAGAAAACAAACATGACCTTAAGTCTTGGTCACCGATGGGATGATGAGAAGGTAAAGGCACCAAACCTCCGAGCTCACGTGTAAATATTCTTCTTCTGTCCTGCCTTTAATAATATTTCATGAAGGAAACAATAATAAAGGTTGACAAAACAAAAGACCCGAACCCTGAAGTAGCGGGTCCTCGCACTGGCTCGAATTTAGCGACAGAACTGAAGTCCACTACTTGTAGAGCAAACTTCGGATCCATTGTTATTTAAGTAAATTATTCAACTCACTGAATGTGGGTAGTTTTAGTGTCCCTAAGTAGTTATGGAAATTGTTCTTTCCATGGAAGTTTCAAACATTTTAATTTGCCATAAAATTAATAGGATGTATGTTAATCAATCAACATCAGAGTCGTTAAAAATTATTGGTTACCACTTTGCACTCAATTAAATGAAGGGGTTCAACATTGTTTTCTCCTTGTCTTCCACCTAATTGTTTTAATACAATTGACATTACTATACCAAACCCATTTCCAAAACCTTATAATAACTAATATTTATTTAGCACCGTTTATATTGTTGTTGAACCCGTTAAACCTAATTTTGTTTTTACATGAATGGATTGCAACGTTTATCACCTAAAACAATTTATTTTAGAGTAAAAGACATATTCCCATAACAGGCTTAGTGAAATCTCAAGTTGATACCTTTGATTGCATTTATTGTTTGAGTTTTGTAGAAGAGGTTATGGGGAATTCAATAGTGGTCTCCGAAGTGATTTTAGATTTCAAAATCGGTTGAAAAAAGGTCGATTTGGACGCTGTTAACAGAAGCTGCTTCTTACTAATATGAACCCATCTTCTACTAAAGAAAACGCCGATACACTTTAACGTGTTAACGTGTGTTACACTATAGTAAAAAATTGAGAATTTGTTAAAATAAAATAAATGACATTAGTTTAAGGGTAAAAATCTAGAATAAATAAAATTATGAGTATCAATTTGGGATCTTGTTGAATCTCAGGTACCAACGTGTCATTCACTCTTTATTTTAAGATTAACCATTTAATTAATCTCATAGTTAACCTTGATATTTTATTTGTTAATAATTACCACCTATTTAAAAGATAAATAAAATTTTAAATAGAAATATCATTTAATAATGAGAGGCAATTATTGGATCATGGAGATGAGATGAACCAACTTTTGTAATGTTAATGAAGATTGAAAGTGTTATCAATCAAATCATAAAAAGTGAACTTGGTTGGGTGGAGTAATTAAATTCCTTTAAAAAAAAGGTGTAGTGAGCAGCAAGCAAGGGGACACTGTTCTTACGCCGTTTGTTTCTCTCTTCTTAAAAACCTATAGAATTCCGTGACGCTAGATCTCCGTTCCGTTTACGTCGGTGAACCGGTTCAGCCGGTCGAGATTTAGTTGTTGTAACGCGTGATAAACAATTACCAAGGATGCTCATGCCTCATAGTGAAATGGACGCGCCTTTTGGATCACGTGGAATGGTTAAGGGCCTATCCTTTGGACATGGATTCTTCACGGATTGTAATGATTATTAAATAGAATTTGGTTGGATGAGTCATGGATCATTTTGTCGTCTTGTTACTTGACTTTTACTCCTATATCATTCACAATTACATAAAAAAATCAATACAATATTGCTTGGGTTGGGGGCTTATGCAATTGATACCAGTACACTAGTACAGTACAGCAAAGCAAGCAGGAACAGAAAGGAGCTCAAATTATGCCAGTCTGGGCAATTATTTAAACACTTGACTGAAAATTTCAGGCTCAAAGCTCAAATCAATAGAAACGTGGGGCTTCGCTAATTGTTATTTGTCGCAAACCGATCCCAGTGTCCGCCGTCAATAGTTTTTAAAGCTACATAGGGGCCTCCAGAGAGGCCCATGGGCCTTATTGATCGACCCATTAATTCATTGACCTGTCCACCCTTTATCTTTATCCACTTAGTAATTATTGGACAGTGTCTGGTACTAGTTTAGCCACCGGTAGCATAAGATATAATCCGGTACTAACCAGCAGTGTAGGTTTCCAGTTTCCACACAAGTCTTGCACTTTGTCTTCACTCGGTCCATTTCTTCTTCTTCAACCTCCAAATTGTTCAAAATTGTTAACAAAAAATAAATTTTGTAAATATAGCTGAAGAATGGATAACCTGATGATGCCTTGCATTTCTGTAACAAAACCCCTTGTAATAATTCCACAAAAACAAGACATGTTATCTGAATTCTCAACAAAATCCATCAAATCCGCACTTTCTTTTACCAAAAAACCCGGCCTAAGATCTACAGATGCTCATTTAAACTACCTTTGTAGAAATGGACGTCTGACCGAGGCCATAACAGTTCTGGATTCCATTGCCAAACAAGGCTCGAAGGTAAGAGGGAACACCTATATTAACTTACTCCAATCATGCATTGATTTTAATGATATTCAACTTGGCCGAAAACTCCATGCCAATATCAATTTAGTGTCAGAAATAGACGTGTTTGTTGAAACCAAGCTAGTTAGCATGTATGCAAAATGCGGGTGTTTTAATGATGCTTTTAAGGTTTTTGATGGAATGCGTGAAAGGAATCTGTACACGTGGTCGGCGGTTATCGGGGCACGTTCACGAGAGCAAAGATGGCGGGAAGTAGTCGAGCTGTTCTTTTTGATGATAACCGATGGTGTGTTGCCTGATGATTTCTTGTTTCCAAAAATTTTGCAAGCTTGTGGAAATTGTGGGGACTTTGAAACTGGAAAACTGATACATTGTTTAGTAATTAAATTGGGGATGACCTGCGTTACGCGTGTTAAAAATTCAATCTTGGCTGTGTATGTAAAATGTGGGAAAATGAGTTGGGCGAGAAGGTTTTTTAAAAGCATGGATGAGCGGGATAAAGTGGCTTGGAATTCTATGATATCTGGTTATTGCCAAATTGGTGAGAATGAACAGGCTCATAGGTTCTTTGATGAGATGTGTAAAGAGGGGATTGAACCAGGTCTTGTGACATGGAACATTTTGATTCGTAGTTATAACCAATTAGGGCAATGTGAAGCTGCAATGGAATTGATGAAGAAGATGGAGAGTTTGAGGATTAGTCCTGATGTTTTTTCTTGGACTTGTATGATTTCGGGGTTTGCTCAAAATGGGAGGACAATTGAGGCGTTGGATTTGTTTAAGGAGATGTCTTTTGTTGGGGTTAAGCCAAATGAGGTTACCATTACAAGTGCAATTTCTGCTTGTACAGATTTAAAAGCATTAGAAATTGGGTTGCAATTACATTCTGTTGCTGTTAAGATGGGCTTCATTGATGATGTACTGGTTGGGAATTCACTCATTGGCATGTATTCCAAGTGTGGGGAGTTAGAAGATGCTGAGCGAGTGTTTGATATGATCAAAGAGAAAGATATTTATACATTGAACTCAATGATTGGAGGATATTGTCAAGCTGGCTACTGCAGCAAGGCCTATGAACTCTTCATGAAAATGCAAATATCAGATATACCACCTGATGTCATTACGTGGAATGCAATGATCTCAGGATATATACAAAATGGAAATGAGGATGAAGCCATGGATCTTTTTCGAAGAATGGAGGAGGATGGGAAAATTAAGAGGAACAGCGCCTCATGGAACGCACTTATTGCTGGTTACTTGCAACTTGGCCAGAAAAATAACGCATTGGGGGTATTTCGAAAAATGCAGTCTTACTGTTTTAGTCCGAATTACGTAACCATCTTGAGTGTCTTACCTGCTTGTGCATATTTAGTCGCAGCCAACAAGGTGAAAGAGATCCACAGTTGTGTACTGCGCAGAAATTTAGATTCTTCACTCCCTGTTACGAATTCACTTATGGACACTTACGCCAAGTCAGGGAATGTTGTATACTCAAGAACTCTATTTGATGGACTGCCATATAAAGATATGATCTCCTGGAACTCAGTGATTTCTAATTATGTTTTATATGGCTTTTGGGATACTGCACTTGATCTGTTTGATCAAAGTAGAAAATTTGGATTTAAACCGAATAGAGGTACTTTTGTAAGTGTTATCCTCGCACACAGTCTTGCTGGAATGGTGGACGAGGGGAAGCAGGTTTTCTCTAGCATCACTGAAGACTATCAAATTATACCAATGTTGGAGCATTATTCAGCTATGGTGGATTTATATGGTCGTTCAGGTATGCTCGGGGAAGCAATGGAGTTCATAGAAGATATGCCCATAAAACCTGACTCCTCTATTTGGGAGGCATTACTGACTGCCTGTAGGATTCATGGGAATATTGACTTAGCTGTTTATGCTGTGGAACGTTTGCTTGAGTTGGAACCGGGAAATATTTTGATTCAGCATCTAATTTTGAAGACTTATGCTATATGTGGGAAACCTCAGGATGCTTTGAAAGTGAGAAAACTTGAAAAAGAGAACTCAGTAAAAAAATCTCTTGGACAGAGCTGGATTGAAATTAAAAACATGGTGTATACCTTTGTCACAGGTGATGACTCTAAATCGTACTCAGATCCTTTGTATTCTTGGTTGCAAAAGATACTAGAAAACATAAAGGCACATCATTCTCACAATGGATTGTCCATTGAGGAAGAAGAGAAGGAAGAAATCAGTGGTGTCCACAGTGAAAAACTGGCATTAGCTTTTGCCTTAGTTGGTTCATCCCCTGCACCACAAAGTATCAGGATTGTGAAAAACATTAGGATGTGTGGAGATTGCCATGAGACAGCTAAATATGTCTCTATGACATATGGGTGTGAAATATATTTGAGTGACTCAAAGTGCTTACACTATTTTAAAAATGGGCATTGTTCTTGTGGCGATTATTGGTAGAGTAGAACTTATGAAATTGACTGTAGATCAGTTTCAGTGATGAGTGGCTTATCCAGATATCAGAATACCACCCAAGTTGCCATCAATATTGCTTTCCTACTATGGCAAGCAGGCGAATTCCCTTGTAAGATTATTTCTGTGTTTTGTTTTCTTTGATCATGCATTGAATGGCTATATATAAGAGATTGTTATATTTAAGAGATTGTTATATTCTACATTTCACGGAATGAGTGGGTGTGCCAACTACAGTGGCGATGTGGTTGTCATGCACTTGGCAATTACTGACAGTGAGATATCTTCAATACGAGCCAAGGTTATTTTATTGGCAGTTATACTATTTTGTGAAATATTTATACCTGTTAAACTTTTTTGTTAATTATAAGAAACAGAAAATTTGTATATGTGACAAAATTTACAAAAAGAAGAACAAGATGTCCTTTTAGCAAAACAGAAAAAAAGGGATGCTAACATCATGACAACCCAGGACTTCCTATATAAAAGTAGGACATTCTTGAAAAAGTAATGCCCTAAAACAACGGCTTCCCCCAATTTTATACAAGTTATACTTCTCCTTTCATTGTTTATATTATTTTGTCCTACAATTGATTTGGTTCACTTGTTAGATTAGCATCAATCTCCTATTTTCACAGCTAGTTATTGTATTTTGCAGGTGAAAATAGACTTCATAGTCCAGGCCCAAAATGATGAGGCAAATCGTTGTTCTTTGTGGAATTGGCTATTGTGGAGGTATAAAATTCAGGCCGCCTGCAATAAACTGCAATATTTTGACACCATAAACTTTATAGGTCTATTTGGATGTCAACAAGAGCTCGGATGGTAGCCTAATCATTAGGCTAAACAGAGACTATCAGTAGTGTCATGTTTCTGGAGAGTGAACTTGTAGTTTCAGACCGCATGAATTTCTAGGAGTTTCTGTATTGCTTGATCAGGACCATGACTACTAAGTCAAGGTTTGACCACGAACTTCAACCAAATAATTTTTTTTTCTTCTTGAAAATGTACTTAAAGTCAGTATGCAGTCAATTTGGAAAGAAAAGAATTCTATTGCCTTTCTATAATCTTAGTGTGAATGATATGATTTGCTTATAGATTCCAAATTGTCTACCACAGTGATTTGAGGCAAATCATTGTTCAAATATTTATCTTGCTTTACTTAATAACTAGGAAGTTTAGTTGGGTGTATTTGGTGAAAACGGTTGTTTGTTCTGAATCCTGATAGTCTTCTTGGAACAATGGAATTTCAAGTGGGAAGTGGTAGCCACTAGCCAGCTATCTTCTGTAAACCAAGGGAAGATGCTTTGCGAAGGCCCATATTAGCTGGCAGATGTAAACGATTCGTGTAACTTGTACCTTATCATTAGAAAATTCATAAGAAGTTGTAGCATAAAGTAGAGTGCAGAAAGAAAAAAAAAATATAGCTTTTAATCTCCATAAAATAAAAAGAGCCTTGTCAACTTGAAATATCTCCCTCAGAAAAAGTTCAGGGATGGCAGGAATATTATCTTGATTCATGCTCGAACCGAGGACAGTGGTCCATTGCATGCAAGAGATTGCCAAATAGTTACACGAAACAGCTGTGTGATAATTTCCTATAATGAGTTAAATCAATGACCGGGAAACCTGATTTGGATAGCTGACAAGATCTTTAATGTCTTGTAAGATTCTGTTATGATTCGATTTATACATATGATCCAATATAAAAGTGTGAAAGTGAAAAATCTTTATTAGTAATCTTGGCTTTTTAATTGTGCGTGCCAAGATTTTTATGTTAAATAGCTCCACATATTCGAAAATGGGATTGCAGAGGTCGGCCACTAGCACCTTGTAATAATGGAACAGGTTATTCATCAAATGAATTTAACCAAAGTGATGGAGAGGTTCAAATAACGTCTCAAGACTAATTCCATTTTTTTGTGAAAATGATCTCTGAAGAGGATTATAAACGCAAATAAAGGATCTGTAATGATCACAAATGCGGAGAACTTTTCTGAAAAGATATAAAGCTGTTGAAAAATAGTTCTCTGGGAATACGATTCTCTTCCTTTGCTTTGTTTCCCTTGATAGTGGAAAACAGAATTAGCTTCTTCTACAAATTTCTGAAAACTATATTATAGTAAACTCCACGCAATATAACAAATGCATGTCGAGCCTTTCTCATTAGTTCATTGTAACATTCTACCAATTCCTCAAGCTTGTTGTCTTCCCGTTATTGTTTTTTTAGTCTTCGTTCAATACTTAGAAAGAAATGGTAAATACAATATTTGTTTGTTGTTGATATTATTGTTTTGATAAAGTTTTACTAATATATGACAAATCACTTGGATGATTTTGGTTCAGAGTTTGGTGGAAGGCGAGAAGAAACCAGTAGCAGTTGGGCCATGGGGAGGTCAAAACGGTGTTCACTGGGACGATGGAGTTTATACAACAGTGAGGCAGCTTGTGATAGCTCATGGAGCTGGTATTGATTCCATCCAGATTGAATATGATAAGAAAGGGAGCCAAGTTTGGTCAGCTAAACATGGAGGAAATGGAGGCAGTAAGTTAGACAAGGTCAGTATTTGAATAAGTTTTTCTCTCCAATAGTTAATATATGAAACATGAGCTAGAATTAAATTAATAAACACTAAATTCCTGAAACTACAATTTCAACAATATATGTATAGGTTACACTTGAGTACCCAGATGAGTTCCTAACTGCAGTCCATGGACACTACGGTACTGTAAACGATTGGGGAGCAGTGTGTGTCAGATCACTAACTTTCCAAAGTAACAAAAAAACATATGGACCTTTTGGTATTGAGCAAGGAACATATTTTTCCTTCCCAATGACTGGAGGCAAGATTGTTGGGTTCCACGGCAGGAGTGGTTGGTATTTGGATGCCATTGGAGTTTATCTAAAGCCTCTTCAGAATAAAAATTCCTCCAAATCCATTGTTCATTCACAAAGTTTTCTTACTAATGGATCCGAGAAAGTTGGCTACTCACTAGTACAAGGAAGCGTGGGTGAAAGCTATGACATAGTTCTTGCTGTAAAGCAAAAGGATTCTTTTGGCGCTAATCACCTACCAACCATCCTCTCAAGGCAGAGCTCTAGTACTTCTCTAGACTCCTCCAGTGACGAAGATAACAAAACCAAACATAACAAGGTGAAAATTCTGTTTTCCTAATTTTTTATTGGAAAAGATGGATAATATTTTCATGATCATTTCTTATTGCAAAAGATCGTGAGTTTTGGAAAATGAAATTTCTTTCAGATGCATAGTAATGACAAACTGCGTAGTATGGACAAACTTCCCATAAAAGTAAATGGTGTATTATCCTATGGACCCTGGGGTGGCAGTGGTGGATCAACGTTTGATGATGGTAATTTTACAGGGGTTAGACAAATTAATATTTCTCGCAATGTTGGAATCGTTTCGATAAGAGTTTGTTATGATCGTGATGGGCAAGCTGTCTGGGGTAGCAAACATGGCGGTACTGGAGGATTTAGAAATGACAGGGTGACTTAACTTACTTATACTCTTATCTCCTCTATTCAACTTTGACATTTCTTAATTTGCGTATTGGCATGATGAGAGTTCACTTACATTTTGTCTTTGGTGCACAATGGCAGGTGATCTTTGATTATCCATATGAAATATTAACACATATAACAGGAACGTATGGGCCTTTAATGTACATGGGACCAAATATCATTAAGTCACTCACCTTCCACACCACCAAAGGGAAGCATGGGCCATTTGGAGAAGAACAAGGACCCTCATTCACCCACAAAATGAACGAAGGCAAAATTGTTGGATTCCATGGAAAAGAGGGTTTATTCTTGGATGCTATTGGTGTACATGTAATGGAAGGAAAAGTATCTCCGCAGTCACATCCTGTTTCTAATGCAATTAACAAAAGTGAAGGACCTATAGCTGAGATTGATAATCCTCAATGGTCTAACAAACTTCTAGTTGCAAAGCGAGGACCAACTGAAGAGGTAAAGGATTAATGATCATAATGTGAAATTTTCGATCAGCATAAGTGCCATATCATAAAAAGAATGTGTTCATTGATTCTCAGGTTGCGTGTGCGGTGATAAAAGAACCAGCTCCATTTGGACCAGGTCCTTGGGGTGGAGATGGAGGGAGACCATGGGATGACGGAGTATATTCTGGGGTTAAGCAAATATTTGTGACAAGAGGAGACGCTATTAACTCCATTCAAATTGAGTATGATCGAAATGGACAATCCGTTTGGTCTATAAAACATGGAGGAAATGGAGGCTCTTTCACACATCGGGTACTAAATTTAACCTCAATACTTAAATTTATGATGTATATATCTTTCCTAAAAATTTCTTGAATGAGGTTTGCTCAAGTATGATAAATATTTTTCAGATAAAAATGGAGTACCCACATGAAATGCTGAATCGCCTGTCTGGATATTATGGTCCGGTGAGTACAGATGATAAATCAAAAGTAATAAAGTCATTAACATTTTATACGAGTAGAGGGAAGTACGGTCCATATGGGGAGGAAGTCGGAACATATTTCACTTCAACAACAACAGAGGGAAAGATAGTTGGTTTCCATGGAAGGAGCAGCTACTACTTAGATGCCATTGGAGTTCATATGCAACATTGGCTTGGAAATACTCAAAGAACCACCCGTTCTTTTTTCAAGTTTTTGAATTAAACCTATATACATATATTGTATATGTTCACTCACTGTCACTAGAATAATACGTCTTGAATCTCATGCCCAATAACCTATATAATTAATATGAAATAAGTCATTTTAAATTCTTATTTTGAAGTTAAATCGATTGATGATATTTATGCGAAAAGACTAATTAATTAAGCAACCTAAACTTAATTAGATTGCTTCTCGTAACTAGCCGATAAAAGTGGCTGAAAACAATGTGCTGTGAAGGCATTCGGCCCAGCACTGAAAGCACAGGATGACCCAAATCAAGGGAAGAAATATGTAATGTGTAGAGATATATAGCTTTTAAAATTGGGTTTTAACACCGATTTATTTAATAATCTATTATTTCAAGTTTGAAATTCAGATTTTATATTTGCAGATAGAGATTCACCAGAATGAAGCCAATGGTTTTTATTTCCACTAATTGGGTTAATAACCCATATAGAATTGTATTAAAAAATATAAATTAGTGATGACAGTAAAATTAGGGTTCATAATAGTCAGGTTTCAAGAATAATTTTATTTTAAGTAAACAAAACTAATGGTTGAGAGAGTTTTGTTGGTGCAAAATAGTGCCATATTTTCTGGTTGAAGGCTTGAATGCTTAGACTACACCAATAATAAATCGACCAAACTCGAATTATTGCCTGTAAATTTGTAAAATTTATATATTTTTATTCATAAATCATAGAGCAAATTTAACATGATAAAACGAAAAGTTTTCTTTTGTATGTCATTTCTCGATTATTAACAAGAAATCTACAATCATATGTGGAGCCATTTATGCATATACATAACTTTGTCAGTTGATGATATAATGCCCAGGCATAAATATAAAACCTTTCCTCTCAAATCAACAAAACAAACTGTAGTTTAGGTTTAGAAACTTGTAGACGGTAAAATCTACGGTTACGGAATGGGGGGTATGATCCCGTGAGGTTGAGGCTACCAACAATCTGTTGTATCTGCACACAAAAAAAAAAAAAAACAAGCTTGAAGTGAACAGAAAGCACTGGGGTAGTGTTTGTCGTAAACATTCCGACGCTTAAGTCAGCAAGGCTGAATAAGACTAATTTAGTGAGGGTTAGGGAAAGAGAAGGTTACTAGAAATTTAGTCGAAGACTAAGACTACGATAGCGATGTAAAGCTCTCGAGAGTGAGAACTATGGGGCTAGAAAGCGTAATGTTCCCTAAATGTGAGAGGACTTGCCTCTTGTTTAAATAGCAACTATAAGATCTTTGAGTCCTTGGAAGTTGAGGTTTAGTGAATAGGAAAACCTTTGACTCCCTTACCTTAGTGGGAAAGGGAGTTCTAGTCGGTCTAAGATACAGATCTTAGATGAATTAGGATAGTAATGGATCTTCTTGGTAGAATCCGAATAGTGTTGGAATAAGTAGGCAACCTTGAGGTCCAAGTAAACCCTATGTTCATTAAGCGATCTTGGATCAATGGACCCAGACTTAGATAAGCTGATGATAAGGTCTAAACGAATCGAGACCTTTATTGATTGAGCTCAAGCAGTGAGCAACATTGTAGGTGTAATGAACGGATCCAATATTCAAATTCTATCATGAGTCCAATCGGAATTGGGTCATGACTCCAAGCTTTATTGAAGAAGTCTTCGTTTTTCGGCCTCAATAGGCCGAAGACATTTTTTTGGCCCAAACAAAACCCCAAACGCTTGCTTAACTTTTAATAAAAATTAAAGCTGGTAGATCCAATTAGTAGATGGAACTCATTAAGATGATGCGGGTGCCACCAATAGATCTTGTCATCTCAGCTACAATAAATGTACTATGACCAGAATATATTTAGACAGTGGCCAGTGGTTTAGATAAGACATTAGAGACAGCATTATAGCATATATAAACAAATACAATTATGAGTGATGACAATTAGCCTTATCATATTCAACATCGCAAGTTGCCCCAGAATCTTACTGTCTGAGCCAGTGACGTGATTTGGGTTCGGAAATATCGGTGAAAGCTCTTTAAAACATAATTTGAAAAACGATGTTTAGGCTGTTAAATATGTGATTATAACTGCTGTTGTCAGATTCTATGGCGTTTATGTGTGTATTAGGTCATTAGGATTCAAGCTATCAATGGAATTAATGACATGGGACCCAAGTTTCAATTCGAAAATATTAATAGTCTGATACGATTATTATCACCTTAATAATGGATCAAGATCTTGTTTTGGATTTTATTCCAGTTTGGCCTACCATTTGCATGGAGGAGAGAAACATAGCACATTCAGAAATCTGACCCATCACATCTTTGATTTTGTCATTTGAACCTAATAAGCTAACACCTCTACGTTGCATTTATATTGGAATTTAATCGAAGTTGGTTGCTGGGAGGAGCAGTAAGAACTAAGAACCAGAAAATTAATATGAGTGGTGGCTGTAAAAGGAATGCCGCCAATTAATCTGATATTTTAATTTCTCTTACGTTAAATTTGAAATAATTGTTGTCCTTAATTACTCGAGTCAATTACAAGTACTTTCAAAGTCTATGAATATACTTGGCAACCAAGTAATTGAGATTTTCATCAAATAATGCATGCATCAGCCATTGTTTNTAAGCTAACACCTCTACGTTGCATTTATATTGGAATTTAATCGAAGTTGGTAACTGGCCTGGGAGGAGCAGTAAGAACTAAGAACCAGAAAATTAATATGAGTGGTGGCTGTAAAAGGAATGCCGCCAATTAATCTGATATTTTAATTTCTCTTACGTTAAATTTGAAATAATTGTTGTCCTTAATTACTCGAGTCAATTACAAGTACTTTCAAAGTCTATGAATATACTTGGCAACCACGTAATTGAGAATTTTCATCAAATAATGCATGCATCAGCCATTGCTTGTGCTGCTGGTTCTGGTTTTCCTCTTACAGTTGTAATTAATTGAATTGGTGCATGTAAAATTCAAATTAATGTGAAGAGAAAGGACGCAATCTTGAGGTGAGAAGAAAATCTAGTGTAAATCTTTTCAAATTTCAAAGCATGATCAGTAAGAGTTTGTCGTTTTTCAAAGTATTTTCATATCTATTTTGTCGAGGTGCAGGTTTTTTTTTAACTAAATTTAGGCAGATGAGTTGCGGTTCAAACACATATGGCGAATACAAACGGGAATAAGATATCCATGTGTGGCAACAATTGTAAATCTTAATTGAAATTTGAAAAAGTTAGGCTGGCTTTTGTCATCTACGAAACCAACTCCCAAATATTGTCTCTTGTTCTCCTAGTGGTGGACTTGTAGGGTACCTACCATTGTTCAGAAAATGTTTTTTTATCTAATTCTACGTTTTCTTTCTAATCAGATATAACCTTTACCAGACAATATATGGAAAAAAATCAGTTCTTGGTTTAGCATGATGTTCCCTTCTTTTGTTTTTGTTTTCTTCCAAACCCTTTAATGGGGTATATATGTTACATTACATAAGGAAGCAGCGGGAGCTAATTCCTTCACAGCTACTCAAAATTAGCTGGCTCCAAACCCTACTCAATGCATTAAAATCAAAAGAAATTAAGGTCCATCGATCTTCTCTTGATGTTGACATTATGCAAAGACTTAAAATTAAGTCTGCACAACAGCAATTTCCAACCCCTGAACTGGGGCGGACAGGAAAATTAAGCTTCTGTTCATATTTGCTTTTGCATGTGAAATTATTGCAGGGTTGGTAAAACCTTCAATATATATGATAAAATATATCAGTATTGAACTATTAATTGTTTGATCAATAACACACTTCTTATTTTTCTATTAATTAACAGCGCACACAGAGTTGGAAAAAAATATTTTTTAAAGATAAAACAAAACAAGTTGGGACCATAGATGTGTCTGCATGATGGTTATGTAAAGAGAGAAAGGAAGGAGAAACTAATAATAATGATGGATACTCGAAGACAATTGGCGTTGAGCTGTAAATATACAAAAGTAAAGAAAGCAACCTTTCTTACTTCTCCACATTGCATGCACTATATATCTTCTTTTCATAAAGCCTAGTGGGTTTCTCTCTAGTACTCAAGATCATGATATAGCCTACATTGTAAACTGGAAGAAAGAAGAAGAATCTCATCAAATGATTTATAAATATATATGTGTCAGATAGAAAAAGAGACCGATTCTCCTCACACATTTAAACTTCTTAAATAACCAGCTTTATCTACAAAAATGACTCTACTTTGCAGATCTAATGGTCCATATGCCCTCTTGCATGGCACTAACTTAGAGAAAACTTTGCTTGTTAAAGATGGGTTGTATGTTGTAACACAAAAGAAAGACAAGATGATGGTATATATATATATATATATATTCTAAAGAAAATTTACAATTAATGTATCTTTAATTTATTCATTTTTTATAAATGAAAGATCAACCTTGAAGATCTTGAGTGAGTAAAGAGAAAGGTCCGACCAGAGGCAAAGTTCCCGGAGTTTAGTTTAATGAGGAAAAAGAAAAAACACTGGAAGAGAGCCAAATCTATTTATCAATCAAGTCATATCTGCAAATAAACTAGAAGAAACTTTTCATTATTTTTTTCCTTNGACCGATTCTCCTCACACATTTAAACTTCTTAAATAACCAGCTTTCTATACAAAAATGACTGTTTTGCAGATCTAATGGTCCATATGCCCTCTTGCATGGCACTAACTTAGAGAAAACTTTGCTTGTTAAAGATGGGTTGTATGTTGTAACACAAAAGAAAGACAAGATGATGGTATATATATATATATATTCTAAAGAAAATTTACAATTAATGTATCTTTAATTTATTCATTTTTTATAAATGAAAGATCAACCTTGAAGATCTTGAGTGAGTAAAGAGAAAGGTCCGACCAGAGGCAAAGTTCCCGGAGTTTAGTTTAATGAGGAAAAAGAAAAAACACTGGAAGAGAGCCAAATCTATTTATCAATCAAGTCATATCTGCAAATAAACTAGAAGAAACTTTTCATTATTTTTTTCCTTTTCTTTTGGGTGAATGGGCTGATCCCTTTTCTATTTTTTGTAAAGAACAACTTTGAAAAAGAAACCAATAAATGAATATAGCTATCTAACGTTTCTTATGCTACAAATCACGAAGAATGAATCGACCTATAAAAATTAAATTTCATGAATCGATTTAGCTAATTGCAAAAGGACCAATGACTATTTAGTCGGTGCTACATTTCAATTTGTTTGTATTCACATTTTTCTGCCACTTCGATATTTATTTGAATCATCCAACTTAGGTGAAATGAGATACGATTTTAAGAGAAAAAAACAAAACGAATCTAACGAATTCATGAAGCTACCAATCAAGCAGCTAGCGGGAGCCACGTACAATTTTTTTTCGTGATATGATTTTGATTTTGTAGATGTTATAAAGAAAAAAGGAAACGAAAATGATGACGAAGATTAGCCATGAGATTAACCCCATGGCCATACATTGTACAAATTCAAACAAAACCATCCTTGTGCTTTTGTCTCTGAAATGGGTGTCATTTCATTACCAATTCGACAATTGAATCTCATAATTTATACATATGCACCAGCTGTTACCTGCTATTTATATTCAACAACTTATATCATTGGATGGTTTTAGATGTTTCCATCCTCTGGTCCATTAAATTAGTGCCCCCACCAAATTAATTCAATGCCTCCATTATCATTTATATTATTCAAAGCTCCTAATGGTTTTATATAATATATTGCATAATATTCTCAAACCAACCACAGCTTTGGACTCTTTGAAACAGACAGAGATGAATAGAAGATACGGGATTTGAATTCTCCAAGTGCACCTATGTTGAAATGATCATCGTGTTACTGAAGATTAGACGCCTATATTATTCTCTGCTACCTATCAAATAAACCATTAGAATTAAAATCTAAGTAAACAAGGATTATTTAGAGGGATAGTACGGTACGTAATCATATACTAATATTCCCCAAAGCCATATATTAATACACTTTGCTTGCATCAATAATATTCTTTATAGAAAGCCAATCTCCACAAGAATTTCTTTTGCGATTTGTTTTTATATTAAAAATATTCATTCTAAAGTGAAAAAGGTAGGCTGTGGTTTGGCAACAGCAACCAATTAAATGCTAAAGTATCGTCGATAATAGAATACAATAAAACCTTCTTAACGGCGCAATTATGCAGGGTGACTTGTGTTGCAATTTAATGAAGAAATTTTTTTTAAAAAAAAAAAAAAAAAAAGGGTTTCATGCATGACGTATAATAATAAATTAGGTTTATATGCACTAGTATTGGGGTGACTGTGATTTCCTTATTGGGGTAAGTTTATGATATATAATATATTCACTGAAAATGATGTTTCCCAACTCTCTTTAGAAGTAATAATTTTACATTATTAATTCATATAGAAAACACCCTTATTTAATGGATATTGTTGATTCTAACACTAAAATTGGTAAGTATGAAACGGCAATATTTATAGCACTTATATTTGTATCACGTTGATCATTCATTCATTTTATGAATACGCACTTGTTCTTTTTTTTTTTTTTTTGTGACTGAAGTGTCTAAACCAGTTTATGTGTATTTCAACTAATCCTCAGGATTTTGAAATTAACAGTCGGATAAATCTCCAATATTCACCCCTATTAACAATCAATGTGAAGCACCCAAGGGCCAAGGACAGTTTAGGCCACTTATTCTACACCCCAGCTTGAAGCAATAATTTATATAAGTATGAAGCGGACAATATTTTCTCTGGTCTGAGGAAGATGTAGAGCAACATAGAAATTCGTAGAATAAGAACAACAAAGTCCCCTCTTTTAAGGAAAAGAAAAAGAAACAAAAGGAAAGTTGAATTGAGACTGCAGCCCAATTCATGATAAAAAAGGACTTGACGCCACAGTTTTTGTCCTTTAAAAGAAAGAAAAAACTGAATCTTTATCAAGTTTTTACACCTTTCATGAGCTTTTGTCCAAATCTATAGGTATCAGAGAAAAAAACACCACAAAAGAGAAAAGAAAAGCCTTGTTCACGGGTATTCTGTATTCCCTAGGTAATTACAATATATATATTTCCATTACTATTATAATAAATTCAACAGCACTTTTTATAGAAAGTGATACTGAACAAAAAATATGGTTGGATTTTTTTCCTTCTTGTGAAAAGAATTGAAAATCTTACCTATCGATTCTCTGGGAATTAACATAGGAAACTTGATGATCATGAAAACTGTTATTATTATTGTCATTAATTTGGAAAGTTTGAAGGCTTCAAGTCTTCACCAACTCGTGTTATTCTCAGAGGTCCAATATTTAATATTATATGTACTAATGTTTCAGTTGTTGGGGTACATATGACAAAGGAAATTAATGGTAGATAAAATTTTTTGAAGTTTCTTTTGTCATTTTATAAACGAACAACGACGAAATTATTTATAGAAACATGAAATCGTTTTCCTTCATTTAAAACATTGATTGTCACTGACTAAAGGATCAACATCGATGGTACGTAGAATAGAGAAAATCAATTAGAAAGATTTTTTTTTGTACCAAACATGAAGATTAATTCAACTGTTCACACCTTGAATTGAATGAAGATATATATATCCTAAAGACTTGACTTGTTAATTTCCTTCAAGTTAAAAATCAGTTCACATTGGAGGTATTCTAGTTCATTTCCAAAAATCTTTGGTTTGGATTTAACCTAACTGGACCCCATGTGTTTCCCATTACAGTGAGATTTTCCAAAGGATTCATCATAATATTGGTTCAACGAAGCCAACCTTAAGATTAATTACAAGACTGAAACCAATGTATTTATGTAATAATCGGAGTAATAATCATATTGCATGGCAATTTCCCGACCACATGGGATTCAAATTGATCAACATAATTCCCACCATCTAATATAAGATCTTATATATATAAATTCATTGAATGGTCCTTAGTAGCAATGTTGTCACTCTTTAACTCGATGAAAGCGAAGAAAAAACTAAAAGTTTTCCACAATAACGCGGTGTTGTGCAAGACTGAAAGTAAGTCAACTGGGATTTTTTAGCTGTTTTGTATAATATAATTAAGAAATTCCAAAGGAGAATTGGCAGAGTCATATTAAAATAGAGCGAGGTGTTGTCACTTGTCACCACCAAATTTAATTAAATACGGCCCCCACTCCAGTTGTTATGCTGCATGCATGGGCAAATGTAATATCTAAGGCATTGGGTTTTGTTTAAGGAATTTAATTAGAATTAAAACATGATTTAGTGATGATGAAAAATAGAAATAGAGAATCTTTATTGGTTGCGTAGCATAACATCTGCACCCACGTGAAGGTTTCCAAGCTCAGTTCCCCACATGGATCCTCCGTATCCAAAACTGGACCCCTACCAATACTCTTCTCTTCTGTTCGCTCTCTCATTCTCTACACGTGTCTCCTCACTCCTAGCACGTGAACAACCACGTGTCTCCACCATCCTTTCAGTACTGTTTTGTCCTATAAATTGAGAACTTGTAGCTTATATCCTAGACACTAAAAAAGAGTGAGACGTAGTCAGACTCACACACACACTCTCTCCTCTTCTGTTTCTGTATACAATTTTTTATTATCTTACTTCAAGCTCTTCGCTTCGTTGTGCCAGAACCAGAAGATAAATTTTAACTTTGAAAACAAAAGGCAAAGGCAAAAGAAGGAACATGGCATCTGTGCATGTTACGTACAAAATCTTTAAAGGGCAATCCAGGCTTACGTTAGTCCCACGACTACCTACAGGATTTTGATTTCTTGTTTCCTTTTACCAACACTGCCACCTTCTTCTCTTCTCCTTTATCCTCACCTTTTTCAATTTATATACACATACGACATACCTATTCAATAGTATTCATATTCTTCTTCTATATATACTTTCCCAAATTTCTCAAAAACATTAATAACCCATTCTTCCAACAGAAGCCAACCCAGTAATAATGGCCACTAAGTTTCTTTTAACATTTGCTATTTGTAGATTAATTGTTACTGTGGGATTAACAGTTGACCCCATGGAGCTCCTCCGCCACGGAGTCGACGGTCAGCTTAGCCTAGACCCATCCGATGTCAAAACAGCTTCACTTGATTTTGGTAGGTTAAGCCGAGCCGAGCCATTAGCAGTTTTGCACCCGGCTTCAGCAGAGGACATAGCTGGGCTAGTTAAAGCTGCCTATGAGTCAACTCATGGCTTCACAGTCTCGGCAAGGGGTCATGGGCATTCCATAAACGGTCAGGCACAAACAACTCATGGGGTTGTAATTCAGATGAGCGGCTCCAGAGGAAAACGGCTTGTCTCCGGGAAGCCGGCTTTGCCTCTGGTTTACGAGAAGGAAAAGTATATAGACGTGTGGGGAGGAGAGCTTTGGATAGATGTGCTAAGGAGTACGCTAAAGTATGGACTCGCACCAAAGTCATGGACTGATTACTTGTACCTTTCTGTGGGAGGTACTTTGTCTAATGCGGGGATTAGCGGGCAGGCTTTTAATCATGGTCCTCAGATTAGCAATGTTCATGAGCTTGACGTTGTTACAGGTGCATGGTCTTTTTTATTTTTCTTAGAACTTTCTACTGTTATCATCTTTCTTCAAAGTTTAGTTTTTAAATGTGGGTTTTGTTTTTGATTTGTTGAACTTTCATCTTTCTTAAAGTATTTCTTTTAGCAATTGGTTGACAAGATAGTTTTGTCTTCGGCATCATGTACTATTTCTGCGTTTTACTTTAGTTTTTTCCGACTGATTTTGTCTTCTCTATGTATATATTTTTTTTTCCTCAAATGAATAGTAATATATCGTACTCGTTATTTATCTATTATTTTCTTTTAGTATAGTAATTAATTAGTTGTTACTATTAACTATACATATCCTGTTAATCGATCGGCTTTTCACTGTGGTCAGTTGTACTTCATTTATTATTACCAGTCTTCTTACCCAAGCTACTTCTGGCAATTAATCAATAGGCAAGGGAGAGCTCTTGACATGTTCAGAAGAGCAAAACACAGAGCTATTCCGTGCTGTTCTTGGCGGTCTAGGGCAATTTGGAATCATCACTCGAGCTAGAATCAGTCTTGAACCAGCTCCTCAAAGGGTATTTCTCTTTCTTTTTCACTGCTACATAATTTTACTACTTCTTCGAAAAGGGCTAAAAAAATGATGATGACCTTAAAAAAAAAAAAAAAGTTAATTGGGTCCATTAATTTGATATTTTTAACCCATTCAAACGGCTCTACTAAAGCTGGAAATATTGTTGACGTCGCCTTTAAGTCTCTAACGTGGTGTCTTTCTTTTTTCTTTGGGTGGTCTGTTTGTTTTTATTTCTGTAGGTGAGGTGGATCCGAGTATTGTATTCCAATTTTTCGTCTTTTACCAAAGACCAGGAATATCTCATCTCATTGCATGAACAACCAGCCAGCAAAAAGTTCGATTATGTTGAGGGTTTTGTTATTGTAGATGAAGGGCTTATCAATAATTGGAGGTCATCCTTCTTTTCCCCTCGTAATCCAGTTAAAATCAGCTCCCTTAATGCTGACGGGGGTGTTTTATACTGCCTGGAGATCACCAAAAACTACGATGAATCTACCGCTGATAGCGTTGATCAGGTAATACCATTAGCTATCTCTATAAAGTAATATAGTGTTGAAGCATGCAGGTGGTTTTGACACCATTAAAAGTAGTTATAATGGGTTTTAAAAGTCATTAGCTATGGAAGTGGCTGCCAAATGCATGCTGTAAACTCTATGGTTTTAGCTTTTATCTTTTTAGAAGTTAGAACTTTCTACAAGCATCGTTGTCCTTGTTTGTATTATTGTGTTTTGATTTTAATGGTTTATATGATTGAATTTTAGTCTCTAACCCAAATATTTTATGTATTTAAATACGCACAAGAAAACATCAAAAGATCTTCTGTGATCTATCATCCCATCTGATACTAACAAGGAATACTACTTTTTCATTGTATATTACTTTAACTATTACCAAATCTAAGCCGTCCATGGTCCACCCACCTAATTATTCTCTTTCTAAATTAAATTAATCATCGGAATCGAACTTATCCTCAGAAAAGCAAATGGTTGGTTTACAGATATTAATTATCCATCTGTTGTTTGCAGGAAGTAGACGCTTTGTTAAAGAAATTGGATTTTTTACCCACATCAGTTTTCACAACTGATCTACTTTATGTGGATTTCTTGGACCGGGTCCACAAGGCCGAGTTGAAGCTCCGGTCCAAGGGTTTGTGGGATGTGCCTCACCCTTGGCTAAACCTTTTTGTTCCCAAATCAAGAATCTCGGACTTCGATAAGGGTGTTTTCAAGGGCATTTTGGGGAATAAAACAAGTGGACCCATTCTCATCTACCCAATGAACAATAACAAGTGAGTTTTTGTCTAATATATATATAACAATAATATAAAGAGTAGAAAATATTAGATGTATAAAAACACTTAAAAAAATGTCAATGTACAAAATGATGTAAGTAATTGTTAAACCACCAGTAACAAAGTGACATGGCAACTAGTAACAAAGTGATGTTGCAGTTGCTCCACTACTGATAATTGATGTTGTAGCAGTTACTATGTCATTTTGTACAAAGATTTTTTATAAAAGTCTTTATACACCTAATATTTCTTACCTACTATTAAATGTGACAGTTGTTATATCAGTAACTGATATTAACTATTAAGCAGTTAGCGCGTCACTTTGTACATAAAAGTTTTTGTACGCCTAATATTTTTGATACATGTATCATACTTCTTTTATGTCCTTTTGCATGCATGGAACATCCAACTTCCATGCCTCATCACATGTCCACATCGCATCTTACAATTACAGCCACGTCACCTGCCATTCACATACTACACATTAAGATCTTTCAATTAGCTTTGCTTGCGTGTTCTCCATTCATTGGTTAACTAAAGACAGAAAATTTATTGTGATATGTGAATGTGAGGAATTAGTTGAGCGTTTTGTCTGTCACTTAATAGGGACTGTCGGCGAAATGATAGCCCAATCTCTTCAGTGTTGAACCTTAATAAGTGATTTTACCATTTAGGGTTTAGGGTTAATCAAATTCAACGCGAATAACATAGAATTTTACCCTTTTTATCAATTAAGTGTAGAAGGTTAAAATTATTGGACTGTTGAAGATGAAGTAGAGAGACACATTAGCAAAGTGGTCCTTAGTTTATGAAAAAAAAACTACACGTGGCACTTATTGAAAACCAAACACGTGGTCCACATGTAGAAGCCCAACAAAGCAGAAGGGTATTTGTTTCCTAGCCAGCTAGGATGGAAAACACATTTTCTCATTTAGTTGACTAGAAGTGAACAAATGGACGGTAATGATGACCCAAGTGGGAAGATTCTCGTGCCAGGAGAGCTTCTGAAAGGGACCCACTGATGGGATGGTACCATGTCCTGTTACAATATAGTTCCAGGAACATTGCCGTTAGTATAGGTAACAAACCGTCATCCATTGTGGGTCCTCTCCCTTTGATTCGTTTGAAAATCAAAACAGTCAAATCCCGACTACCATTTTGCATTTTCGTACTCTTGTTAAGAAAGCTCCACAACATGTTTAATTGATTTCCTAATTTTTATGATAATCTGCTGTAGGTGGGACCATAGCAATTCGGTGGTGACCCCAGATGAGGACGTCTTTTACCTTGTTGCTTTGCTAAGATCAGCTTTGGATACCGGAGATGAGATCCACAATTTGGACTACCTCAGCAATCAGAACCGTCGGGTCCTCAGATTCTGTGATGAGGCGGGAATCAAAGTGAAACAGTACTTGCCTCATTACACTACACAAGAGGAGTGGATGGACCACTTTGGAGATAAGTGGGGTCAGTTTTATCAGAGAAAAATAGAATTCGATCCTAAACATATTTTAGCCACAGGCCAACGTATATTTCGACCTTCCTTTACATCTTCTAATGTGGCCTTATAGTGTTATTGTCTTAGGAGTATTCTTATTGTTGTAAATATAATGGCATAAAGGAGAAACTGGGATGAATAATATTGTTTATTGAAGATGATATTGAGTGATTACGTAGTATATAAGCGGTTGAGGGAAGAGATCAGACGGTGGGATGACAAGTGTTTGATTGAAGGGGTCCATGATGATGTACAGCAGCACATGAGACGTTGCAGTTTGCAGTGCCCGTGATTCCCGACCGCTCGACTGTGGCCTTTGGATCTTGTCTGTACTTTCTTCAAACAGCTGGTTCTGCTTCCATCCACCATCAATTGGGATTTACTTGTGTTGCTTGCTCTTGGTTTACTGTAATTACCTCTCAACTTAGAGGGCAATAACCATGAAATCCTTGCAACTCAAATTAAGTGTTTAACATAAGAGGATATATAAACATCTTCCTATAAGCATTTTCTTTCTCTCATATTCATCTCTGAAATGCTGAAACTAGTCAATCAGACAATTGAGTTTCTTCTTCGACATGCACAACTAGTACTTTCAACCCATGCTTCACTTTTATTCTTCAAATTCCGGAGGATTAAATAGATGAATTGCAAGGAAAAAAAGGTGAGCTCTTGCATATATACATAAAACTTTAAATCAGTTGACAGTTCTTAAACGTGCATAGTACATTAAATCTGTGTTGCCTCCCAATCAAGACACGAGTCATTGGCCAAAGGAATAACCCAATCAACTCGTATGTCAGATGTGTAGGGATATTAGCTAGATAGGCCCATCTTTGGTCAATAAAACAAATTTGCATATAAACCAAGTTTCATGTCAATCGAAAAAGAAAAACCCAACAATCGGGAGTGACTGTGTTTAAAGTTTTTTGTCCCTTGACTTCACATCATGAATCAGCGACTTTTGTGTAGGCTTCTGCTATGAGAGTGGGACTCATTGACGCGAACGTGCAACTTGCTAGGAGAGAAAACAATAGCTTAGCATGGTTTTTCCTGTTCAATCAGTCTATGTTAAGAGAGGGGCCATAGAGACTTTGTCATTATTTGACTAATTTATCAGAACAAGTAAAACATTTAAATAGCAAGTAACAGAAGCCACTCACTGGATGATTAGCATTTATTTGAATCATCCCTGCCTCAAGTTGCTTCCCAAATTTCTTCAATGCCAGAGAATATACAGTTTTCCTCCTCACTGATGTTCCTTCAGCTACCATTTTGACAGCCTATGGACACATAAAAAGTGTCACAACAACTACAAGTAATGTCCTTACTCAGACCAGATTACTATTATTTAGGAAGGACCAGCAAAAATTAAGCACACAATCGGGAAATTATAAACAACAAAACCAAGTCATAACAAATATAGATGATAGTCTACAGGGATGGGATTAAAACATCTACAACTAGAATAGATGATGTTTTTATTGCTATTCTAAAACATTGAGAAGTGTGTGTTTTTATAGTGACAAAACCCTCCTGCTTACCTCTCCACAAAAACTGCACTTATTGTATTTCCTATAATTCAATCAAGATTAAAGCGAACTAGCCTCATAGGTGAAATGGTCTAAATTACTGCATATTATGTGATACATCTTAAGAGCATTTAAGAAATATTCTCATATGCATGAAAGGTCTACAAAAGAGAAATTCGTATGGTTAAACCTGAATATAACCCAGATTAAAGAAGTAGCTACCGTAGAAAGAGTGTGCCCACAGGAGATCAATTCTCTCAACTCATTCTCAAGCTGATCCTCTGATGGAGTTTCAACCACACAAATTGCCTTGCCTTCAACTAAGAGTGTAATTTCTCCTTTGGGTTGGTGAGTTGAGAACGCTTGTTTGGCTTCCCCCAAAGTACCCCGCCAAAACTAATCAAGCAAGAACCACCTTCATTAGTAAATCAAAGATCATAGATTAAAATCCACAAACAGAATTGATGCCACTTTGATTGTTAATGAATTTAACAAAAGTACACATATTGTTTGCTAGAGAATGGCAGTATGTCATGGTACACCATTACGGGTGTGCTCCTTGAATTTACTCAAAACATGATGAATTTAAGAACAATCATAAAAAGGAAAAGCAATTTACATAAAATAACAGTTAGCAATTACACCTCCAGTTCAATTGATCATTTCCAGTTAAATTGACCACTTCGAATTTAATTACAATATAAATATTGGGTATGTTAAATGTCAACTTTAAAATGCTTGACCAAAAGAAGAGTGATCACTCTGACATGGCAATTCCTACTGGCGCAGGATATTATATGTCTCTTTACTTTTAGATGCTTTCTATTGGAAACTGTTTGCAGAGGGGTGGAGAAATATATGTTTACTTACAAGCATAATCCACGGACAGATTAAAACCACAAACAATGAGAACGTACTAACTTGAAGAGATAATTTGGTGCCTTCATTTGGTAGGGAAATCACGGACCATTATAACATTTACTTTTACAAATGGCCAAAGATGTAAAAACAACAGGAGGTAAGAAGTAACAAACATCTACCTCTTCATGCATCTTTGTTATTTCCCGAGCTATGACACACCGTCTGTGATGCAAGGAAATCAACTGTCATTTGTCTCTTGTATACAACAAGAATTGGAGAAGTAAATATCTTCACATAGTAGTATTCTGTATCAGTTTGTCACTTTGATGATCCTCTTTAGTCTCAAAACTTTAATCGAAGTAATTGAACAACATAAATAGTTATAGTACATCCATCTCTATAAAGTAGAAGATGTTAGAATTGCAATCATATAAAGATGTTAGAATTGCAATCATATAACTAGTATAAATATAGATAAGGTTGACAGTAATTTACAATAGATGCACCCAGCCAACTAAGGACCTAGAGCCACTGACTAAGATATGAACTCATTCACTGGAAAAAGAAGAATACAAGGATAGTTCAAACTGTTTTTTCTTCTTTTTTAATTTTACTTTTATTTTCCAGTTTCAAGAATGACATCTGATTTTTTATCTCACCAATGAAGTGATGACACTCGCAAATCTGTGTATGAACTCCAAACCATATTAACACCCTAAAACTACACATAATCAATGCACTTTGGTAGATAACTTATTTACCTTGAGTCACCAAAAAGTGAGGAAGTTTCTTCAAGAAATTGACAAAGCTTGTGAGGAGGAACATAAAATATTTGGGTTTTCACTTCACTGGCAGAAACGGTAAGTCTCTCTCTCCGTGATCCAGCATGTTTAGGAAGAAATCCAACTGCATCAATAAAAGTAATATTAGTCCCACAATCCAAAAGCTGTTGGCACTGCATCCTGCTTGGAGCATTTCAAAATTCAGCCACTATATTACCAAAAGTAAACTCATTGGTGGCCAAGCCTGAGGCAGAAAGAGCAGCTACAAATGCAGAAGGCCCAGGAATAGGAACAACAGGAATATTCTGATCCACACATAACTTTGCCTGCATTAAGTTTCCAAATACCTAGAGGTCACCTCTCTTATTATAATAGAGAATCACTTTCAAAAGTCTTCAACGACAGGAACCATGTCCAGAAAGCATTAAACACAGTTAGAAGAATACAGCTAAGCAATTACACTTCTATTACAGAACATCTGAGGTAGTTATTAAATACACTCCTCCAGGACAACACTTAATCTATTTTGAATTTAAATTATCTAAAGCAACAATCCAAGTCCAAAATTGCACTCCCTTCCCCTCCCCTAGTATGTGATACAAAGTTTAAAAAGCCATTCCAAACACAATTTAAAGGCAGGCTGCATTTGATACTCTAATAATTCCTATCAGGCAATAACTTAAATGTCACGATTATAGATCACTGATCTACTAACAGAAAGGACATAAGATAAATTCTTTCTTTCGCTAAACAAAACATAGACGCAGAATTGACAGCAGAAAACTCACCAATTCCGTACCAGGATCACTAATGCCAGGTGTCCCCGCATCACTGATCAGCGCCACAATTTCACCCTGTTTCAACCTTTTCAACACTGTTTGTTCTCTTTGTGACTCGTTAAACTTGTGATAACTGAGCTGAAAATCTAAAGCTTAGAAATAGTATTGATGGAAAATGCATTGAAATGCAACAAAGACACATAGCATTGAATGTTTAAGATACTTTACAAGGGGAGTTTTGATATTGTAATACTGAAGCAACTTTCCAGAATGCCTCGTGTCTTCTGAAAGTATCACGTTAGCCGACTTTAAGACACGGAGAGCTCTGCAGTGGTAAGACTAATGATAGTTGAAAGGCTCATTTTCTATTAAAAGAAAAAAGAAATAAAAAATTGAATAAAAAGAGAAGTACCGTAAGGTGATATCTTCAAGGTTTCCGATTGGTGTTGCTACTAGATACAATCCAGGTTCGAGAGGGCTCTGCATGATCAGTAAAACGTCAAAATTATTTTCAAATTGTTAATAATTTACTCTCAGCTCTCTTAAGACGGTCAATTCACCTCCTAAAAATGGAAGCAATTAGTAAGGCACCAATGAGTGAAATAAAATAAAAGCAGTTTTAAGATGAAATTCCTTACGCGTTTTGACGATTGTTCGGCGATTAAGTCTGAGAATTCGGAGGATGTTTGTGAGTCTGAGGTGGAAGTGGAACATAAGGAGAGGCAACCAGGTTTAGGGTAAAGAGATAGTGACTTTAGATATACGAGTTCAGCTTGAGTATGATGAACACAAGGAGGTCTGCCTCGCCCTGGGAAAGCAGTTGTCACGAGTGAACTCGCCATTGAAGGTAATCTTCGTATCAGCAGCATTTGGACAACGTGGGTACACTGTCGTTGTGAACGGGAAGTAGTAGAATATCAATCCTCAGCGATTAAACTTGGCGTCTCCAGGTACGACGTCGTTTCCAAGCTACCATGACATAACACCCTTAAAACGACGTCGTTAGTGGTTAAAAAAAATTCATAAAAGTAGGTTCAATATGAATGTGATTTTAATTTTTTACCTTATGTTTCAATCTAGTTTGTAAAAATATTATTAAATATCGTAAGTTATAATGCTATCACTCAAAAACAAAACAGAGCCTATTCACCCATGAATAACCTAATGATAAGGACAAATCAAATAGATTATGTATGACTTCAACCTATAGTCTCAAGTTTGATTTTTCACGACGATAGCTTCCTCTTTAAGGATTAACAGATTTCGTGGAAAGGATGCATGAAATTGAATTCACAATCAAAATGCAATACTAGGTTATACCCCTGGAAACGAAACGTTACTGGTAGGGGAAGTTGCAATCCCCAAAATTAAATGGAGCCTAATCCAATTTAACTTGTTCTTTGACATAAAACTTGCCAAATCTCCATATCACGGTTCACATAGAAATTTGATTATAGAGATCAGCAACTTCAACACTGGTTTTCATACAAAAGTTGTAAAATCCAATGAAATTTCAGTGAGAATTCTGATTGGGCAGATACTTGTAACGGCGCTACGACCTCTTTTCTCCGTTTAATTGTTTTTGACCTTTCCAGTTTTGGACCTCCAACACACAACTGGCAACTGGTAAACTATTGTTCCAATGTTTTACACAGTAGTCATTAGGGCTGTGCAAATCCGAGTACTGAACTGGTTTCTACAAACTGAACTGCTTTTAAGGGTACTCAATTTTTTAGGTCAAAAACCAAATACCCGGTTTATGATCTAAAATTGCGTAACTTTGTATGAATTTTAATTTGTTACATTTCAAATTTCAATTTATAAATACAATTCCTTTCATATACTAAATCAACTTTTAATTTAATAACTTAAATACTTAAGATTTAGAGCTTTTGCCTCTTGCTCTTTAAAAGTTAAAGGAAAATAAGTTTCAAAACTAGGTTTTTTATTTTTTTAATAAACCAGATACCCGATTCTCTTAAAATAAATACCTGATACCCAAACTGAAAATCCGAGTATCATATAATAAATACCCGAAACCTACTTGAATTCTTGTGTACCCAAAAAATCGGAATCAATTCAGTTCGGCTAACATGATCGGTTCGGTTAACGGTTTTTTTTCACATCCCTAATAGTCACAAGCAGAAAATGATAGATAACATAATCTTTCATCCTGTTGATAAAGATGATATCATTTTAAGATGTGCAACCTGTTTCGGGCGGCCACCACGTTCAATATAAAATGATCCATAAAGTACATACAAAGCAAGTTCATAATTAAAAGAGCGGACAGGCTTTTGGGGGCAAGAACTGCAATCTCTTTCCCACTGTCTCCGATGAATATTACCAAACGCCTCTTTTTTATGCACAGGTTACAGGTAATATTTACTTTGTTGCATCATTACACTTTATCATCATGGAACCACCATCTTGTCTCCTTGGGAGATCTGCCATTCCTACAGTTCTTCACATACCGGTCGTTATCCGCTGGGCGTTGCTGCACAATGACAGCGTATAAGTGATGCTCATTAGACGCATTGATTAATAAATTAAAGGGCACAGAGATAACTACAAAGATGATAGTTAGATTCAAACCTTCACAGTTGAGCTTGACAACATGGATAGGATGCTGATACATACAGAACTAACAGTCATGGCTGGGGACCAGGAATCATACAGAATATCTGCAAAGACGAATGACACATAATTTTCAATGTACAGGAACATTGACCATTTAAACTTTGCTTAAAGAAGGAATCAAATAAATAATGGAAATTAAGTAGTTTTAGTATCTTTTTCTACATTATTTAAGAACACAGATTGCTAGTTTATTTAAATTAATCATTCTTAAACTGCACTCTCTAGCAGAAAAATTATAAACGGTCAATGTCTTTTGTACCAAAACTAGCAAAGTCACTTCAGTTGTGCCTAAAACACTTTGGACACAAACAAATAAAAATAAAAATATTAGTCTAGTATTTTCATTAAAAATAGATTAGCAATTCTTTTCACCTTGGCTAAATCACAAAACATAAATGTTTAATTGTCGCTCAACTTCATTGATTTTACAAGCAATTGTAGAGGTTCAAAGGATAAAATTAACACAAAATACAGTCATAATGCACCAGATCTCATCCAAAACAATGTCTCATGTTAACATAAGAAGCACTTAAAGATGATAAACTTTCACATCTCAGCATAGAATATCAGATGATCAAAGCATGAAAAATCTGAAAGAACTTCTTTACAGCAAAATGCTTGAATGGCCTATAAGATTGATCACTAACATCCATCTCTTGAACTGAATAAGTATCACGTGAAAACTAACTTCCAAATGCATAGACCAAACACCACTTGTATATTAAACAATAAGCCTGTTTAGAAGTCTTTACAGCAAAAAGCAGCAGAAATCTACCTTCTGCACAACTATAAAAGTATATCCAGTTCTCAAAAGAAAGAACACTTCATTGCAGAAGTGAAAGGGTAAACGGAAAAATGTAATGCATAAAACAATTATCATGTGAAAGTTACAAAAGTATACAATCTAACATACTATCACATCACTTAAATTTTGAAATACAAGAAACTTACATATCATTTGCTATATTACAAAAGTATACAATCTAACATACTATCACATCACTTAAATTTTGAAATACGAGAAACTTACACATCATTTTCATAGCAAACCACAAGTTCCTACACTACAGACTCTCTAATATACAGGGTTGCCTCAACTTTCAAAAAATTATAACAGAAAACAATGGATAGATAACAAACATAGGAGGACAATTCAGATGATCCTCTGAAGCAGGCTAAGCAAACTTGAAAAATATGGATACCATATAACCAGACTCAAGTTGTTTGTCAATGCTGAATGTATTCACTGAGCCCATAAACACAACAAATTGATTTGGAAAATGGCAATGACTACACTACATTTCATCATTTATAACATTCACAGGTAACCAAGTAGCACAATGTTTAATAAAATTGACCCAAATAATTGCCAGTGTTTAAACCATTGAGACTATTACAATCTCGTTGCCTGATCTAATTAATAAGGTAAAAGTCATCCAAAACCAATGCAAAGAAAAAGAAATCAAAATTAAGAGAAAACAATACCTAAACAGATATGCCCATTGCTATAAATGTGGGGATGCAGAGGAGCTGGAGGCAGAAAAATCACCTGGCCAAACAATACAAGAAAGTAAAACAAATCACTACAAAACAACAATTTCATAAACCTAAGAAGACAAAAAAGCATGGACAAAGTAAGCCTAATGTTTAAACCTATTAAAGAAAACTATTCAAAACAAATATCCACAATCAAATATCTTCACAACCAAAAAGAGTGAGAATAAAAAAAGTTCAAATCCACCTGAGGTGCTTCCATAGGATAATGCTCAGGAAAATCCACTTGAAGCTGATAGGTTTCGTTCGCATACAGGGTCCCTGGGGCTCCGTTGACTTCGATGATCCATCTGTACAAAAAAAAAAAAATTGAAAAAAAAAAAATAAAGATGTAAATAACAGTATTAAAATCAGAATCACTAATTAAATCGATTCAACAATCACAAATCAGTGAAAAAGAGTAAGAAAATCTAAAGAAACCTTTGAAGATTATCAGTGACTTTGTGTTTAAATCCTGCTGGAGGATTGACCTGCCACTCCACAAGTTCTTTTTGCAGTCTATTACATGCGATCTTGCTTAAAGCCTAAGGAAATTACAAAGTCAAATACTACAACTAAAAAACCACGAAACCATAGAAATCAAAATTATGCCAAGTAAAAAAATATACGGTATGTATATATTCATTTATCAAGAGGACGAGAGAAACCTTGCGTGAAGGAGCGGAGGAGCTGGTCATGGCTTCTACAACAAGAGAAGAGGGAGAGACGGTACCGTCTAGCTTTTTCCGTGTGGTACTTTTATTGTAAAGCAGCAAATCCAGAATTATGATTGGTAAAAAGGCAAATAATTTTTTTTTTTTTTAAAGAATAATAAATCGGACGATCCAGGATTTGTTTTTGGTCATGGTTCTAGTAGTCGCGATTCGTTTACTGAAAGTGTGAATGACGCGCTGCAGTTGGTGGTTGTGAATGAAAGTGATTTTGCCACGTGGATTATTTAACCACTCAATATTTATGGGCCGTGATGAATGGATTCTCGGAAATTTTATTAAATTCCTAGTGTATATTAGCATCAGATCCATTGAAAAGTTACGTGTTCAATTTTAATTTTTAATTAAAGTTTTCATCTTTATAATCATGTTTATTATCACTAAATGTAAAGTAAATTACGGGCACGTGAATTTCGATAATTGGTCACATCAATTTGGAAGGAGATAAAGGTCATTATCGAATTAGTCAAAGGATCCAACCGACATTGACTTGACTAGATATTTAAACAAGTACATATTTCATTCTTGGGAGCCCAGGATTTAAAGTTGGCTCATCTCATGAAATCAAATTACTTGGTTACAAAAGACTATCGAGTTTCTCTCTGCAGCTTAATAGAAAGAGGTATTAAAGTCGAGCTCAAGAAACATCTAGTACTACTAATAAACTGATGATCATGATATTTTGTTCTTCAATCTTCTTCTGGATGATCTGCTATACCTTCCCTCGTGGTGGAACTGGTAGCTAATGACGGATTCGAGTCTTCTGAAAAGTCTGCGAACTCCTCTTTGTACATTTCTTCTATCATCGGCTTCCACAGGCGAACTCTAGCATTTATGAACCAATTCGACACCTAAATGAAAAATGAGTTGCCCAAATTAAGATAGGAAGAATGCCAAATCATTGGAATAACTAGAGGGCCAAGAAATTTTTTTAAGAGTTAGTTACTTGGTTTTTGGTCAGGCCTGTCTGAGATGCCAGCATTAGCTTTTCAGATTCATTAGGATAACTGTTGGAGAATCATAAAGCAAGGATCAACAATTTGTAAGAACTGACACTAAAAAAAATTATATACATGTAACCAAAATTAAAGCACTTACGGGTGGAGAAAGTGTTCGAAGAGCCAAGAGCGAAGGATTGAGACAGAAGTCTCTGGCAATCCCCTGATTGGTCTCCATACTTGCCGTTGGGTCTGCAACATTCCAAGCTGTTGAAGGGACATTCTGTAATGCCTAGACTCTCTGTCAAATAAACTAAGTTGAGATAATCCTGAACTGATTTTTGGCAAGTCTTGTGAAAATCTTCGACTTGTCACATTAATTTGAGATATTATGGCATCTCTTAATCTGCCAAAATGCCTGGACATAGCTTGCAATGCCAAGGCAGTGTAAGACTTGGCAGCACCTAACCCTGCTATCACTTCAAATGATGATACCACTTCTTCCATTTGATGGTAGTATTTCTCATATTTGCTTTCAACCTGAAGAATAAGGGTGAAATTTTTAAACAATATAAAGCTAACAAGCTAAATAATTGATATAAAAAATCTAATAGTCAGTATGTAAATACAAACCTCCTCCAACAAGGAAATGAGTTTAGCAATTCCAAGATGAAGTTCATATTTCTCGGCAGACAACATCCCATTATTGCAAAATTCTGCTTTTAGTTCAGATGATAATCTTTGACCACCTCTTATACTGCTATGATATAAATCTCCGATATATCTTTCATCACTCTTGTCAATGTTCCTGCCACCAACACTAACTTCTTCCAGAAGAGACTGAGCTGGTTTAAGAAATTTTGAATTCCGTATAGCAATAGCAAAAGATTCTGTTCCATCACTGGAGCAAGAACGATTTGCTGAGGTGGAAGATGAAGTGAATGTGCCAGCAGTGAATGAATAGTCATCACTAACATGCTCAAATCCAGGATTACAAACTTCTCTACCTTCATTCCCGCAAAACAAGTAATTAGAAGTGATATCTGAACTTAAAGATCTCTGCTTGTATTGGACTGATGGAACTAGCATGTGAGAACCAAGAGACAGAGAGAGCCTCTGAGCTTGGTGATTGGTCTCATTTGATGCTCCAAGAAGGTCCATTAAGTGTCTAGTGTGACTGATCTCAGATTCCTCGGCTACAGCAGGAGCATGAACAAGGTCCATTGATCTGGATATTCTTTCCCCTAGAGACTGAATGGTTGGCAACAAACCAAGAGACTGACGATAACTGTTATTGGCCCTTACAGCAGACCCATAAGCATCGAAATTTTGGTTTTCAAATTGATTCCGACCAGTAATAGAGTCTGAGATTATAAATTGGTGTAGCATATTTGAAGCTGGATTTGGGGGCGAGTCTTTTGAAACCATAATGACCTGAAGTGGAGTAAAGGTTATCAAAAGGATTGCTACACGGCAGGTGGTCTTTTTCAAACTTTAAAGAGAAAAATGACTATAACAGTCGATGAGCAGATTTATAAGATTTCTTAGTTTAACCTATTCTTAACTTACAAAAGATCAAACAAGGTACGGAAAGCTACACACCAAGAAGAAAGTAGAGTCACAATAGCAGATGACCTGCTTTAAAACAGATTAATGATAAGATCAACGAAGCATTGAGATTACTAAAACATGAAGGCATTCATAACCAGAAAACTAAGTTACTAGATAAGTTATTCATCAAGCAAAGGGCCACTTACTGACTTGCGTTCAAGGAAGCTCAAGCCGAAGGAGATCCAGAGTTAGTAGGGATAAATAGTGGTGACAACGAGCAGTTGAGTAGTGGAGTACTCCTTAAAAGCAATTTTGAAAACCAGTTCAATGCATAAAAACAGAATTTCGAAACATAATGGAGGGTGAAGAGGGGAAGAGATAAACATTAGGGGTTCAAATAAACCATAGTATTGAACAGGAGGTGAAAGTACATGAACATGACTAGAAGATCTGAAGACAAGACAAAGAAGAATTTACCAACTAATTCCAAACCTGATTGGGAGGTTTGAGTAACTATTAAAGTTGAAAAGACTTATTAAAAGCTAAAATGGAATTCATTCATCTTTAACAAGCATGAAAGGTTGAATGCCAAAGCAAGCAATAAAGCACCAGTCTATGAGCGTTAACAAACCTGTGGTGAAAGCAACTTAAAGAGAAAGCAATGACTCCTTGTCTCCCTTTCTCTCTCTGAAAAATGAGCAGGTCTAAACCCAAGCAGCCAAAAGCTATAACACCCTAGAGACATAGACCTCTGTTAGTTCTTCAGAGAAGCAGAGTTAATTGGGTAAATAGAAATCAGAAAATGACAGATAAAGAAAGATGGTCCCCAAATTCTCTCTCTATAAAACAAGAAGCAAAAGCATCAACCCATCAGCTTTAGTGCCTGCAGTTACATTTCTTTGGGAGTCGCAAAAAGTATTTTCAGCTCAAAACAGTTTTACACTCTCTCTCGTCAGAGAAGGAGAGAGCCCTTAATATGTTAAATTGTTTTTTTATTCTTGGATTGCTGTAATCTGTAAAAAGAGGGAAAAAAGTGGGCTATCTTTGGCACTCCCAGTTTTAAGATCGTCAACTTGTGAGTCTGTAAACATAATGGAATATCTAACTTTTTTCCTGTTAGGTGTTGTAATCTTGCAAGAGATGTTGAAAGGACACTGAAAGAGAAAATAAAAAGGTGAAAGAGAAAATGGGTATTGTTAGGAAGTTGGTTGGTGTGCTGATTAGACTGATTCTGGGTGATTTCTTTTGGATGCTATAAGTAATGATTGCTATATTTGTTCCTTCAGCCTCCTCCAGTTGTCACTCTCTAGTTCCTTAACTTGTTAGGACCTCAAAGGCCCATGCTACAGTTCGATTAAAGCGTCTGCACTGCACAATCTGATATATGTCTGCAAATTTAATATGGAAAAAGATTTTCTACCCATGTATTACAGTAGGCTATATATTTTGTAATCCAAAAAGAATTTGAAGCGGTTAAATTTAAATCCACCCACTGTCGGATGCTTTTATAGAAAAGCATACTTGATTCAACTCCATAGACTTGTTTTCCATCCAGCTAGTGCAATGTGCTATACTGCTATCTAGTCATTTAGGAGTCGCCAACCTATAACTACAGTATCCAACTCAAGGGTAGCCTAGCGGTAAGGGTGAAGTGAACTAAGAGGGCTGCTAGCTATGCATGACTTCAACCCACAATCCCAGGTTCGACTCCCTGTCTGGGACAAAGATAATACTTTTGTGGCGATTTACTTGGGTTGTGACGGTAGGTTGTTGTTGAATGAAATAGAGATATGATGTGAAACCAAAATAACAAACACACAAACCAAAATCAATAAAAGAAAGAAGAAGTACACACGATTCAGTTTGAGTAAACGGAGGGGGGTGACTATTAAAACACCATCTTGAGTTTGGAATAAATTAAATAGCTATGAACTTTATCGTTTAAACGATTTAACACCTTGCTTAAGCAAATGATTATTTAGTAAAGAGTTTCTAACTTGATGGCTATTTAATTAATTCCAAACTTGAAATGATATTTTAATTAAGCTTCTCTAAATGGATATTGAATCTTAGAGAATTACTAGTTACCAATTTCCAAAATAAATTATCCTATTACTATTTGATTAATTAAAAATTGGAGATATGAAATAACTGAAAATAACAAATTAAAACAAAACTAATAACTAAAGAAATCAAATTGCAAATCAATTAAAAGGTTGGTTGTTAAACAATATAACTAAATATAGGGCATAGACTTCGTACCAATTCTATTCCTATGTATTGATAATTATTGCTAAAATTATTTTGCTTTTTCTACAAGTCAAACTCCTTAGAATTCCAATAACTTTCTTTCGAATAATAACCGGATTAATCCTTTATTACTAACCCAAGATATCTCTCAATTGAATTTAAGTCTTAAGAAATTATTACGCTCTATAAAATTTACCAAAGCCTCACAAATCGCGGTAATCTATCTCTAGCATTCGCTCAACCTATGGTTTTATTACATTAGACCAACTAGATATCATCTCTTGATCTTAATCGTCTATTAGATCAATCAACTCCCACTCCAATTGAAGCATTAAGAATCATAATAAAACTTAGAAAAAAATGTTTAACAAATATTAACAATAATCAATCAACACATATTCATAAACTTGGGCTACATCTCAACCTTAGAAACTTTATTTAGTTCATAATCAAATAAAAATAAACAACCATTGTGAACACAAATTCAAAAAAAAGATAAAATAAAACTTCCCTAGATGATAAACCAAAACCCCAATAGTTGTTGTTTTGATTTACAAATAGCGGCTAATCTCCTCTCTATCCTCTTCATTGGTCTCCATACTTGGTTGGGTCTGCAACATTCCAAGTGTTGAAGGGACATTCTGTAATGCCTAGACCTCTGTCAAATAAACTAAGTTGAGATAATCCTGAACTGATTTTTGGCAAGTCTTGTGAAATCTCGACTTGTCACATAATTTGAGAATAGGCATCTCTTAATCTGCCAAAATGCCTGGACATAGCTTGCAATGCCAAGGCAGTGTAAGACTTGGCAGCACTAACCCTGCTATCACTTCAAATGATGATACCACTTCTTCCATTTGATGGTAGTATTTCTCATATTTGCTTTCAACCTGAAGAATAAGGGTGAAATTTTAACAATATAAAGCTAACAAGCTAAATAATTGATATAAAAATCTAATAGTCAGTATGTAAATACAAACCCTCCAACAAGGAAATGAGTTTAGCAATTCCAAGATGAAGTTCATATTTCTCGGCAGAAACATCCCATTATTGCAAAATTCTGCTTTTAGTTCAGATGATAATCTTTGACCACCCTTATACTGCATGATATAAATCTCCGATATATCTTTCACACTTGTCAATGTTCCTGCCACCAACACTAACTTCTTCCAGAAGAGACTGAGCTGGTTTAAGAAATTTTGAATTCGTATAGCAATAGCAAAAGATTCTGTTCCATCACTGGAGCAAGAACGATTTGCTGAGGTGGAAGATGAAGTGAATGTGCCACAGGGAATGAATAGTCATCACTACATGCTCAAATCAGGATTACAAACTTCTCTACTTCATTCCGCAAAACAAGTATTAGAAGTGATATCTGAACTTAAAGTCTCTGCTTGTTGGACTGATGGAACTAGCATGTGAGAACCAAGAGACAGAGAGAGCCTCTGAGTGGTGATTGGCTCATTTGATGCTCCAAGAAGGTCCATTAAGTGTCTAGTGTGACTGATTCAGATTCCTCGGCTACAGCAGGAGCATGAACAAGGTCATTGATCTGGATATTCTTTCCCTAGAGACTGAATGTTGGCAACAAACCAAGAGATGACGATAACTGTTATTGGCCTTACAGCAGACCCATAAGATCGAAATTTTGGTTTTCAAATGATTCGACCAGTAATGAGTCTGAGATATAAATTGTGTAGCATATTGAAGCTGGATTTGGGGGCGAGTCTTTTGAAACCAATGACCTGAAGTGGAGTAAAGGTTATCAAAAGGATTGCTAACGGCAGGTGGTCTTTTTCAAACTTTAAAGAGAAAAATGACTATAACAGTCGATGAGCAGATTTATAAGATTCTTAGTTTAACCTATTCTAACTTACAAAGATCAAAAAGGTACGGAAAGCTAACACCCCAGAAGAAAGAGAGGTCACATAGCAGATGACTGCTTTAAACAGATTAATGATAAGATCAACGAAGCATTGAGATTACTAAAACATGAAGGCATTATAACCAGAAAACTAAGTTACTAGATAAGTATTCATCAAGCAAAGGGCCATTACTGACTTCGTTCAAGGAAGCTCAAGGAAGGAGATCCAGAGTTAGTAGGGATAATAGTGGTGACAACGAGCAGTTGAGTAGTGGAGTACTCCTTAAAAGCAATTTTGAAAACCAGTTCATGCATAAAAACAGAATTTCGTTACAAAAGTATACAATCTAACATACTATCACATCACTTAAATTTTGAAATACGAGAAACTTACATATCATTTTCATAGCAAACCACAAGTTCCTGCACTACAGACTCTCTAATATACAGGGTTGCCTCAACTTTCAAAAAATTATAACAGAAAACAATGGATAGATAACAAACACAGGAGGACAATTCAGATGATCCTCTGAAGCAGGCTAAGCAAACTTGAAAAATATGGATACCATATAACCAGACTCAGGTTGTCTGTCAATGCTTAATGTATTCACTGAGCCCATAAACACAACAAATTGATTTGGAAAATGGCAATGACTACACTACATTTCATCATTTATAACATTCACAGGTAACCAATTAGCACAATGTTTAATAAAATTGACCCAAATAATTGCCAATGTTTAAACCATTGAGACTATTACAATCTCGTTGCCTGATCTAATTAATAAGGTAAAAGTCATCCAAAACCAATTCAAAGAAAAAGAAATCAAAATTAAGAGAAAGCAATACCTAGACAGATATGCCCATTGCTATAAATGTGGGGATGCAGAGGAGCTGGAGGCAGAAAAATCACCTGGCCAAACAATACAAGAAAGTAAAACAAATCACTACAAAACAACAATTTCATAAACCTAAGAAGACAAAAAAGCATGGACAAAGTAAGCCTAATGTTTAAACCTATTAAAGAAAACTATTCAAAACAAATATCCACAATCAAATTTCTTCACAACCAAAAAGAGTGAGAATAAGAAAAGTTCAAATCCACCTGAGGTGCTTCCATGGGATAATGCTCAGGAAAATCCACTTGAAGCTGATAGGTTTCATTCGCATACAGGGTCCCTGGGGCTCCGTTGACTTCGATGATCCATCTGTACAAAAAAAAAAAAAAAAAAAAAAAAAAAATAAAGATGTAAATAACAGTATTAAAATCAGAATCACTAATTAAATCGATTCAACAATCACAAATCAGTGAAAAAGAGTAAGAAAATCTAAAGAAACCTTTGAAGATTATCAGTGACTTTGTGTTTAAATCCTGCTGGAGGATTGACCTGCCACTCCACAAGTTCTTTTTGCAGTCTATTACATGCGATCTTGCTTAAAGCCTAAGGAAATTACAAAGTCAAATACTACAACTAAAAAACCACGAAACCATAGAAATCAAAATTATACCAAGTAAAAACGTATACGGTATGTATATATTCATTTATCAAGAGGACGAGAGAAACCTTGCGTGAAGGGGCGGAGGAGCTGGTCATGGCTTCTACGACAAGAGAAGAGGGAGAGACGGTACCGTCTAGCTTTTTCCGTGTGGTACTTTTATTGTAAAGGAGCAAATCCAGGATTATGATTGGTAAAAAGGGAAATAATTTTTTTTTTTTTAAAGAATAATAAATCGGACGATCCAGGATTTGTTTTTGGTCATGGTTCTAGTAGTCGCGATTCGTTTACTGAAAGTGTGAATGACGCGCTGCAGTTGGTGGTTGTGAATGAAAGTGATTTTGCCACGTGGATTATTAAAACCGCTCAATATTTATGGGCCGTGATGAATGGATTCTTGGAAATTTTATTAAATTTCTAGTGTATATTAGCATCAGATCCATTGAAAAGTTACGTGTTCAATTTAATTTTTAAATAAAGTTTTCATCTTTATAATCATGTTTATCACTAAATGTAAAGTAAATTAGGGGCACGTGAATTTCGATAATTGGTCACATCAATTTGGAAGGAGATGAAGGTCATTATCGAATTAGTCAAAGGATCCAACCGACATTGACTTGACTAGATATTTAAACAAGTACATATTTCATTCTTGGGAGCCCAGGATTTAAAGTTGGCTCATCTCATGAAATCAAATTACTTGGTTACAAAAGACTATCGAGTTTCTCTCTGCAGCTTAATAGAAAGAGGTATTAAAGTCGAGCTCAAGAAACATCTAGTACTACTAATAAACTGATGATCATGATATTTTGTTCTTCAATCTTCTTCTGGATGATCTGCTATACCTTCCCTCGTGGTGGAACTGGTAGCTAATGACGGATTCGAGTCTTCTGAAAAGTCTGCGAACTCCTCTTTGTACATTTCTTCTATCATCGGCTTCCACAGGCGAACTCTAGCATTTATGAACCAATTCGACACCTAAATGAAAAATGAGTTGCCCAAATTAAGATAGGAAGAATGCCAAATCATTGGAATAACTAGAGGGCCAAGAAATTTTTTTAAGAGTTAGTTACTTGGTTTTTGGTCAGGCCTGTCTGAGATGCCAGCATTAGCTTTTCAGATTCATTAGGATAACTGTTGGAGAATCATAAAGCAAGGATCAACAATTTGTAAGAACTGACACTAAAAAAAATTATATACATGTAACCAAAATTAAAGCACTTACGGGTGGAGAAAGTGTTCGAAGAGCCAAGAGCGAAGGATTGAGACAGAAGTCTCTGGCAATCCCCTGATTGGTCTCCATACTTGCCGTTGGGTCTGCAACATTCCAAGCTGTTGAAGGGACATTCTGTAATGCCTAGACTCTCTGTCAAATAAACTAAGTTGAGATAATCCTGAACTGATTTTTGGCAAGTCTTGTGAAAATCTTCGACTTGTCACATTAATTTGAGATATTATGGCATCTCTTAATCTGCCAAAATGCCTGGACATAGCTTGCAATGCCAAGGCAGTGTAAGACTTGGCAGCACCTAACCCTGCTATCACTTCAAATGATGATACCACTTCTTCCATTTGATGGTAGTATTTCTCATATTTGCTTTCAACCTGAAGAATAAGGGTGAAATTTTTAAACAATATAAAGCTAACAAGCTAAATAATTGATATAAAAAATCTAATAGTCAGTATGTAAATACAAACCTCCTCCAACAAGGAAATGAGTTTAGCAATTCCAAGATGAAGTTCATATTTCTCGGCAGACAACATCCCATTATTGCAAAATTCTGCTTTTAGTTCAGATGATAATCTTTGACCACCTCTTATACTGCTATGATATAAATCTCCGATATATCTTTCATCACTCTTGTCAATGTTCCTGCCACCAACACTAACTTCTTCCAGAAGAGACTGAGCTGGTTTAAGAAATTTTGAATTCCGTATAGCAATAGCAAAAGATTCTGTTCCATCACTGGAGCAAGAACGATTTGCTGAGGTGGAAGATGAAGTGAATGTGCCAGCAGTGAATGAATAGTCATCACTAACATGCTCAAATCCAGGATTACAAACTTCTCTACCTTCATTCCCGCAAAACAAGTAATTAGAAGTGATATCTGAACTTAAAGATCTCTGCTTGTATTGGACTGATGGAACTAGCATGTGAGAACCAAGAGACAGAGAGAGCCTCTGAGCTTGGTGATTGGTCTCATTTGATGCTCCAAGAAGGTCCATTAAGTGTCTAGTGTGACTGATCTCAGATTCCTCGGCTACAGCAGGAGCATGAACAAGGTCCATTGATCTGGATATTCTTTCCCCTAGAGACTGAATGGTTGGCAACAAACCAAGAGACTGACGATAACTGTTATTGGCCCTTACAGCAGACCCATAAGCATCGAAATTTTGGTTTTCAAATTGATTCCGACCAGTAATAGAGTCTGAGATTATAAATTGGTGTAGCATATTTGAAGCTGGATTTGGGGGCGAGTCTTTTGAAACCATAATGACCTGAAGTGGAGTAAAGGTTATCAAAAGGATTGCTACACGGCAGGTGGTCTTTTTCAAACTTTAAAGAGAAAAATGACTATAACAGTCGATGAGCAGATTTATAAGATTTCTTAGTTTAACCTATTCTTAACTTACAAAAGATCAAACAAGGTACGGAAAGCTACACACCAAGAAGAAAGTAGAGTCACAATAGCAGATGACCTGCTTTAAAACAGATTAATGATAAGATCAACGAAGCATTGAGATTACTAAAACATGAAGGCATTCATAACCAGAAAACTAAGTTACTAGATAAGTTATTCATCAAGCAAAGGGCCACTTACTGACTTGCGTTCAAGGAAGCTCAAGCCGAAGGAGATCCAGAGTTAGTAGGGATAAATAGTGGTGACAACGAGCAGTTGAGTAGTGGAGTACTCCTTAAAAGCAATTTTGAAAACCAGTTCAATGCATAAAAACAGAATTTCGAAACATAATGGAGGGTGAAGAGGGGAAGAGATAAACATTAGGGGTTCAAATAAACCATAGTATTGAACAGGAGGTGAAAGTACATGAACATGACTAGAAGATCTGAAGACAAGACAAAGAAGAATTTACCAACTAATTCCAAACCTGATTGGGAGGTTTGAGTAACTATTAAAGTTGAAAAGACTTATTAAAAGCTAAAATGGAATTCATTCATCTTTAACAAGCATGAAAGGTTGAATGCCAAAGCAAGCAATAAAGCACCAGTCTATGAGCGTTAACAAACCTGTGGTGAAAGCAACTTAAAGAGAAAGCAATGACTCCTTGTCTCCCTTTCTCTCTCTGAAAAATGAGCAGGTCTAAACCCAAGCAGCCAAAAGCTATAACACCTAGAGACATAGACCTCTGTTAGTTCTTCAGAGAAGCAAAGTTAATTGGGTAAATAGAAATCAGAAAATGACAGATAAACAAAGATGGTCCCCAAATTCTCTCACTATAAAACAAGAAGCAAAAGCATCAACCCTTCAGCTTTAGTGCCTGCAGTTACATTTCTTTGGGAGTCGCAAAAAGTATTTTCAGCTCAAAGCAGTTTTACACTCTCTCTCGTCAGAGAAGGAGAGAGCCCTTAATATGTTAAATTGTTTTTTTATTCTTGGATTGCTGTAATCTGTAAAAAGAGGGAAAAAAGTGGGCTATCTTTGGCACTCCCAGTTTTAAGATCGTCAACTTGTGAGTCTGTAAACATAATGGAATATCTAACTTTTTTCCTGTTAGGTGTTGTAATCTACTAATCTTGCAAGAGATGTTGAAAGGACACTGAAAGAGAAAATAAAAAGGTGAAAGAGAAAATGGGTATTGTTAGGAGGTTGGTTGGTGTGCTGATTAGACTGATTCTGGGTGATTTCTTTTGGATGCTATAAGTAATGATTGCTATATTTGTTCCTTCAGCCTCCTCCAGTTGTCACTCTCTAGTTCCTTAACTTGTTAGGACCTCAAAGGCCCATGCTACAGTTCGATTAAAGCGTCTGCACTGCACAATCTGATATATGTCTGCAAATTTAATATGGAAAAAGATTTTCTACCCATGCATTACAGTAGGCTATATATTTTGTAATCCAAAAAGAATTTGAAGCGTTTAAATTTAAATCCACCCACTGTCGGATGTTTTTATAGAAAAGCATACTTGATTCAACTCCAGAGACTTGTTTTCCATCCAGCTAGTGCAATGTGCTATACTGCTATCTAGTCATTGAGGAGTCGCCAACCTATAACTACAGTATCCCACTCATGGGTAGCCTAACAGTAAGGGCGAACTAAAAGTGCTGCTAGCTACGCATGACTTCAACCTACAATCCCAGGTTCGACTCTCCGTCTGGAACAAAGATAATACCTTTGTCGTTGATTTACTTGGGTTGTGGTGGTGGGTTGTTGTTGAACAAAATAGAGATATGATGTGAAACCAAAATAACAAACACATAAACCAAAAACAGTAAAAGAAAGAAGAAGTACGCGCGATTCAATTTGAGTAAATGGATGGGGCTGACTATTAAAACATCTGCAATAAATTAAATAATCATAAACTTTGTCGCTTAAGCGATTTAACACCTATCACTTAAGAGATAAGCTTATAGATAAGTCTACATCGTTTAAGCGATAAGCTTATATCGCTTAAGCGAATGGTCATTTAGTAAAGAGTTTCTAACTTGATGGCTATTTAATTAATTCCAAAATTGAAATGATATTTTAATTAAGCTTCTCTAAATGGATATTGAATCTTAGAGAATTACTAGTTACCAATTACCAAAATAAACTATCCTATTACCATTTGATTAATTAAAAATTGGAGATATGAAATAACTGAAAATAACAAATTAAAACAAAACTAAGAACTAAAGAAATCAAACTGCAAATCAATTAAAAGGTTGGTTGTTAAACAATATGACTAAACCTAGGGCATAGACTTCATATCAATTTTATTCCTATGTATTGATAATTATTACTAAAATCATTATGCTTTTTCCACAGGTCAAACTCCTTAGAATTCCAATAACTTTCTTTCGACCAATAACCGGATTAATCTTTTATTACTAACCCAAGATATCTCTTAATTGAATTTAAGTCTTAAAAAATTATTACGCTCTATGAAATTTACCAAAGCCTTACAAATCGCGGTAATCTATCTCTAGTGTTCGCTCAACCTATGGTTTTATTACATTAGACTAATTAGATATCATCTCTTGATCTCAATCGTCCATTAGATCAATCAACTCCCACTCTCACTACCAAAAGAATTGAAGCATTAAGAATCATAATAAAACTTAGAAAAAAATGTTTAACAAATATTAACAATAATCAATCAACACATATCCATAAACTTGGGCTACATCTTAACCTTAGAAACTTTATTTAGTTCATAATCAAATAAAAATAAACAACCATTGTGAACACAAATTCAAAAAAAAGATAAAATAAAACTTCCCTAGATGATAAACCAAAACCCCAATAGTTGTTGTTTTGATTTACAAATAGCAGCTAATCTCCTCTCTGTCCTCTTCTCCCCTTCCAAATAATAGCTAAAGACATCTATTTATTACGCTAGGGTTTTAAGAGTGTTTACAACAATCATATTCTAATTAGAACTCTTAAATCTAGAAAAAATTGTAATTACAAAAATCCAGATCTGTTAGGAAATCATCGTCATGCCAAGGCATGAGTTAACCGTGCCATGGCATGCATTGCATGTCGTCAATTTTAGTTGTCGATGTGCTGCGACATGTGCACCCTTCATCAATTCCATCTTTATCATGAACTTTCTTGGCCGCGGCTTGACTAAACTTGTGTCATGGTACACAAATATGCTCTTTTTCTTGTACGAATACTTATGAATTTGACAAAGTCTTCAACATATGAATTGTAGATCTCTTTGTTAGTTTTCCAATGCTTCAAGAATCATCCCCAAACAAGGTCTATAGCTCCAGATATCATTAAAATACTGAGGCATGCTCAATACATGAACAATTTTCTAGGTTTTGCAATTAATTTTCAAAACGTCATAACTTCCTTGTTTCAACTCTGAATCTCAAACCGCTTGTTTCCCGTTGTCACAAATCCCATCGCCAACATAATTCTTCATCCAAATATTATTTTTAAGCATTTATAAACTGAAAACACATGAAACATACCTATGATCCCATAAAAAATATTTATGAAATAATTAAGCACAAATCACACAACTTGAACTTAATTTTCTACAAATAATACCAATAAACCACCAAGTAAAAGGGTATTTTTAAGCATTTATCAAGTAGTTGACAACTCCAATAGTTGTGGGATAACTTTTCCTCAGAAATAGTCGAGCTACACATAAACTGGTCTGGGCACATCCTAAAACTACATCGGAACGGCTAAAATTAGCAAAAACCCAGTCATTATGCACCGGATTTCATTCAAAACAATGTCTCATGCAAATAAGACAACTTTCACAAGTAAAACCTGATCTATGTCTACAAATTTAAAATGGAAAATGATCTTCCAGCCTTGTCCTCTTCAACATTATGGTAGACAAAATATTTTGCTATCCAAAATATAAAAAACAACAAGATGTTTAGCAGCAAATAAATTTAAATCCAATTTATATGGAATTATTTTTCTGAAAAAAAAGTACACTTATTAAATTCTATAGGCTTTGTTGCAGTACCTAAAATTATCATACAAAATCTCATTCAAATCACATCATAACCTTATATCGATAGTAAAATAGGTGTCAAATGGGTCAAATACGTATAATCAGTCCGCATGGGTATTTGACATACTATAGTTGTTTTATAATAACAAAAAATTAGTACAATATATGCACGAAATATGTAAAACATAATTTAATACTTTTATGGATCTTAGAATAAGTGATTAAATGGCCTATTTGACATCACTAAATTAGAAATAAGGAAGTAATATGTTATTCTTTGCACATATCTGTACTATATGTTTCTGTTGATTTATCCTTCAATTGAGTCCAACATCCACATGTAAATGTAGTTCTTATGTAAGAAACCATTTGGCAGCTCAATAGTCTAATGGGTTATTTTAGCGTTTATTCTTAGATTTATAAAAGTTTTAAATTATATCATACACATTTCGTGTATATATTATACTAATTTTTTTGTTGCTATAAAACAACTAAATTATGTCATACATATCATATTTAATCAAATAATTTTTTTACCATCTATAATATTATGATTTGTTTCTCAAAAGTATTATAATTTAAGGTAGACACAAACCTAATTCTAGCATGCTGAAAATTATTTAAAGCCAAAGATATATTATGGCTTGGTTATGTCTAATTTTATACTATTTTTTTTCATTAAAATGTACATAGATTTCAATATATGTAGTTCTAGCATACTGAACATGATTTGAAGCCAAAATGCAGCATGCATGTTATACAGATTTTTTTTCGTAAAACAAATTAAAACATGTAAAAACAAAGAACTTATATTACCAGCCGTGAAATCATGACTGCTTAATGGAATCGGTCAGTTTGATTCATTATCAAGAACACTACACAGTATTCACCAAAAAATATTTAAAATATACCATGATCCACCTGTGGAGAAAGTTGAGAACCCTGCGCATGAATGGTTGAGCTTTTTGACTTGCTGCATCAAATCATAAATTACAGATAAACTTATTGGAATTACCATAAATCTCACTTTATGAAGTTTTTATATTATATATTTTTGTCAAAAAAATTAAATTTTATGGCTTATGGGTGGATTTATATATGTAACTTTGTTCTTATTCTAATTTATCTTCGAGATGATATCGCTTCTCACAATAACCATTGTATCTTTGTTGAATGCCATAAGCAAAAAGCTTCAACCGGTATCAAAAGAAGATTATTTTCTAACGAAGAAGCTTGAAGACCAAGGGCAAAACAAGCAGAAGCATCAAGTGAAGAGGCGTCAGAAATATGAGCCTGCAACAGCAGCATGCATATATATATATATTGATATCAAATTTAAGACTACTAAATAAAACTAGTAATGCTCAATACTGTATATGATAGAGAAAGGTTCTTTTACAGCTATGAATCCTTCTGTTAATGCACTTGAATTCTCATAAACATTCATCTCCGTCAATAAAATTTGCTTTATTTCCAAATGACCATACATTATACAACATTATCACACTTGGGAGAGTTCTGTTACAAGATTCTTTATTAAAAAAACTGCCCAGATTATCAATCTTCTATGATCTCACCTATCTCTATTTATATTTATGTTACAAGTGCTTTCCGTCATCAACATGAAACAAGAAGAGAAGATGACGCTAATATAAACGCCACACTATTTCTGTTTTTGGTGCAAGCAAAGGCAATGTTTCATACTACAAAATCATGTAATAGATGAGGATTGCTGAACCTATCTTGCTGATTATTCCCCATATCCATGCAATGATAATCTACTGTGTCATGATGCCCTACAGGAGAATCAATCGTGTCATTACCTCCAATTTGAGTCCCAGTAGATATGGGGGGAAATACATCACTTTCATGATGCCTTAAGCCCAATGCAAGTGAAACTTGATTGCTGACTGCAAGACCACTCAATTCTGATATACCATATGAGCCAGAATCACCGATAAGAACATTATTGTTATTACTATTCTGGTTAAGTGGGATACTTCCGTAAAGTCTGTGGTCATCCATGTTAGGCCTTTGGTCATTCTGTAATCTCATCATCCCAGAATTTAACCCATTTTCACCATTCTGAAACACTGATCTTAACATGAATTTGTTCATTTCAGCATCGGGGATATCATCAGACTTAAGATCATGTACTTGTGTGGATGTCAGACTTTCGCGCAACTCTTCCCCTCTATCTTCAGGTGCTGATGAGTTCTCGCTACATGCTTTGGGGGCATTATCTTGACAGGTCTTAAAATTCACCTCTGGATCACCAAACTCTTCTTTGTACATCTCCTCAACCATGGGCTTCCAAAGACGCACTCGTGCATTGATAAACCAGTTTGCAACCTGATCCAAACACGTATAAATAATGATCATGTTACATGGCACATGACAAGAAAATAAGAAAAATGAATACATATGATTCTTGTGTCAAATGACAAACAAAATGATAAAGAAAGTTTGCAGGGAAATGCCATAAAGACCCTCATTAGGTGAAACCAGGAGAATTTAACCTTTTTTTTTTTTTAATGAATATTTTCTGCTAAACTCTTGACTCTCAATCTTTCCAGTGTTTTCAAAAGTCATAATTATACCATACAGTCATGATCCACCAGTTATAACTGAATCTAGTACCTGGTTTCTGCTCAAGCCCGTTTGTCTTGCTAGCTTGATTTTGTCTGAATCATTTGGGTACCTGGTGAAAACCAAAATGAGCGAGAATGAGAGTTACTGGACCAAAGTTATTTGAAGCTAGAAATTTTAATGGGGAAAATAAGTGCCCAGGACATACGGATGAAGAAAATGCTCAAACAACCAAGCACGAAGGATTGAAACAGAGCTCTCAGGAAGTCCTCTCTGAGGTCTCCAAGCATGTCTCATTGCACCAAACTGTTGAAGAGCCCTCTGTTGTCTTAACTGATGATCTATGAACCGGAGGCGAGGTATGCTTCCTTGACAGTTTGAAGAAGTGTCTTGCTCTCCAAGGCTTCTCCGAGTCTCTTGAGTCTGCTTACTGATTGCATCACGCAAAGTGCGGAAGTGGCGAGAAATTGTTTGGAGGGCGAGTGCAGTGTATGATTTAGCTGCCCCACGCCCACCTACCATGTCAAATGATGAAACAACAATTTGCATTTGATGGTAATATTGTTTGTATTTTCTGTCTACCTACAACAGAAGCATTACAATTAGCAGTCTTTCAGAAGAAGTGCAGCTTAGCTGAAACAAAAATCTTATGAAAGTTTAAAAGAGACATGGATATACAGAACCAAAGAATTCACCGAAGCAGACACGTGAAAGTCATTACCAGCTGAAAAGCTGAATTGACCGGAATTCCTCTAGCCCCTTCCCCGTAATAACTCCTCTAATCATTTAAGGCTATGGAAATGGAATTGGATATGATGAAACATGCCTTTGCTATACAAACTTTCTTAACAAGCTAGAGCTGTTAGTTCAGACCTCTAACTCAACCAATAACTCTCTATCTAAATTTCTTCCCCTCCTCTCTGTTCCTGCTACTTACTTTCTTCATGCTCTGATGTTGAACCAATAAGGAAATCATGAATGGAAACAAAATATATGAGAAGGATAACATTAACTTCCATACATTTTGAACACAAATTCCACCTAAAACACTGATGTGACATATTTCATCTATTCTTTTTAACAAACTGTATGAATCTAAATGGTCCGGACTATCGAATTGATTAAGGAATCATAGCAATTTGGCAACCGGTTATGAGCATATCATAACAAGAACAAGAAAATAAGGCATGGTTTACAGAAATACACATGGGTTAAATTAGACAAGAATCCAAGTTAATAAAAGACTACTTAAAGATGGTACATGATTAGCACAATCCTGAAGGTAGTTGCTTACCTCCTCCAACATGGATAAAAGTTTTGTTTTCTTGTTCTGCAGATCCTGTCGTTCTGCATGTGATAGCTCAGAAGATGAATTGGTAACTGACCGACTACTAGATTTCCCATCGGTCCCTTTGGAGTCATCTAAACCTGTCCCATGACAGTTTTGTTCTTTATTTGAATCAGACCGCTTCAAAGCCTTTTGGACATTAATCACTTCATCAAGCAACTCTTGTGCTGCTTTGATGTATTTGGATTTTAGTGAAGTGTTTGTGAAACCTGTTGGTTCATACTGATACATACTNCCAGTTTGCAACCTGATCCAAACACGTATAAATAATGATCATGTTACATGGCACATGACAAGAAAATAAGAAAAATGAATACATATGATTCTTGTGTCAAATGACAAACAAAATGATAAAGAAAGTTTGCAGGGAAATGCCATAAAGACCCTCATTAGGTGAAACCAGGAGAATTTAACCTTTTTTTTTTTTTAATGAATATTTTCTGCTAAACTCTTGACTCTCAATCTTTCCAGTGTTTTCAAAAGTCATAATTATACCATACAGTCATGATCCACCAGTTATAACTGAATCTAGTACCTGGTTTCTGCTCAAGCCCGTTTGTCTTGCTAGCTTGATTTTGTCTGAATCATTTGGGTACCTGGTGAAAACCAAAATGAGCGAGAATGAGAGTTACTGGACCAAAGTTATTTGAAGTTCGAAATTTTAATGGGGAAAATAAGTGCCCAGGACATACGGATGAAGAAAATGCTCAAACAACCAAGCACGAAGGATTGAAACAGAGCTCTCAGGAAGTCCTCTCTGTGGTCTCCAAGCATGTCTCATTGCACCAAACTGTTGAAGAGCCCTCTGTTGTCTTAACTGATGATCTATGAACCGAAGGCGAGGTATGCTTCCTTGACAGTTTGAAGAAGTGTCTTGCTCTCCAAGGCTTCTCCGAGTCTCTTGAGTCTGCTTACTGATTGCATCACGCAAAGTGCGGAAGTGGCGAGAAATTGTTTGGAGGGCGAGTGCAGTGTATGATTTAGCTGCCCCACGCCCACCTACCATGTCAAATGATGAAACAACAATTTGCATTTGATGGTAATATTGTTTGTATTTTCTGTCTACCTACAACAGAAACATTACAAATTAGCAGTCTTTCAGAAGAAGTGCAGCTTAGCTGAAACAAAAATCTTATGAAAGTTTAAAAGAGACATGGATATACAGAACCAAAGAATTCACCGAAGCAGACACGTGAAAGTCATTACCAGCTGAAAAGCTGAATTGACCGGAATTCCTCTAGCCCCTTCCCCGTAATAACTCCTCTAATCATTTAAGGCTATGGAAATGGAATTGCATATGATGAAACATGCCTTTGCTATACAAACTTTCTTAACAAGCTAGAGCTGTTAGTTCAGACCTCTAACTCAACCAATAACTCTCTATCTAAATTTCTTCCCCTCCTCTCTGTTCCTGCTACTTACTTTCTTCATGCTCTGATGTTGAACCAATAAGGAAATCATGAATGGAAACAAAATATATGAGAAGGATAACATTAACTTCCATACATTTTGAACACAAATTCCACCTAAAACACTGATGTGACATATTTCATCTATTCTTTTTAACAAACTGTATGAATCTAAATGGTCCGGACCATCGGATTGATTAAGGAATCATAGCAATTTGGCAACCGGTTATGAGCATATCATAACAAGAACAAGAAAATAAGGCATGGTTTACAGAAATACACATGGGTTAAATTAGACAAGAATCCAAGTTAATAAAAGACTACTTAAAGATGGTACATGATTAGCACAATCCTGAAGGTAGTTGCTTACCTCCTCCAACATGGATAAAAGTTTTGTTTTCTTGTTCTGCAGATCCTGTCGTTCTGCATGTGATAGCTCAGGAGATGAATTGGTAACTGACCGACTACTAGATTTCCCATCAGTCCCTTTGGAGTCATCTAAACCTGTCCCATGACAGTTTTGTTCTTTATTTGAATCAGACCGCTTCAAAGCCTTTTGGACATTAATCACTTCATCAAGCAACTCTTGTGCTGCTTTGATGTATTTGGATTTTAGTGAAGTGTTAGTGAAACCTGTTGGTTCATACTGATACATACTAGAATGCAGTTCGTTATGGTTTATTGAGTGCTGAGTGTTATAAAATGCCTCTGTTTCAAAATCAGACAGCAAACCATCAGGATTTCTCAACTCCTTACCTTTTTCACTTTCATCACGTTCGCAACATAATGTCCCCTTACCTGAAACTGGAAGATGTGAACTCAAGAACGAAGAGAAATTAGGGTTTGGATACTGGTACTGAAATGAAGGCAAAGAACCTACAGATGACATCTTTGTGCCAAGGCTTAGAGACAATCCCTGACATTGAAAATTCTGTTCACCATCATGAACGCTGATCACCTTGGAATCCCCACTAACAGAGTTCTGAAATGAATTACCAGTTTCAGTGTTCAATTGCCCATCAATGGACGGCAAACTTGCCGCACCACTTGTTGGCGGAATGAATATCATTTCATTTCTAACTCCTGTCGATGGTATTCCAGCATAGTTGTGAGGTGCGAAAGAAGACAAAATCTCGGAGTATGACCCAGAAGCTTGGCTTACGTACATAGTCACATTATCAGGACGGGAAGGTGGATCAACACAATTAACAAATTTCTGGTCTCCTGAAAATGAAGTTGCAAAGCCCTCTCTTTTGTAACTTACGCTTGAGTTATAGGTAGTCATCACAAGGATTAGCCTTGAGTAGTGAGACACAAAGCTGGTGCTCTCAACGAACTAAATGATCATTGAGAACAAGGTGCTGCGCAATGAAATGGTGATCAGTTAATAAATCATAATTCTGTAGAAACCAAATTTAATTAAAGAGACCAGAGATCTTTGAAATTCTTAAATCATCACTCTGAACTCATGAAATGTTAATTAAAAAATTAGCCAAATCATCCACATTCAACCCTTCAGGGGTGTTGCAAACGACATCAAAAGCAAGAGGTTTGAACCAGAATAAAATCAATTTAGGTGGGGGAAGAAATTCAACCCAGATCCAGGGGAAAATATATGAATGTCTGGGTGGGGATGAATATTTTATTGAATGAAATTTAGATAAAGAAAAATCACAGAAAATTTGAAGTTGAAAAACAGAGAAAATAACCTTCAAAGGACAATTAAAAAAAACTTACAAAATCCATGTACTGCAAAAGAGCCCACAACAAAATCATAGCTACAAGAAAAGCTATACTCACCAAATAGCTGGGAAGCAGTAATTGAAGGCAGTTAATAATAACCGCCTTTTATTCTGTTTCAAGTACAAACTTTTTTAACTCTTATTCCTGTTTCTTGCAATCATTTTATCAAAACCATCATCAAGTTGATCCATGAATACTCAAATCAGAATTCAGAAACACCATCAAGCAACAAGCATATTACAAGAAAGCAAAACACAGCGAAATTCAAAACCCCATTTTACCCACAAAATTCTGCATATGTACATCAGACCCTACTGCACAGAAATCCATATGATGATCATAGAAACCCATAAAGTAAAAAACTCTCATGTCAATTTCTTTTTCAGCTAATTCTATTTACTTTCTGCATCATCATGCATTACAGGAACTAATACTCAATTTCGAAAACAGAATCAAAGCATTAAACTTTTTTCCTCTTATTCTTTTCCCCACGTACACAATATGGATAATCATTCACAAAATCAAAAAAGGTAAAGTAAAATACCTGAGCTGCGCCTCTCGTGGGAAGCAGAAAGGGGTTGAAAACACGGAGACAAAAAAACCAATCCCAAGAGATTTATGGTCTAAACTAAACAGAACCAACCTCCTTATCATTGAAACATTGACACCAATCTAGAAATAATAATATATTAATCCAATCAACCAATAAAAAATGAATACATCTGACAACAGCAACAACAACTACAATATAATAAGTAATAAATTCTTAGAAATAAATAAGTGAATTTCTGTGTCAATCATTCATTCCTAAGAATCTCACGTGTGACAAAAAACCCTTAGCTAGAACGTTCTCTCAACCCAACAACACCAAGTGGCTAATGGTGGTGGTTAAGTTTTGTTGCTTAAGAGACTTCATTAACCTAACTACCAGTTGGTAGACCTGTAACCCGCCCTTAAGCCTTCATTTAACGCATAAAAAAAAACACTCGTGTCTCTCTCTTGTCATAAGAAAAGGAATCATAAACTTCCTTCTCATTGGTTATCTTGCTTCATTCAAAAAATAACTATCCAACCACGAAGTCTCCCCATTAGGTGAATGTGACAATCTCACACGTTTCCTCTTCTTCTCTACTGCTTCTACACGCTAGCGTAGCGGCTAACTGCTACAAAATTACATTATTTTTTCTTTTCTTTTTCCATTCTATTACTCTGCATAAGCACTGGATTTTCATTTGGATTAATATTTTTCTTTGTTAAAAGAAAGTTGTTGCAGATATAATTCTGTTTAGTAAATGATATGACGTTTCAACTTTGGTGAATTATAGAAGAGAAAAGAGAGAAAGCATTAAAGTTTGTGTTGGTGAGGTTGAAGATCATACCTAATATTTAGTTTCGTTGTACTTTCTCGTTACTTTGGGTTGATAATGAGAGAGATGTTTTATCAGTATGCAGTTTTAGTTTTTTTATAGTTATATCACTTGGCATAATATGGGTATGATTTCCTCTGTGTCTCCTAATTATTTCCCTCCATTTTTGTTAATTATCACCTTCATCAATCTTCAACCTTGAGTACTATGATTATACCAAATCTTCCTCTCGTTGGTTAAATTAAATGTCTTCTAATTTCCTAAGTGTACCATTCAGATTTTTCAGTATAAAATGGGAGAATTCATTAGATTGTAAGGAGAAAGTCTCGGTGTTTATAAATGATAATATGAAACTTCATTTCAATTGCCCTTGATTTATCTGGGCTGCGGCGGTGGTTGCTGTGAAATAAGTCGCTCTCAATATTAGTTTACGTGAGTGTAAAAGTTAAAAAAAAAAAAAAAAAAAATTTAAGCATATTTCTCTTAAAAAAATTCAAATGAATTAAAAAAATTAATTATATAACCCCCAAATCAACTGAACAAGATATGAAACTAAATAATAACTACTATTAGGTAATCTACAATAAAAGAGCAAGAAAAAAAGGTTTTATAAGATCTTGAGTTTAAGTTTTCATTGATCTTAACATTGATGATTACGGAAAGGTTTATCTAGTTATCAATTTCAAGGGAATCAGTCTGAACAAAAGTCACCCAAAGAAAGAAATCTTATGAAAAGTTTTTTTTTTTTTTAATTTCAATCATGTCTATTATTTATATAAAAATTCTAATTTATGATTCTAATTTTAAAATTTTAATGGCACCTATGAATCCAATAAAATCGGGGGAAACGACGTAATCACTCAATACGACGACGTATAGAGGCGATGCATACACATTGAACTTTCGAGTGTGTCGTCACTGAAAGCAAAATTCTATCATGAGCTTAAGCTTCTGTTCTTTCACTCGCCTATCACCTCAAATTCACGAACTCAATATTCAATGGAATCCAAGCCCTAATCGATCAAACTTTCCGCTCAGTTTAATAACAAACACCTCCAACACTTCGTCAAGATTAATTGCCAGAGTTCTTGAACAAGGCCTCGAAGTTGCCTCCCCCGACACCGATGTGTCTTTGCGAAACCCCGTAATTGACCCAAAAGAAGAAGAAGAAGAGGTCCCTGGAGCTCTCAATGGACTCGCAGGCGCTGAATTAGACAATAAAAAAGTAAATTCGTCAAGTAGATTTAAGAAGAAGAGAGACGACGAGGACAGTTCTGATAATAGGTTCAAGTTGCAAAATGGAAAGGAGGTTGATCATTTATTTATTTACATCTTAGTCCGTATATGTTCTAACAGCTTTTAATAAATAGTTTACTGAACTGAACTATACGTTTCTTTTCTTTTGTTTTTCATTTTGTTGAGCTCTTGCTGGGAAATAATAAAATTGGGCTGATTTTTTTATTCAGGTATTTGAAGAAAAAGCCTACCTTGTGGGTGTTGAACGCAAAGGTGATAAAGAGAATTTGTTTGGTATAGAGGAGTCTCTCAAGGAACTGGGCCAGCTAGCTGACACTGCTGGGCTGATGGTTGTTGGTTCCACGTATCAAAAGTGAGTATTTTGTTACGGTATTTCTGAATACTTCATTGGTTCAGCAACTAAAATGGAAAACACTTCAATCTAGCTAACATTCTCTTGCACAAGATTGGTGATGTCAAATTAATTACTTGAACACCAAAATGTTTATTTGTAACATATGGCATCATTTAAAATCGGACTTTATTTGTTATTCATAAAAATTTTCTTGATAAACTGAGCGGCAAGCCTGTTGCTTTTGTGAATTGCAATGCAGGCTAACTTCTCCAAACCCGAGGACCTACATTGGATCTGGCAAGGTTGCTGAAATTAAGAGTGCAATTCATGCTCTGGGGGTTGAGACTGTAATATTTGATGATGAGCTTTCAGCAGGGTAAAGTTTTGTTCATGGATCATGTTTGCTTCAATTAAGAAATGCTTATTATTAAGATTACTTTTCATAGATAACATGACTTGATTGTTCCAAAATGTGTTTCTTCCAGTTTTCTTGAACTTGTTTTGTACATTTTTATGTTCTTTTATTGTTATTGCACTACAATTGTTTTTCCCTGCCAACTGGAATCCTCCTGATTAATGTTCTAATATTTTAGCAACAGTAGGATAACATGAATATGAAGTGCTGGTTTCCTTAAATATTTCTGGATAGAGATAATCATAGGAGACGAAGGCATGGAATCAGTGTGATAATGGAGTACTTTTGTATGCTGTTATTCTATCTCATTGTCATGTAGATAACACTGTACTTTTAACTCTCCTACTTATTCCAACAGAAAATTTTGTCCATTTTTCTCTTTACTGTTTTTTCAGTGTTGAGGAATCCTCTTTCATCTATATCTGCACGTGACACGTGTATGAGGTATCTTCATTGGGGACATATATTTTATAATATGTTTTGCTAATTTCTAAACAGGCAATTACGCAATTTGGAAAAGGCTTTGGGTGGAGATGTTAGAGTTTGTGATCGCACTGCCCTTATCCTGGATATTTTCAACCAGCGAGCAGCAACACATGAAGCAGCTTTACAGGCAAGTTTTATTACTCTGCTTTGATGAATTATTTATGCTAGGTTATGTGCCATCCATTATTTCAAGCAGAAATTTTCTGAGAAGCTTGATCAATGTCTTCAACGAAAGTAATAGTTTTCTATGCATTCACTCATGATTAAAATGTCTATCTAGGTTGCACTGGCACAAATGGAATACCAGTTACCTCGGTTAACTAAAATGTGGACTCATCTTGAACGTCAAGCAGGAGGACAGGTGAAGGGTATGGGTGAGAAACAAATTGAAGTGGACAAACGTATCTTACGTACTCAAGTAAAGTTCCTATATTCTGCAGCTTTACAGATAATCTCAGTTCCCTTCTAGTTGCATATAATGTTTATGTCCATAAGACTTCATTATGTTCTTATTATCACTGGAAATTCGAGTTTGGTCTGAATCTCTGACGCATTGCTTGATAGATTGGGGTTCTCAGAAAAGAGCTAGAATCTGTTAGAAAACATCGTAAGCAATACCGGAACCGGCGCATTTCTGTACCTGTCCCTGTAGTGTCATTGGTAAATTAACACACATATATTTTGTTTTTCGATATTTCATGTTTATGGTTCTCAATGTTGATATGCACTTCACAACATTTAGGTTGGGTACACAAATGCTGGAAAGAGCACTCTTTTAAATCGACTAACCGGAGCTAATGTTCTTGCTGAGGATCGATTATTTGCAACCCTTGATCCAACTACAAGAAGGGTTCAGGTGAGTGTCAGATATATTAATAAATCTCCTGTTCCAACATGCTTCACTAGTCATATATTCTTTATGCAATTTTTGTTTTGTTTGTGTTCTGTGTAGATGAAAAATGGGAAGGAGTTTCTTCTTACAGATACCGTTGGGTTTATTCAGAAGTTACCAACTACCTTGGTAAGAACCTTAACTGCTCATTGATGAATGTGGCACACTTCCTGCTGATATTGATTAGGTTATTATTTCAATTTGCTATCAGCTTCACCATTACAGAAGAGGTTTTTGGTGTATGTTAATTGTTAACCTAATTTGGACTGAAGCCTAACAAATCTTCTCGCCTCTGTTTGCTTACTACTTCCTGCAGGTTGCTGCCTTCAGAGCAACGTTGGAGGAGATATCGGAGTCATCACTTTTAGTGCATGTGGTTGACATCAGGTATCATAATACCAACCTGTTGCTTGGTATCTGATTCTATTTCTGGTTATCATTTATCAGCATTATCATCTTACACTATGTTTTTGTCAAGTCCAGCCATCCCCTGGCACAGCAACAGATACATGCTGTGGACAAAGTTCTGTCAGAGCTAGATGTGTCATCAATTCCAAAGTTAATGGTCTGGAACAAGGTACTGCAAGTTTAACCTTTTTTTTTTTTTTTTTTTTTTTTTTTTTTTTTTTTTTTTTTAAATTTGTTGATTGAGATTTACAAACTTGTGAAGTGAAGCAAACAATCAATCAACTCTTATGTATTTACTCTTTTATATATTTACCCTTTTTCTTTGGGGATATCTTAAAGAGGATAAATTGGTCAAACATAAGTACTGGATGCTGATTGATTGATCATGACCATTGAAATCACTTATGTGCACACACTTTCCTAGCATTTTGGACCACTTAAAGTGATTAAGGGGATTGATAATGATTTTCTGGCAAGCCTATCGTTTGTGTGGATAGTTTCTCCTTGTTAACAAGCATCAGCTTGGAGTTTGCTTCAACTGGTTGTTCATGGACTTGTTAATGAGCATTTGAACATACACTAACCCAAACTTTCATTTATTGCAATATGAAATTTTTGTTGATAATTCTGCTGCTTCTGCCACCAATCATGGCAGGTTGATAGGGTTAGTGATCCTCAAAAGATCAAGTTGGAAGCAGAGAAAAGGGAAGATGTTGTTTGCATATCTGCTTTGAGTGGTAACGGATTAGACGAATTCTGCAATGCGGTTCAGGAAAAATTGAAGGTAATGAGTTTACTTATATCCTTAGTGTTGTAGAACTATGATCGTTCCTGATAATAAGAAGGGAGTTTGTAACAGGATTCTATGGTCTGGGTGGAAGCATTGGTCCCATTTGACAAAGGCGAGCTTCTCAGTACCATACATCAAGTTGGAATGGTGGAGAGAACTGTGAGTGTTCCCCAGATATTTAGATGATTTAATTTTCTTTTATTCATGGAGAGAACTGATAGCTTATTGCTTGTTCCTCATATATTTTCCTTGTTTACAGGAATATACAGAAAATGGAACATTAGTGAAGGCATATGTTCCCCTTCGTTTTGCAAGGCTGCTGACACCAATGAGGCAGATGTGTATACCATGATTCCCAACTTTGTTGGTCGATATCATCTTTTTTTTTTTTTTTTTTTTTTTTTTTAAATTGTTATTGGACCAATCCTCTTCATGTATGTGTAATCTTATGGGCAAATACTATTTTTCAGAGACACAGAAAGTGAGCCCTGTGTTTTTTTAACAGTGTTAGTCTTCTACTTTGTATTGTCCCTGTCAAAGGGCACTTGTGTAAATAGCATACTTATCTGTTCATAATCATTATGTAAACGAAAATTTCAACCACCTTATTCCCACAGTTTTTTGCTTTAGTACTGTATTAGTGCGATTGCGTGCATAAGAAAACTGATGATCTAATGGCCGAAGCCCTGGAATATCGTGTACAATCCATGCTTATTATTGCATTTACTTAGTCAAACTTTTCACGATATGTCATTGCTTATATTAACAATACTGGCGTAATTCGACAATACTGGTGCGGTTACTAGTTTGCTATGAGCTGCCCTTTTAAACCATTTAGACAACTTGTAGAAGTTCACCAGTGAAATGTTCCAGGTCCGAAGCAGGACATATAGATTATAGGATCTCTGCATGATGCTGAGCCTTGTCGAATTGGAGGAAACTGGAGCAGAGCAATATTGGAGCCTCGGTTAAAATGAGACATTTTGTATGAGCTCAGCCTCAGACGTACCTTTGTAGCTATGAGGTTTAGGTTTATTATCGTAGCAGGTTAACAACTCCAGCTTTTTATGGGTCAACTTGTTAAAATTATCCAATTTAAGCTTGCATTACCCACGTCATACTTTCTGCTTTCTGAAACATAATATACAAATGTGTTTACTGGAATGCTATAGTAGTACAAGATTCTTCTAGTTTCTGTTGGTTGATATTTTTCCTGCTCGTGGAACATAAAATTGTGTTCAATTGAAAGGTTTAGGGTTTAGAATAAAAAGCTAAATGACAAAACTGAAGTGTGAAACCATTAACTGGAAGCATATAGAGATTTGTACTTGGAGCAGGTAAAACAGAAACACCTCTCTTTCCTAGACAAAATGGAGCAGACGCAATCATCTGCTTAAAGAGATAAACAGAAAAGTTGACATAGTCACAACTCGCCATATTAGGTGTTCCAGAGAGGATTTGGTAGGGAGAGTAGTTGATTTAATCATTATAAATATGAAAGCCAGACACAACCAGAGAGCACATTACAGAGACAGACTCTTACAACCTCAATCATCCATGGCTTTCATTAAAGTTACTATTAGTCTCATGCTACTATATTTTCTCTCAGTCACTCTCTGCCTAGCTCACCCTGGATTCAATTTTCCCTGGGGTGGTAACGGTCATTTTGGCGGAGCCAACTATGGTCTTTTTCCACAGTTTTATCAGTTTTCATGCCCCCAAGTCGATGACATTGTCATGTCAGTTCTCAAAAAGGCTATCGCAAAGGAGCCCAGGACGGCCGCCTCTTTACTTAGGCTTCATTTCCATGATTGCTTTGTTCAGGTCTCTCACCTAAATTTCTAGTACTAGACGGGAAAATGGAATTTAGATTCAAATATAAACTTATGGAATATGAGAGTATCTTCTACTTTTCTACATATTCAGTTGCATTTGCCAAGACGTTATTTACATGTCTTCATCACTTGTTTTTTTACCCTTGCTGTAGATCATGCTTCTATGTGTTTGCATGTAAAGTTCTATATTGGTATTTATGATTCTCACAAAAAGCTTGACTACTTACAGGGCTGTGATGCATCCGTCTTGTTGGATGATGGTGCAACCATAGTTAGTGAAAAGAATTCAATTCCAAATCAGAATTCACTCAGAGGATTTGAAGTGATTGATGAGATAAAGGCTAAGTTGGAAGAAGCATGTCCCCAGACTGTTTCTTGTGCAGACATTGTTGCCCTGGCCGCTCGGGCCTCCACTGTACTAGTAAGCAAGTTCAAACTTAATGTCACCGAACAATTCCTGCGGCCTGTTATTGTCTAAGAGAATTTTTGGGTGTTTTTGCCATACTAACAAATATTAATTGGTGGGTGTGATTAAACAGAGCGGTGGACCATCTTGGGAGCTCCCACTTGGAAGAAGAGACTCCAAAACAGCAAGCTTGAGTGGCTCAAACAATAACATTCCCCCACCAAACTCCACTATCCAAAATCTCATAACATCCTTCAAGCGTCAAGGTCTTGATGAAGTAGACCTTGTCGCTCTCTCAGGTAAATCAACTATACTTCTTGACAAGAATATGTACAATTATTTTGTTTTTAAGCTGTAATCACATTAATCGCAGGAGGGCATACAATTGGTGTGGCAAGGTGCGCGACCTTCAAGCAAAGGCTATACAACCAAAACGGAAACAACCAACCAGATGTGACTTTAGAGAGAACATACTATTATGGTTTGAAGTCAGTTTGCCCAATAACTGGCGGCGACAATAACATTACCCCGTTAGACTTGGCTTCCCCAGCAAAATTTGATAACACCTACTTCAAGCTTATACTATATGGAAGAGGGCTTCTGACTTCTGATGAAGTGCTTTTGACGGGAAACCTTGGGAACACAATGGCACTGGTTAAGAGCTATGCTCTTAACGAACATCTGTTCTTTGAACAATTTGCTAAGTCAATGATTAAGATGGGTAATATTAGCCCTCTTACGGGTCTCAACGGTGAAGTTAGGAAGAACTGTCGTCGACTTAATTAGGAATTTAATATTTTAAGGCCTATGTCTGCGTTTGGTTATGCTTTCCTTGTGTAATTACAACCCCAAGTTATGGTATTTATTTATAATAAACCGTAAAACTGTAGCTGTGGTGTTATTAGTAATTATCAATTGATAATGAAATATATAATTAAAATCGGTAATTATATTAAGAGTAAATGACATATTCCCACCCAAGGTTCAGTGAAATCCCGGTTGGTACTCCTGATTTTATAAATTCCAGATTCCCACCATTAGATGGATGTGTTAGTGACGACATAGGGGCATATGGTTCTCTTACCAAATTACCCTTGGACCTTCTCCTTCTTCATCTCCCCTACTCTTCTTCACAGCCCATTCCAAACCCACCCATCCCCTAACCACCACCACAGCCGCCTCTTCTTTTTCTTCTACCCATTCTTTTTTTTCTTCCTCTTCTTCTTCTTCTTCTTCTTCTCCTCGTCTCTTTTCTTCTTTTCTTGCTCCTCCTCTCTTTGTTCTTCCCTTTTATCCCTTGTCGGAATAAGCTCTGAGGCGGCTCGGGTGGGCCTGAAATGACAACCGTTTTGAGATGAAGGAAAAAGAGAAGATGGGAGGTGGAGGCAGAGATGAAGAAGAAATGGGAAGGGAAGGGATAAAAATACAATTTTAGCCTTTAACGGATAAAATAAAGGAAACGGTATCCATTTAAGGATGGGAATCTGGAATTTATGAAACCAGGGGTACCACTCGAAGATTTCAATAAACCTTGGGTGGGAACATGTCGTTTACTCTTATATTAACGCCAAATAACTGAGGATCATCGCTTTCACAACGTGAGCGCGAAACTTGTTAAGAAAAAATTATATAAAAAATAAAAATAAAAATTCAAGTATTATTTCTTCTCAGTATGGGCAATCGAGTGGAGAATTGAGATCTCGAACACTCTGTTTGTTACTCCCGATCCAAATTGAAACCCTAGAATTCTTGAACGGTAAAGAAATTGGAGATTCAGAAACTCACTCTAAATACAACCAATTGATAGAAGAATGGGCAAGCAATCAAGCGCGTTGATTACAATGCCGAAGAAGAGATGGCCACTGATGATTCTTTTACTCTTATCTCTGTCAACAGCCATGGTCTTCCTCATAAGATCCACATCCAAAACATGCAATGTTACTATTAATACTCGTACTACATCTACCACTAAAACTAGTGATACTGCTACACATTTCAGTGGCGAACAAGACCAAACAACAAATCCTCTAAATTTCATGAAGTCAAAGCTCGTTCTCTTGGTCTCCCACGAACTTTCTCTTTCAGGTAGTCTTTCTGTCTTTCTATTTCAATCCTATTTTTTTAGTTAAAATAAGAGGTAATTAATAAAATATATGTGTAGGTGGGCCACTGTTGTTGATGGAATTGGCATTTCTGTTACGGGGAGTTGGGGCGGAAGTTGTTTGGATAACTAACCAGAAGCCATCGGAACCTGATGTAGTTATTTACAGTTTAGAACACAAAATGCTGGACCGTGGTGTTCAGGTCTCTATTGTTAAAAGTTAATTTTAGATTTTATTTCTAGCTTGAATGTGATATCTCAGTTTGACTGAATGTTTTGTGTCAAAATGTCGTCAGCCTTCTTATTGTGTGTTTGGAATGCTTATAGGTCCTCTCTGCGAAGGGTAAAAAAGCTATAGATACAGCTCTTAAAGCTGATTTGGTGGTTTTAAATACGGCTGTGGCTGGAAAGTGGTTGGATGCTGTTCTTAAGGAAAAAGTGTCTCAAGTTCTTCCAAAGGTTCTGTGGTGGATTCATGAAATGCGAGGGCATTATTTCAATCTAGAGTATGTTAAGCACCTACCTTTTGTCGCAGGTGCCATGATTGATTCACATACAACAGCAGAATACTGGAAGAATAGGACTCGAGAGCGTTTAGGGTATGCTTTTTTACTTCCACAACATTACTAAGTTTGTTGAATGTTAAGTTCTTGGGTTGAATAGGACTTGAGAGCGTTTAGGGTATGCTCTAATTTGTTTTGTGTTGAGTGCAATTTTGTGTGTTGTCTTGACTATTGGATTTATATTTTACCAACCGTTTTGAAGAGTTGTCTTTCTTTATCTAGTCTTGGGATTTCTAGCTAAACATACCTATAACTTCCACAAGTTCTATCTCCATCTAGTTTTGAGAAGAAAACTAACATGTAACCATCTGGTTGTTCACCAGTATTACAGCTTCAGTTTATTGGTGATTTTATTATGTATTATATGATTTGTGTAGGAAACAAGTGTAACCAAAGGTTAGCTTTGATAGAATTGTTACTACTCTCTCCTTTCAGTGACTGACAAAGAAAGTTGCTTAAGTAGACTAGCATACTAGTATTTATGCCAACTGCACCGGACTTCAAAGTCTTGTTTGGCTGTTAGTACACAACACTATAGCTACTCCCATTGGAAACCAATGTTGGCAATGTGCATAAACTTTTATGTGTTTGATAGTCAAACTCTGAGACAAATTCACGCTAATTCTTGCTATAGCTGTAGGGATGAGGGATATTTAAGTCGACATACTTTCCCTTTTGATCTTGATTTGCATTTTTCTATAATTCCAATATTTCATTGCAGTTCCATTAGTGTTTTGAACCCAATATTATTTGAACCTAATATGCATGTTAAATTTTGTGCTTTTCAGGATTAGAATGCCTGAAACGTATGTTGTACACCTTGGAAATAGTAAGGATATGATGGAAGTAGCTCAAGATAGTATTGCCAAAAGGGTTCTCCGTGAGCATGTGCGGGAATCTCTTGGAGTTCGGGATGAAGATCTACTCTTTGCCATCATAAATAGTATGTTCTCTCCTTGTTGGCAGGACAATAATTAATTGGGTCTAATTGCCTTAGACGCATGGGTTTTAGCTTAGGATTTATTTTTTTAATGCGTAATTTATCCCTCGGTTTTACTTTGCTATCTTCAGACTGTATTCTGGACTTATTGCAACTTTCTATGTGTTCTTTTGAGTGGACTAAAAATTTCAATTTTTTGTTATGCCAATTCAGTTAGCTGTTTGCTAGGATGCCATTATACTTTTCACTTTAAATTTTTTAAGCTTTACTCAATACATGATGCAGGTGTTTCACGAGGTAAAGGTCAAGATTTATTTCTTCGCTCCTTTTATGAAAGTCTGCAATTGATCCAAGAGAAGAAACTACAGGTGCCATCAATGCATGCGGTAGTAGTAGGCAGTGACATGAATGCTCAGACAAAGTTTGAAACAGAGCTGCGCAGCTTTGTCATAGAAAAAAAAATTCAAAATCGTGTTCACTTCGTCAATAAAACCCTGACTGTAGCTCCGTATCTGGCTTCTATTGATGTTCTTGTTCAGAACTCTCAGGTACTTCAACTAAGTTTTTATGCCAACTTGTGCAAAGAAGCAAATATTAATTATGTAGTTCTGTTTCTGGTCTTGTACAAGTTTTACCTACAAAGATGGCCTATATCAGATTTAAAAGAGCTAGGAGCATTAAGTAGACTGCTGAAATTCCTCTATTCAAAGAGAATTTTTTTTTATAGGAAACTTGATGAGTACATTAAAAGTATAAAGAAGTGCAAGAGCATACCAGATGTCCACTGAACTCGAACCTGTATGATAGAACATGGAAGCCACCTTTACTGTTTCATGAATTCTGTATGTCAAAGCTCATTTTGGTTTTTGATTCACTGCTAAAGCCTGAAGTTCTTACTCATGTGTAGGCCCGGGGAGAGTGCTTTGGTAGGATAACCATTGAAGCAATGGCTTTTCAGCTGCCCATATTGGTATGCCCCTTTTATTTAACAAAAATTATGTTTCCTGATCTGCCAGTTTTAATGTTTACGTCTGACAGACATAATATTTAAATAAATTGCTTTTGCCTTTTGGTGCTTAGTTTCGAAATTTTACTGAAAAGATTATGTTTGTACTAAGTCTCTCTATTTTGATTTTGTATCATTCACAAATATTCAGGGAACTGCGGCCGGAGGCACTATGGAGATTGTAGTGAACGGAACAACGGGCTTCTTACATCCAGCTGGTAAAGAAGGTGTGACTCCTCTTGCAAATAACATAGTGAAATTAGCCACACATGTAGAAAAGAGGCTGACAATGGGAAAGAAAGGATACGAGAGGGTGAAAGAGAGGTTCTTGGAACACCACATGTCGCAGAGAATTGCTTTTGTACTGAAGGAAGTGCTGCAATATGCAAAGACCCACTCTCATACTTAACTTTTTTCTGGAACTTTAGCATTTAGTTTGAGTTGTTTAAGTCAGCTGAAAGTCACACCGACAATTTCTTGTGTAAAATATGTAGCGGGAATTTCGTACAGAAAGCATTGAGTTCTTATAAGGTTATAATTCTTTGTACATGTAGGGAAATTTCGTACAGAAACATTGAGTAATCCTTATGTACACTAGTCATTTTGCCTCCACTGTTTTCATGATACCTGGACTAGAATCTACAATTCTTTTATAGAATTTCAGCGGTGGTTTTTCAATTGAAGACATGGTTTGATCTGATTCAATTGTTTTACCTGTGAAAATATGTACCGTAAAAATTTTACTTGTCATTTTGTCTTTGATTGTTTTAATCTAAATTAGGATCATTGTATGATTTAGGAAGACATTAATACATAAAAGTTTAGACAACTGGGTGAGAATCATTGTGAGATTTTATCGAAAGGTTTACAAGGATCTAATAACAACAATTTAATATGACATAAATTTTAGGAAGGGCTGGTACGGCTGGTCCAGCTGGATGAGGTAACTGTGCAAATTCGAAACCACAGGGGTTCAAGTGTTAGTTTTCGAGAATTCAGGGGCCCTAACGTGTGCTATTTTGAAAACGGAGAAGGGTAATTCAGTAAAATTAACCTATACTACACCCCTCCTCCAAGAAAGCATATACAGATAGAAAGCAAAGCAAATCGACCCCCGGTCCAAACCCATACTAAATTTCTCCTTCAAGAAAGCATATAGAAATAGCGAGAGGAGAAAAAAGCAACCTCAACACTTGTTTGATCTAACTATGAGCGGGGAGGGAGAAGATGCCGTACGCCGTCGTACTGCAGTCACCGAGTATCGGAAGAAATTGTTACAGCACAAAGAGATCGAGTCAAGAGTTCGATCTGGTAAGTCTCATAGTCGCATCTCCGAACATCTTCAAATCTATGACTTCCATGCGGTTCACCATTCATGTCATTGACTGTTTTGTTTGTTAGGGTTTCAGTCTGTTACTTTTTCCGAATGACTAATTTTATTTTTCTAGGGTTCGTGTGTAATTGCCGATTTGCGTAAAATTAGAGCAATATTTAAGTATCTTTTTTAGTTTGATGAGTTCAGTTGTACACTCCTTTGGCTTTGATTAATCTAATGGATATTTGAGAGGCAGCTTAATATCGTAATATTGCGAGAAGTCATTTCTTGTGACTGTGTTCCCGAAACACGCTCTTACCGTTTGAAAAACAATGGTAAATCAATATCCATTACGAAATTGCATACTGGGTTGTTCTGAGGTAGTTTTGTGAGTAATCAGTATGTGTGAAACACTAGAGGCATGTTTAAGGTGGTGGATGATATTGACATGGAAATATGTATGTGCAGTAAGGGAAAATCTTAGAACAGCCAAGAAGGAGTTCAACAAAACAGAAGATGATTTGAAATCTCTTCAAAGTGTCGGGCAGATCATTGGAGAAGTTCTCAGACCTCTTGACAATGAACGCTGTAAGTTGTGCCTGACTTTTAATTCTGTATTTGCTATCTTTGTCCTCTCAAATGTTGCATCTACATTTTGTTATTTGACTTCTGAGATATAGGAATAGCTGCTGTGCTTTAATAGGTCCCATTGTTGTATGAACAAACCACTTTCAGAATTTTTTTTCCTTGTGTAGAGAAATTGTGTCAGAATAGATCAACAGAAAAAGGAATATCTTTTATTTGATTTAGGAATGCATTATGTAACTTTCTGCTTTATCTTTTTTCTTGAGATGTTTATGTAGTTCCTTTAAGAATGCAAAAAAATGATTGCCTTTCCATGTTTCAGTGATTGTTAAAGCTAGCAGTGGTCCTCGGTATGTGGTTGGCTGCCGTAGCAAAGTGGATAAGGAGAAGTTGACTTCAGGAACAAGAGTGGTTCTTGATATGACAACACTCACAATCATGCGAGCTCTACCACGTGAAGTAAGTTATAATTTATTTATTTTTAAATGTGGGTTGCAATCTAAGGGGACAAATTAATAGTCAACCACATTAATGTTCATCTAAAATTCTAAGTCATCAAGTTCCTATGTGGATATTTAATCTAGCTTTGTTTATGGTAAAGAAAAGGGATATTGGTAGATCTGATGCCCATACATGGTATGATTTGGGATAACAGGTTGATCCAGTTGTTTATAACATGCTGCATGAAGATCCTGGCAATGTTAGCTATTCTGCTGTTGGTGGTTTATCTGATCAGATCAGAGAATTGAGGGAATCTATTGAGCTACCTCTCATGAATCCTGAGCTTTTTCTTAGAGTCGGAATTAAGCCTCCCAAGGTATATATTGTTTCTTTTCTTTGCCCTTATTCTCTATTTTGTACTATTTGCTCTCACAATGATAGTATTATAAGCCATATGTTGTGATGCTTGCCCTCTTAACTGTACTATTTCACATTGTCTGGTCTCCCAGGGTGTTCTTCTTTATGGGCCTCCTGGCACTGGCAAGACGTTGTTGGCAAGAGCAATTGCTAGTAATATAGATGCTAATTTTTTGAAGGTTAGATCTTGTTTCTGCATCCTGACATTTTGTTTCATTATTATGTGCAATGTTCCCTTGGAATTCTGATACATTCTATCTTCTGATATGATGTAGGTTGTTTCGAGTGCCATTATTGATAAATACATTGGCGAAAGTGCTAGGTTGATAAGAGAAATGTTTGGATATGCACGTGATCACCAAGTAAGAGCCCAGATTTTGTGAATACTTATTTTTCCCTTATATCATCTTTCCTGATTGTTTGATTTGTTTGAGCAGCCGTGCATCATTTTTATGGATGAAATTGATGCCATTGGTGGGCGACGTTTCAGTGAAGGTACTAGTGCTGACCGTGAAATTCAAAGAACACTGATGGAATTGCTTAACCAGCTTGATGGGTTTGATCAACTTGGCAAGGTATTTTCCTTGGTTTATGACATTGACTTGGATTTAAAGCATGCTTTCTAAGAGCCCCTGGTTCACAACCACCCAAGTTTTTTATGGTGGACACAGGTGTCCACAGAGGGAATGTGTAAGAAATCTTATAGTTCGTTCCCCAGCATCTGCATTCTCTGTCCTATGTGGGATATTTTGCATGTACTTGCAAAGACTTTGTTCGTTTTCTTATATGTGATTTATGGCAGTAGCTAGGTTGTGGAACCTTTTACTGATTCAGTCCTTTGCATCCATGCTTTTGATAAATTGTCATAGTTTATTGTAACGAAATGATTTTCACCAAAACTTTTTCCCAGTATGAGTATGTTTGAGTATATGTGTGTTTCCATTTGTTTAAAAACCGTTTTAATCTAGTGGATAAAAATTGATTATGTTAAAATTTCATTTTGTAGGTTAAAATGATAATGGCCACCAACCGACCTGATGTCCTTGACCCTGCACTTCTACGTCCAGGCCGTCTGGACAGGAAAATTGAAATCCCATTGCCAAATGAGCAGTCACGCATGGAAATCCTTAAAATTCATGCTGCAGGCATAGCCAAGCATGGTGAAATTGATTATGAAGCTGTAGTAAAGCTTGCAGAGGTGAGTAGGAGTGGCTTGTCTTTCTATCATTGGTTGCTTTATTACGACACACTGACTTATGCAATTACTTCAGGGGTTTAATGGAGCCGATCTCCGAAATGTATGTACTGAGGCTGGAATGTCTGCAATCCGTGCAGAGCGTGACTATGTGATCCATGAAGATTTCATGAAGGTAAGGCTCTGATTCTTTGGTTCTGATGAGCAATTTATGATACGGAAGGCCGGGATTCTTCCTGCAGTTTGTGCCAAATTGTTTGTATAAATTTTTCTGGAAGGAGAAAAATAATGACTATATATGTGGCCTTCAAAAATAATTCTGTGCTTAAGCATTGGCTCTGCGCTTGAACCATTTGCAGGCTGTCCGGAAGTTGAACGAGGCAAAGAAACTTGAATCAAGTGCACACTACAATACTGATTTCGGAAAAGAGTAAAAGACATTTTTGAAGCCAAGGATGTTTGGGCAGTGCGATTTCAGATGTAATTTTGCTTTCTGTTTTCGTTAAAATGCTACTATACCCTTTTTCTATTTAATGTAGTACCTTGGGTGATGTAATGCACTATATTTCAGCACAGTTTTTCACTATAAAGGATGGTGCACAACTGTATTTCTTAATCATTAATTAATTGCAGCTTAATACTCAACACAGTCCACTTGGGTGGTTGCAGTTAGCGGTGTTGTACTGGTCGGATGTCAAGTCACCCCTGAATTTATATATTAATTGGTGTCCATATTCCATAAAAGCTTTTTCTCTTTCTTCACCTGGCATGGCCTGGTGGCCATTGAAATTGAAAGTGAAACCTGAAACCTGTGTGGGACATTGCCCTATCACAGTTAAGAAACATTTATGAGTGAGGAAAAGTATATGTAAGGAATCTGGGTTCTCTATAAAGCTTTGGAGGATCAAAATAGCACATGGTACTTGTGTAATTTCACGGTTTGTGTTCATTTTATAATATTTTGCTGAATCTATCACTTAAGTATAATCAAAGCATATCGTTTTTGTTTCAAAATTTCTGAAGAAATTAATTACTGCTTTCAATAAATTTGTAACCCGAACATTGACCTCTACTGTTGGTTCGTGTTAGATTGCTTATTTGCTATTTCTTTTTTATTAGTCTTTTGGATTCAATACAGGTTTCTTTCCTCCCAAAAAAATCATTGGTGATTCATGTTGGTTGGCGGTTTGGAGGATTATTATATTTAATTTTGAAGACTTCTAAGACAAAAGAGAATGAAAGCATTGATGTGATATCAGGGCAGTTTGAACTGATTAATTCTTGCTCTTGAAAGTGTTTTTGCAACCCTTTGGGAAGGCTAGTCCCTTCACTCCCTTGCAATTTGCAAAGCATGTCCAGAGCAATGAATTATGCCCAGTTGTAATGAGTGTTGGAGAAACGTTTACTAGTTGGCATAGTTATTGCGAACGTGATTGTCATTTTCTTTTCAATCAATTATTGCTACTGCCAATTATCTAAATATAATTCAGTCCCCCAGATCTGTTGCCGGAAATTGAAGTTCAGCCTCAATTTAGCACTCTGACAATTTCACATTTTGGGGAAATACAATAATAACACATCTGGGGGAATACAAGGTTGAGTCCATCAAACAACTTTTTTGGATGTCCATTTGGCAAGCTTGTATCTCACCATCCTTGCTATTTTGTAGAACCAAAAAGTACTCACTAGCTGCAGTCCAACTGCCATTGCCTAAACGTCACAGCATAATGAATTAATATCTAACAAAGTTTGTTAGAAAGACGAGTCTTTAAGGAGTTGAATTTCATTACCTTGATTACGACTGGATTGTTGGCTGATACAGTTACGAAAGTGAGATAAGGCCCACATCCCATTCTTGCTAAAGAGAATATGGCTGCAAATAATAGCTGACCAATTCAACACAGCTAAAGTTAGTTTTTTTTTTTTTTTTTTTTCCTTTCAGATAGAGTCTTATAAAATTATGCTCAAAACTGCGATTGTGATTTGGGGTCTGGATACTAATCCCTTGTTTATAAAAGACTCGCAAAGATATGAATGATAAACAAGGTGTAGCTTGTGTTAACTTAAGTTCATGCCGTCTGGGCTTCAGAAAAATTAGGTAGGAAGGGTTCAATGTCCAAAGAAGTAGAGCTTACGTCGGCTATGAAATTAAGGCCAGTGTCCCTGTAACCGAGCTCTTTGAGAAGTTCTCTCAAGTGGAGGAAAGGGCTGGAGATCTCCGTTATCCATATTGCAGCTACCAACTCTGATCCGCACTATAAATGTAATATAGAATTAACAGTAACCCATGGAAAAGGTTCAAAAAAAGAACTTCAACCAAACAAACATACATGCCATATAAATTTAAGTTTGACATGGTAGATAAAGCTTTGTTGTTGGCAGTCTTAACACAAAGGGTACCTTTTCATATGCAAGGCCTGCTCCAAGTCCAACGATGCTGACCAAATGATGAACCATGTTGTCAAGATTATCTTTCTTGTCAAACAGGCAACAGACTAGATCATATATCATGTAAGCAACTGTTATAGCTAATGTTTGCATCTGCATGCCATGTTTTAAGATTTATCATCATGAAAATGCCATGCGACAGGGAATTAAATATAAGCTCTTAAAAGTAAAAAATTCCAGAACTCAGTATGGTGATTACCTGGCGAGGGGAAGATTTTGAAGCCAAAGGACAAACCGGGCATCTCCAATCTTCCACAGAGAGCAAGGCTAATGTTACAGCTAAAGTGGCGTGAATAGTAGAAACGAGACGATTGCAGAATTCAAAAGAACGTTTTGGTAAGATATTTCTAATTAACAGAAAAACTGTGGCCCATAAAACTACTCCCAATCCAACCAACTTTATATTGTAGTCATCCATAGAATCCAATTTCTGAGCAATGCCAAAACTAGGAGGAAATATGAAGAATAATCTGGGAACAAAAGGGAGCCGAGTTGATTTGACTAGAACAAGAAGAAATAGAATGGGTTATGGAGAAGCTGTTCTGGACAGGACAGCAATCTGTTTATAGTTGAACTTCATAAATGAGCTGTCAAAAAATAGGTGACTTACGTAGCCAAACTTAGCGGCTATGTATATGTTACAACGTGATTACCTACAATGCAGAATTAAATCTGTAAGATTCAACCCAAACTCTCAATTATAGTAATAAATATTAAATAATACATGTTTATATCGTCTCTCTTTATTTATTGCGTAATTAAATTTTGAATATAAAAAAAGCTGGTGGTTGCAGGTGACCAATAAGGTTCTTTTTGCTTGATCAATTATGCAAATTCAATTATTATTAATAATGTTGCTCAAGAACCGTGTGCTATCAACTAACTCAATTGTTAATTTATATTCTATTATTTTTTAAGCCATTTGATTAATCCATGATTAACAAGATTGTTATTTTCGGACAGAAATTAATTCACCAGGACAACTAAGCTAGGCCCGCGGCAGGCAATTCTGTAGTTGACTTGATTTAGATGTTTCAAATGACTTCAATACGGCTTGGAGATGAGTCATTATCCGACTTGTCATTTTGACAATTTAAAAACGTAAAAACGACATACCGTTCACTTTTTACTTACTGAAACGACTAATCAATCATTCACAAACATAATTACTTGATTTGATCTTTTTCGTAGTTGATTTTGAAGGTCATTTCCGCCAAACCAGTCCATCCGTGGGCCGTACGTTGACTATATCGGGTTTTGTCGATCCGATTTTTCTGATGGAGATTTGTAAATTACCGGCTCGATTTTCTGGTATTCCTTTACAATTCAGCGCTGTTGCAAGAACTCCTGGTCATACAAGAGCCCGTCGGTCAACGATTTTTCGGTGTTCAACTGTAACCGCCGCGTTTAGCAGTTCTCAAACGTACAAATTAGAGCGGTCTCAAGGCAAAATGTTTATTCTCGGCATGGGCTTTGTCGGACAAATCTTCGCACAAGAGCTCAAGAATGAAGGCTGGTAAAATTCATCTTCTCTTTTATTGTTTATATTTAAATTGAGCTTATATATATATTCTGTATTAATTGAAACTCACATTGACTTGATTAGGGTTGTGTCTGGGACTTGCACGACTGATATGAAGAAGGAGGAACTTCAAGAGAGGGGATTTGATGTTTACCTTTTCAATGCGAATGAACTTGAGTGAGTGTATTTTTTTATTTTTTATTTTAAAAATAATTGATCAAAATTAGCTATTTATTTTGTTTTTGTTATTGTTTCTCAGACTGAGGATTTTAGATTCTTTGAAACATTATTCTCATCTTCTTGTGTCTATTCCACCTGTTGTTGGTGTTGGTGATCCGGTATGCAAGAGTGTTTCATCAATTTGTGTTTAATTTTCCCCTAATGGTCACTCTCAGTTTGCTAGGCTGTCTGCCTCATAGTTTTCTTGTGAATTTGTAGATGCTTCAGCATGCAGAACTTTTACGAAGTACATTAGTGGATGGACATCTTCAGTGGCTTGGTTATTTGTCATCGACTGGTATGTATTAATTGTTGTTGCTTTCAAGCAAATATATGCATAATGTCATACATTTTAATATAAAAAAACATGAACATCTGTGGTTATGTATAAACTATCTTGGCGCATTGTTCTCTTATTTGGTTTGTGGACATATGTCCTAGTGTATGAGTATATTCAGTGACTTGGTTTATTATATACATGCATATACAATAGACGCAGTCTGAAAGTGAAACATCATCAAAATGATCATGTGAATTGTTGCTACTAGAAGTACTGTTTATCACTCTGGAGTTCTCATTAATCTTATTGTGTTGGACACTGGACTAAGAAATTGATTATTGCTTCTATCTGGCAGGTGTATATGGACATTGTGGTGGTGTGTGGGTAGATGAGGAGTAAGTGAGTGAATCTGATCCTTTCGGCATAAATTGTTGTGCTAAGCTGACATTATATCTTGCTAAAAAATAATTATTACCCTGTGACAGTTATCAGGCTAGTCCTACAACCGAGTTAGGTAAATTTAGGTTAGCTGCTGAGGAAAGATGGTTAAATCTTGCACATGATATTGGGCTCTCATCACAAGTATTTCGGCTTGGAGGTATCTATGGCCCTGGTAGAAGGTTGGAATCCATCTATGAGATACACCATATATGCTAGTTTTTCTTTGTGTTTGTATGTGTGGTGGTTAATAGTGAAGTATCGATAAATTGCTTAGTCATGCCAATCTAATTTCATAGTCTGTGTACATATTCTGATCTTTTTAGCTTTTGCTAACTGATCACTTAAATGTTTATTTTGGTCTATTGCCTGTGCTCAAAATGGAGCTAACATTTGGTTAATATTCTAAGAAACTATTTTTGCTTGCAGTGCTGTTGACACAATAGTTAGGCAGGTACCTCTGTCAGAAAGTCAGAAATTGAGAAGTTCCAGGAAATACACATCTAGAATTCATGTTGATGATATCTGTCAAGTACTGAAGGCCAGCATTCATAAACCGTCTTCTGGGTAAACTTCTAATGTCAATCTTTTTGATCCCAGTTCTGTTCTGTGCATTACTTTTTCGAGTTGTGAGATGCCAAGAGTGAACAATAGTTCAATAGAATTCTAAATATGCACTATTTTCACAACAGAATCTTCTAGTAGACTATCTGTTTTTCATAAATAAAAAATCTGTCAACCTGAAACTGAAGACCTCAAAATTTCTGAAGATGAAATTAAATGTTTCTTGTGTTTTGTGTGTGTCATCTTATGGCCACACATTTCATGGCTTGGGAATTAGTCTATAGTATGTTTTTAGTTGGTTGCATGCAGACACACATTAAGAGCATGCAGAAGCAAGGATATGTTTTCAATAACGATCTGTCATTCAATATACGTACAATTTGAGCATGTTCATCATTTTTTTTTTTTTTTTTTGGGGGTGTGTCTGCCTAATAAATTTACTGATATACCTGAAACAGGGAAATGGTTTTTACTTAACCCCTTAGGTTTCCCAATTTAGGAATATATACAATGTTGTTGATGATTACCCTGCTCCACGAGAAGAGGTATTTGCATATGCATTGGACTTGGTTGAGGAAAAGTGGCCTGGCAGATTCAAACAACGCACATCTGTGGAGGAAGCAGAACCATTTTGTACAAGGGGAAGTTCGAGGGGCGAGAAGCGAGTTTCTAATGCACGTATCAAGAAAGAATTAAGTGTAAGGCTTTTGCATCCAAGTTATAAATCAGGATTGCGGAGCATTATTGACCAAATGGAGAAGCCATATCAAAGCAGTCTCTTATGTTCATGAGTAATAACATCACCAAACAATTATCTCAATCATGCACGATAAAAAGCCTCTTTCTATCGGACAAAAAGAAATTTGACAATTGGGGATGCTATAGATGTATTGTATTTTGTAAGTGGCTGTACATATATCTATGTATTTAATATGATAAGTGAAATATCGACTAGTTTGGCACCTTGAAAAATAGAAATTAGTTGAAAAACTAAATCAATTGGATTGAAATAAGACTCTTAAATCGTTCAGAATGTTTATAGTTTTATACTGATTAAGTTGTGTTTTATTTTGTCCTTTTATATAGGTTTGTCTATAAGGTTATCAATTCAAAAGAGGTCATTATGGAAATCGACACTTATAGCATTCGTCAATATATTTATTAAGTGGGTTATTATATCCGACCTTGAGAAATAGTGAAATAAAAATTGCACTCACAATTTTTTAGAAGTATTGTATACCCCCTGAATTATCATTTACCCTTTGAGAAAGTATTGGAAACTCTCCTATGGCTATCAGGGATTATATATTACTTTTCAAAAATAGTAAGTGTATTTTATACTTCACCATCTTTCATGCTTAAATAAATCCCTTATTAAGATAATCACTTAAATGATGTTTAGAAAAACCGAAATCAGATGATTAGAAATACATTGATGATGTTTAAAAGATCAGCCAAGTCAGGATGGCCGAGTGGTCTAAGGCGCCAGACTCAAGTTCTGGTTCTCGAAAGAGAGCGTGGGTTCAAATCCCACTTCTGACAGCGTTTCAATTATCTAAATTTCATCTTACAATTTTCATTTGTCTATTGCTATTTTGCAGTAACATCCAGCACGAAGCCATCTGGCTATAATAATTTTCCTATTTTAGACATAAAATATCAAGAAAAACTTATCATATTCCTATCCCTACTGATGAACATAACGTGCCAGGTTGGGAACAATGCACTCAACCGTGATTAGTGGAGAAAATTAAATGCTACGTTTCTGTGTTTTAAATGTGCTTAGGTATACACGCTTTTCTATTTACNCAAGTCAGGATGGCCGAGTGGTCTAAGGCGCCAGACTCAAGTTCTGGTTCTCGAAAGAGAGCGTGGGTTCAAATCCCACTTCTGACAGCGTTTCAATTTTCTAAATTTCATTTTACAATTTTCATTTGTCTCTTGCTATTTTGCAGTAACATCCAGCACGAAGCCATCTGGCTATAATAATTTTACTATTTTAGACATAAAATATCAAGAAAAACTTATCATATTCCTATCCCTACTGATGAACATAACGTGCCAGGTTGGGAACAATGCACTCAACCGTGATTAGTGGAGAAAATTAAATGCTACGTTTCTGTGTTTTAAATGTGCTTAGGTATACACGCTTTTCTATTTACCTTTTTCTCTTCAAACTTCGAAGGCTTCATTGAGTGCATCGTATTCGTATATATGTCGCGGTTCATTGGAATTCATTTATGATATACGCATAAGCAATCAAAAGTAGGCAATATTTCATAGCATCTTCGCAAAATTCCTACATGTAAAATATTTCCAAATATCATCTACAGCTGAAAAAACAAATGACTTCATTTTTTTGTCTCTCTATCTCCCAAAAGCCCACTATAACATTCATTTTATTCCTGCAAGCCCCAAAAACTACACCATATTTCTGCCCTGCTACTAGGCCAACTGGCTATAAAAAATGGTTCAATTAGGACTCAAGTAATCGTGTGGGTCAATGACGAGTATCCTACAGAAGCCTGTTATACGATTACCTTGAAATAGAAAAGAGGAATCTATAATATTAAGGAACCCTGGATTTCAGATATCAAATGCATCACAGCCAGAATGTCTAATGGCAGCCTGCCTCAAGGTTCACAAAATAACCATATCACCAGCATTTCTGGGAAATCCTGAAAAGAGAAACATCTAAATTAATCCACAAAGCTATATACTTTTAAATAAAACATTTCAAATATAAAGATGCTAGAATGCAACAAAAGTGAAACAGAGATGCTCACCTAGTACCAGTTGAGGAGGTAACTCAATTTTTCCTATATCTGGCCCAAAAACTCTTCTTCTGGACTGAATCTTTCTCTGTTAGTGATCTATTCCACTTTGACCCAAGAGAAAAATGTCGCCGCAAGAAAGGCTTTGCAGAAGAGCTCCTTGTACTAGAACTGGCTTCTGTCTTGGAAAATTTTCCATCTTGTTTGACATCTTTTTGGTAATCAAAATTCTCTGAATCACAGTCAAGATAACTATCCACAACTCGGTTTCTAGATATCTTATGGTATTTTGTCTTTAATTCTGCTTCCGCTTTTAAAGCTTTTCTAGACATCTTTGAGACTTGCTTCTCTCCAACTGTACATATTGGGCAAGTTGGGTCATATCTGTCAGTGTCTGCTGCTGTCATAACCTCCAAACACTCAGCATGGTAAACATGTCCACAGACAAGCACAGAAACCACTGCGAGTTCATTGTGAACCGAAATTCTCTGGCTGCACCATGAAGATCTCTCTGTCAAGAGCTTTGAACATGCCCCACAAGTTTGCAGATCTATGGAGGGTGAACATGAGAACCTACTGCTGGATCCACTTATATTACCACGACCAGAGCTCAGATGTTCACTGTCAAAAGACCACCTCTCTCTTTGTGAAGAGGCCACAAGCTCGGAAAAAGTGCGCATGGACCACCCATCAGAAGAACCACCATATGATCCAGCAGTTAAGTCATTGCTGCACGTGGAAAGTACGAAAGAAGACCTTCCTTCAGATACTGGGTAATTATTAGGTGATTTCAATCCTAAGATTCGACTATCAGAAACCTGTCTCAACAGCCTGTGGCCAGGTGAACGGCGAGCCCTTCTAGATGGGGTTGAACTAGGAGGAAGTGGATGAGGATGGGTAGACAAAGGATCAGTTATTGGTGTAGAAAATGACGAAGGTATGGAAAATGAAAGCTTCTGTGTTGATGTATCAGCAATATTTGGTGATTCTTCCAAGCTCTTCACCTAATATATCAAAAGAGGCCAAGATGTATATTCATGGATAGAGAGAATAAAAATCACGGGAATCAGCGAGAATAAAAAAAAAAAAAAGAAGAGACACAAATACCATCCTGTGCTAACTCACCTCCTCAGGAAAATTACAAGCCATGGAACTCAATTCAGCAGAATAATTGCTTGCCATGGGTATGTCTGGACAAAGAATGTAAAAATACATCAAATAAACTACAATAAAATCAAACAAAACCGAGGTTGCATTCTATGAACCATATTACTTATGGCATCATACAATAAAATGGAAGTAGAGCAAGCGAAAGCATCATGAATCATACTATACTTGTGGAATCTCTTTATCCTAATTCATAGTTCTTTAACTAGTACAACAGAGTACTTTAACAGATTTAATCAAAACTAAACTAATTTTTTAAAATAGCCAACCAACCGCATGCAAGCTGTTGAAAGCAGGAAAAAACAAATCCCTAAATTATGTTGAAAGCAGGAAAAAACAAATCCCTAAATTATGTTGAAAGCAGGAAAAAACAAATCCCTAAATTATTCTTTCTTTATACTGCTGCCACGGAAAAGAAAAGGTTCAGGTACATTCTCAAATTATCTTATACACTAATATGACAATTATATTAACATGAGGCAATGCATTGAGGTCAATAAGATCTGTGATGAGACAAATGTTCTAAATGTACAAAATGTGAAATCTTTCTACAATGATCTCCAGAAATTAATCACAAAAATAGGGGAAAAAGAAAAGTGCATCCATTTGACTCCTATTTACACTTAACCCAAAAACGAAAAATAGTAATCTGAAAATCCTTGGTCCAACAGACAAAGTTGTCCAGACACCAGAGTGAGTAAGCTCAGGGGCAGCCAGAAAGGGTTTAGATACATGGTTGTATAGACAACAAAAAGTGTTTAGAACATATCCCCAAACCAGAATATCCATTTCTGAAGAATTTAAATTCAAATAATTAAACATGGTAAAACCATTTCTCCATGAATCAGTGATTTACGAGATTCTAGAATGGCATAAATCTAAAATATACACTTCTGTAAGAATTTAAATGCAAATAATCAAACATGGTTTTCCACGAAAAATTATAAACAGAGCCAATTACAAAATTTACCTGATGGTAGCGCAATAAAATTTGCACCCCTTTCTCCATGGACCAGTGATTTACAAGAGATGGGTGTTCCGGAATTCTCAAGGTTTCCCCCATCAGAAAGATTACCCCTTTCAGAACCTGATAATCCTTTTATTTCCCTGCTTGTGTTTGTGCTGACTCCATGAGACACTTGGTACGAAGAATCCTCAATTTCACCAGCCACACGCCTTTGATGATCCCAGCGAAAGCTCCATGTTGGCGAGCATGTGATGTTCCTACGTGAAGTTTCAGTTCCAGTTCCAGTTCTACTGGGGAGAGTTCCATCTCTAGCAGCAACACAGCAAGCCGACCCCATAATCGCTCATATACAGGAAGGCCTATCTAACGAGCTTGCATGAAATCAAGAGGTAGATGAAACCCCAACAGGAAGCAGTTACATAGAGATTACATCTACTATTTCCTGTCAAACAAATATGACAAAAATTAAAATGGTTTTCAGATTCCACCAAATTACAATTAAATTCATTTAACTTCAACTAAGAGCAAACTCAAATCACATCCCCAAACAAACAGTTAAATTAGTAATATTTCCATCAAAAGCAAAATGCATTTAAATCAATCCCAATTCATTAAATGAACAATTAAAACCATTTCCAATTAAGCAATAACAAAGCAGAGCTCATCCTCGAACGAGGAAAAGATAAAAAAAATAAAAACCCAAAAACTATACCCCGCATACAAGCTTATACGAACTATAAAATTGGCTGTGGGAAGTAAGGATAAATCTCGATTACAGTCCAAATCAAAAAAATTGAACATAATTTCGGACAAAATAGGAGTTTAAAATAGTCAGGCAACAGCTCACCCTTGCAAGGCAAGATATCGTGGTGACAGCGGAACTTTTTATAGCCGATAAAAAGTGAAATATGTTTCCAATTAGAAGGGCTTCGCTGGCTGTATTGTCTCACCGAGTTTTCGTGTGTCTCTCGCCTTTATCTTTACTTAATCTCTTCGTACCTGACAGGATCCCTTATCGCCGGTCGGTTTTTCTCGCTTCCTCTTTTTCTCTTTTCTTCTCTCGCGGAATCCACGACGAGGGTTCTTTAGGCAGCCGCAGTAGTGCCGCACCAACCCCAATTATATATGGGCCCTAGAGCCCCCCAAAAAATTTAAACTGGGCTGACCTGAAGTAATTATTAAGGGCCTCTGCAAAATTAAAATGAAGATGGGCCTGGGTTTGATATATTTGACCCAACTTTGGCCCGTGAAAACACTGACTCCGGCTAATTAGAAGTGAGATCTACTGCTAACAAAGATAGGATAGGCTATGAAACCGAGAGAGGACGGCGAGAAACCCTAGTGAATTCGCACAGTATCAGTTTAGGTGTCTCTCTTCATCAAATTTCAAGTCAAGGTAATTTCTTTATGTAATTTGAGTCCGGGAGATTTGATTAAGTTTTTTTTTTAAATTTTTTTTTTTTTTTTCATTTCTAAGAAAATAGAAGGCACTGACAACAGTGACAAGTTTGGAATTTTAAGCGAAGCTTCCTACTTTTTAATTGTAAGGGACAATATTGAAGAAATACGAAGCTCAAAAATGTCTGTTATGTGGTTTTTGATTGATTCTATATCACATGTTAATTCTGTGCACAAGGTTTATGAAGAACGAATTTAGAGGTCATTGTACAGAGGGATTTTTTAGATTTTTTTATTATCATTTTCTTTATTCTTTGTGCATTTCACCTTCTTTGTTTGTGCTCATAAGTCGGTTTGTAGTATGAGTTTTTATGGTAGAGACCTTTCTCTCATGCAACATGTTTGATAATTTGTGTTAGAGCAGTTAGCAAGGTGTATAAGATGCTCAATATAGTTTTTGGGTGCATTTGCTGTGATCTTATGTTGCTAATGAGTTGGTGCACAATGTTGATGATATCTAGTCATCATCTGTAACTTATCATCTGTAGAAGCCTTTTAAATATATAATTTGTGCCCTTGTGCTGGAAACGAATGGAATGTTGATCTTGATAATGTCATAATGGGCAATGTTCCATATTTTGGTATACATATTTCCTACATTCTTCTGAAATTGTTTTTCATATAGGTTTTGGCAATGATTCTAAATGGATGCACAATGCTTTCTGGTGGTGTCCTTATGAATTCTAAAGCATGTAAGCCAAAGCATAGTAGCTCCATTTTGGCAAGTGTGCCATGTTTGCCCCCTCATGCGACAACTTTAGGTTCCAGTAGTTCATGGGGACCTTATCAGTGGAAATCCTGGTCTTCTGGAGGTACGTCTATCCTTGTCCAGAGTTGTCTCTCATTTGTGACATTGTAAAGATTATCTCAAGTTGAACATTGAATTAGGCTTATCACAAAGCTGAACCTTCTTTTAGAAGGCATAAAATTTTATTCTATCCTGAGGATTCTGAAGTGCCCCAGAGCTTCAGACAAGTTGTTTTTATTTTAATTCATATTTTTGAACTGTAGGTGTTCCACTCTTGCACCTTTCTGCTGCATCAAGCCCACTTTTAAGTGGGGATCAAGGTAGTTTGTCATGCACAATCTCCTCCTTACCTAGGAGACGTAGATCTCATCTTTCACCTAGAGCTTCAAAGGATGTTCCATCCAGCTTCCGCTATCCTCCTATGACCAAGAAACCAAGGTGGTGGTGGAGGACTTTAGCATGCATCCCCTATTTAATGCCACTTCATGAGACGTGGATGTATGCAGAGACTGCGTATAACTTACACCCTTTTTTAGAAGATTTTGAAATGGTCACCTACCCATTCCTTGAAGCCCTTGGCACATTGCCAAGCTGGTTTTTGATGGCATACTTTTTTGTTGCATATCTTGGAGTGGTGAGGAGAAAAGAGTGGCCTCACTTTTTCAGATTTCATGTGGTAATGGGCATGCTATTGGAGATTGGCCTCCAGGTGATAGGGACTGTGAGCCGGTGGATGCCACTAGCAGTATACTGGGGTAAAGTGGGAATGCACTTTTGGACAATTATGGCATTTGGATTCCTTTTCACTGTTTTAGAGGCTATACGGTGTGCTCTTGCTGGTATGTATGCTGACATCCCTTTTGTGAGTGATGCTGCATATATCCAAATTCCATATGAATAGGGAGGTAGATTTGGGAGAATATTTTTGTTTTTCATTTTCTGGTGGTTCTATTGTATCGGGTCTTTTGAGCAGAAATGTATGAATTAATTTGAAAATTGCCTTGTACAAAGGTTTTAAATGTAATCGGTTATGTTTGTGCTTACCACTCATTTTCAGCTGCTCTTATGGTTATCCCTATGCCTCTAATGAATGTTGGGATGGCATGTGGCTAGGTTTAAAATTTTCTCTTTGTTTCTATATTCTTTGTAGATCAGCTTGCTTCCAAATGGTTTGATGTGTACCTCCTCATGTTTTTATTTAGGCATGTGGATGTGAGTGAAACCTAGATCTTCATTAGAGATATCAAATATGTTATGTAGTCCCAACAATCCTGAAGTCCTTTGATATTTTATGTTCTCAGATTTTACAAAATATACAAGGTGCAATTGATGATGAATACTTTAGAGTTTGATTTCCAATATCTTTCCCAATTTTTTTTTTTGTTTTTTTTCTTTCTTATCGTACACACACTATGGTTTTTACATTAGTAATTATAATACCCGTATATCAAATCCAAGTTTATCTGCTCATTTGGCATTAAAACGACAACCAAGCCTGGGCAACTAAAGTAAACGAGAACAGCTCCTAGCTTTTATCAGTTTATGTTTGGAAATATCACTATGCATTACTGTCAATCTTGATTGCCTTAACAGAAGAACTGTATGATACACCGATTCCAGTGGAGCCTTTGTCATGCAAACAAGATTTGGCTGTAGGCAATTGACGTGCTTACGTTTTGAGTATGATAAAGGAAATGAAAGCATCAAATAATGAAAATGGTAAGAGGTCATTTCCCAATTCCCCCACATGAGTAATGTTTGTTTGTAGCCCAACTTCCCGCCTTGATGATTTGATATTTTAGTTATAATAACTTAACAAAATATGAGTAATGTTTGTCGACAAGGAAACCCAACTTACATTTGAATATGATTCGAGATGATGCAATTAGCACCTACTGAATATTGTTTGAATTAACGTGGTGTTTTCTTTGCCCTCAATTATTTGGTTTATTTTATACAATTGGGTGGGCACTGGGCAGGTCATTTTAGTCTCACATCATACTCCCTGTTGCCTTTCATACTGCAGGCCACTGTGAAAAAGCAAAAGTTCACATAAATTTTAAGTGTTTATTGAATTGGTTTATTGTCTTTGATAGCCTCAACTCAAAATAAGATGGGAAAAACAAAGCACCTTCTGAATAGTATGAGATCTTGAATCTGGCATGTAAAAGCTCAATTTACTTGCAGTTGCCTTACTAATGTCGCCTCATTGGAAACTTCAAATCTGAACTTTCTACAGTAAATCTTAATTTGCAGAGGATAATGCTAGCTTGAACCAGTGCACTCTTCCTACAGTAAATTTTATATTAATAATAAGACACTCACTTCTAATCAAACACACTGCACTCTTCTGCAATTATTTACTTGCATTTAAAGCTACTGACTCTGCATTAAATTAAAACAGAGAAAATGACACCAATTTCTCAACTGGATGCTACCCTTTTTCTATTAATGATCGGCCATTTGATTTCATCATCTTCTAATTAAAATATTATTCATCTTGGAACCTTTTTTTAGCATGAAATTGAGATCAGGACACTGAAAGGGAGTGGTGACAGATGATTATATAGCATATTTCCTTCCCCTTGGAGATATTGCTCTTTTATTAAATGAATTGCCTTACCTAAATTCCCCATCTTCATGCCTGCTTTCTATGGCTCTCGTTAATTGGCCTGCTCTCCTTTCCCATTTCCTCCATTGTTTAAGTGGGAACATTTTTATATTCTTACTTATCACACCACCCTTTGCAATTTGTTTAAAATATTTTGATTACATCCTACATTGCTTCAAGGAAAAGAGATCCTTCAAAGTAAGCCTTACACTCTTCTTGTACTTTGAACCAAGACTTTTGGTCAGTCAAGCACATCTCTGAAGTGCTTGGTATGTAAGAAAATTTTCAAAAAATTGTTATTGGTTGAACGTGCCTAATAGTGGGTTTCACAGCCCACAATGAGCCCACTTTTCCAAACTTATGGTGCTTACAGATTCTATTCCTACACCTTCTATATCTTGACCAATTTTTCTCTGTTCTTTTCTTCAGTAAGCTGCTAAAGGATCAATTAGTAGCTATTGCGAGTCTCTGGAAGTGAACCAAAGCACGACCACCACTCAACACAATTAATAACAATAGATGGTCAGTTTTGATTCAATGTCATTTCCATTATTACCGCAGACCTAGTTGTTGTATATATGGAGGTAGTTGGCATTGAAAAATGCATTGACTAGAGGTAACATGTGGGAAATGCATTGAACCTAGGCAAATTATTTGGTACACTTTTTGGTACAGCAATAAAAAATCAAGAGCAGACAAGAGAAGAATGCGATCATCTTTGTCTTTCTTCCGTGATATAATTAAACTTATCATAATCTCGTAAAAATTTTATTGACAAAGAAATCGATATGCAGCTGGTTCTGCATAGACCATCGTGCCGGTATCCCATCAAAACTGGCGTATGCATACAACCACCATTGGCATTTTGATTCTAGGATTAATGGAGATGCCGTATATATTGTTGAATTAATTTGTAATTTAATGGTATTATATTATCCGTGAAATCCAGAGTTGATAATTTTATTATTTAGAAAATGTCAACAAAAACTAATGCCTCCATCCCACTTAGCTCATCCTCATATAATTATTATTCTTTGACTTTCTTATAAGTTTATTTGATTAGCCAAAGTTTTCATGGAGTCAAAAGCCATCCATTATGAAGAAAACAATTTTATGTTACGTTATGTAAGGTAATGTAAAAATTAAATACACTTAAAAGCTTCAAGCATAAGGGTTTAAGAATAGTTTCGTAAGGTTAGCCGGCAGCTTTGACTATCAAATTTTCGTTTCACCGTTTAACACACCAAAGAAAGATGAGAAGACCAGTAGGAGGCCTGGCTAGCTGTTTCTTTTTGAAGGAGAGAGGCCAGTCCCTGGGAAACATCCTTTTCGTTAATCATTATTAAGTCCACCAACTCTGTTATATATACATATGGATTTAAGAGATGTTAATTGGTTGGACCTGAAAAAGTTGAGTACAAAAAAAGAATACCACGGCAATTATAGGATTTGTTTTTGCATAGAGGTGGAAGCAATCATAGAATAAGAAAATGTGTAGAGACAAAATAGAGAACGCCACACAGTATTGATGGAAACTAATATAATCCACATACTCAAACTTGATTAACAGAAAGACCCCCAATACATCCAGACCCCTTCACACCATATTTATAGTGGACACATTACAAAAGCCAAGTACCCATTAAATAATCCCTTGCACCAAACAGACCCAATACATTTTTTTTTTTTTTTTGGTTTCTCTTAGCATTTGCCATTTTCTCATATTCATACTGCTTAACCCTAGGTGCTACCACACGTCTAGAACTAATATTATAATAGTAATTGGAATACAAGACAATTTTTTCCCATCCACTCATTAAGACCATAAACAAATACCACCAACAAAAGGAACAAAGACAACGATAAATTGGACCCATATGATGATGATCATCATCAATACTGAAACATATCTGCAGATGCCATGATGGGTTGGTTTAGATAGATCAAATTCATTGGGTTCATTAAGCTGTCTGATGCAATTGAGGTAAGATCCAGATCAGCCTCGGCCTCAAAAGTTGCATTATTTGCGTTGATGAAATTGAGGATTTCATTTAGAGACTCAAGTCTATGGCTGAGTTCCATTAACTGAGCCCTCAAAATGGAGTTCTCAGACTCAAGATTCATGAAGTGCTGATTGGTGATATTGATGCCTGTAAGGATTTGGTTATTATCATTCCTTAGCTGAGTTACTTGGGACATTAAATCATCCAAGTGCTTCTGTTTTCTCATCCTGGATCTTCTGGCTGATTCTCGATTTGATTGCATTCTCTTTCTTTTTCTTTGATCCATCAGAAGCTGCAGATCCTCTTCAGACCCAGCGTTCTGACGCAGAGAGGAACCTGAGGAATTCCCACTAGAGGAAGCCATAATAATAGTATATTTACACCAAAACACAAAACCAAGACACCAATAGAAAACTAAGACTTTAGAATTGGCTTAACCTGATAGATCAAAAAGATACAGGACCAATTACTCACTAATAATTATATTCAGCTAATTCAGACAGTTATTATGTATATATATGTATATATATATATATGCTCTGAAAAAATAACTCTCAGGAAGAAAGATTATTTATGAAAACACATAGAACCAATAGAGGAACACAACAGAGAAAGATTGAACAAGATGGGTCCTGCGTCTGAGAGAGGAATTGATCATAAACCCTGAACGGAGGATTTCACTTACAACTGGAGACATGAATCTCAAACATCAAAAACAAGATATTCAGCATCAAGATTTACAGGGGGGAAAAGAAAGCTCTCGTTTTGGGCAGAGTAACAGAACAGATACAGATCCAGCAAAAAAATTGCTGTAAAAACGGCAGGGTTTGACTTTATGGGGTTTTGGTATAAAACCAGAAGCCAAGAAAGCCAAAGGGATATCAAGAAAACCTGAAAACAAGAAAAAGAGCCGTGTTTTTAGAGCGGCGGAACCTCAGCCCTTGAAACTAGAAAAACAAAAGAAAGAGAAACCGGCTGAGCTTAAGATGAAAAACTTAAAGGAGGAAGAGAAGAGAAGGAGGAAGAGGTTTTTGAGAATATTGAGAGTGCAATTTATAGAAAAAGAACGTAAAAAATAAGAATTAAAAAAATAATAAAAGTAACGAGCATAGGAATCTCCTCTGAAGAGTTGTTGGGTGAAGAGGTGATTGGGCATGTGGGGTGAAGACGAAATTTCCACTACCTTTCAATTCCAGCTGGTGACCAAGACTCGCACAATTTAAATATTATTATTTATATTTTATTATTACCTCACTTTCACGTTTCTTTTCACCGTTTTGCTGTTATTTTTTCCTCACTTTTACCGCCAGTACCAGGATTAACCGTCAAGTGGCGCCCAACAGACAGTCAGAAGGAATCTTCAGGATGGAGGTGGCACGTTAAACTAAGACAAGGGTAGTTTGGACATTTAAGTCAAATATACATAGTTAAGTTAAGCCAAGTCTAACCAACTTTAACCAGGTGTCATCAAATGATTGGCTTAAAAAACAAAGGAAAAGTTAGGGGAAATGGGTTAAGAATATAATGATGGTTGATGATTAAATCATCCAAAAAGATAATTAATTTAAAAGCTAATAATTTCTCACTTTGACCTCTCATTTCAAAGCATCACCCTTGAATTATTGTAATTTGTAATTACTGCATGTCTGTACTCGGTCAATCAACTCTTTAAAATTAATCTACTTCAGTTGTTGGATCAGATAAAAGATTTATCCATTCAAGATAATAATACAACTTCAAAAATCCAGAAGATGGTTAGTTTTATATTTAAATATTTTAATGGAGCTGTGTTAATCTGGTAGCAAACTGAATAAAGGTAATTGATAATGATCATCTAAGCAGCCGCAAAAAATAGTCGTAAACGCAGCCAATTAATTAACTAGCTGTGCTAATCTAATCATCTTTCCATTTGACCATTTTGTTTCAGCCGCCTCGATTAATCCAGCGGCTTCCACCATTTATAGTTTCCGATGGTCCATAGGGACCATTTATTAAAACTCATGAAGATCTTTTTTGGGTCTAATTAAAGTGGAGCATGAAAAGTTAACCTATGATAAAAACAGGAATAAGCCTTTAGAATTAGAACATTACCGGGTTGAGGAATCCGGAAAAGAAAACCGATAAATAATAGGTAGATTTACTGTTTGGCAATATTTATTTCATCCTGTTTAACTCTTTTGCCTAGATCAATGCTATGGGTGATTGTTCTGTGGAATCCAACAACAGTTAGCCCATCATATTAATAATTTTTCACTGTGATCATAATATAAAACCAATACGTAATTGGAGTATGTTTGTGTTTTTAATCAATCTTAATTGGTGCAGTAGTTGAAATGCTTTACCCTCTGCATGAAGATACCATAATCAACAATATTGCGCTTTAGAATATTCGATAATATTTATAGCAATAGCACTGACAAAGGGAAAAAGATAAGCAGTAATTAAATAGAGAGTACCAAATGGAAGGAGGAAGGAGAGAGAGAAACAGAAATTCTTGAAATATGAATACGGTGGGAAAGAAATTTTGGTGGGGGATAGGAAGATTTTCAGTAAAGTTGATGATATTCGGGGCCAAAGAAAACTTATTGGTTCATATACATATATACACATCTTTCTTGCTTTTGATGTAGAGTGAGAACCAAACTTTTTGACTTATATGTTATTGGATATTTTTTTCTTCCCTTCCAGTATAAGAAAAAAGTAAGAAGGATTATTGACATCCCCTCCATCTCATAAAAGTAAAAGAAAAGGGAGAAAAGACATCAATGATGCTACTCCATCACCATTTACTATGATCATCCCTTTGTAATTTATATTGTGAATCAATTCTTACAACTTGAAATTTGGCTGATCTTGATTTCTCACTCAGCATCTTCCTGATGGTGACCACTAATGACCCTCCTCCAAGCACCTAAACAATAGAACTATTCAAAACATTAACTCATAGATTTATACCTGGGAAATTTTTGTACTCTCATTCAATGCATCCACCAAACATTACTGGACTATATGTTAATTATAGAGATCCCATTTCAATAAAAAAACATAAAACAAGGCTTCTCTCTATTCAGTATTCACCCCAATTATTGTTCATGCAGGGACTATAAAGTCTTGGAATAGATTACTTACTATTAAAGTACTGTTGAAGTACACGGTGATTTTAAGATGAATTGACTAATGTGGTCCATAGATCTAAGATAGTAACAGAACAAAGGAAGTGCGGGGAAGCTGAGTCAGAATGTTAACAAAATGATGGAAAAAGATGTTTTTTTCGTGTACATATTGGTAGAGCTAATCAACAGAAGAATACGTTGTGCTTTCAGAAGGTGAGGTCTATTTGACAAGACCCTAAGCTAGAGTAGGGCATTTTTTTTAAAGTTATTTTCTTCGTCGGTGATTATTTCAGAAATTCATTGAAGTTACTTGACGTTGGGGTCCCAAGTTGCTTAGCTACTTGGTGTTTTAATGGCGGATCCATACAACTCATGCCTGCATGTATTGCACATTCAATTTGTTTGGTCCTTTTCTCTTGATGGGAGGTGGGGGAGTGGAGTGGCCAAAAGCACAAATTGCATCAATTTAGGATAAGAAAGATGCTCGGAAAGCTTGTTTCATTGTTCCTTCACTCTCTAACATAACATTTAGAAAAAGAATGTCCAACAAATTAAGGTTTAACTTGTATATATAACATGGCCAAAATATGTCTCTTCTCCTTTAAGTCACAAACAAATTATTTAATGATCGCAGGCTCACCGTGTACAATTTAGAGGCAGCCTCAGAGCTATAGGTTTGCATTATAGTCTCGTCATTTTGTACCAAAACGTAATGCCTTAACTGCCCATGTTAGCATATAATTAAATTTTTGTAATTTTTTTTTTTTTTTTTTTTTAAGCTCGCATAGATGTTAAATGCAACCAACTATATTTATCAAAAAGTAAAGCTGACCTAACATTAAGATTTAAGATGAATATATTAAGGTAGTTTCCAACTGGTCATTTGTCTCGTTCTAAGACCTCATAATATCTAATTATTCCCAATTGTTTGTTAAGCTATGACATCATTTTGGTTTAGGCATGCAAACCTGCTTCATCACTTATTCTATCCAACAATTACATAAAAATTGGTGCTATGAGCTGTTCAAAATCTTGTGAAAGGAAATTGCTACTACAATTTCTTATGAGATCAGTTCGGAACATTGGCATCCGCCAATTCAATGCAAAAGGCAAGAGAGTAAACAAAAATAACAGTTGATAAACTGATAAAAGCCACTGAAATGAGCATATAGTTTTCGTGTCGAAATTACTCAACAGAGCTCCCCTATCAATTTGAAGAGCAAGAAAACAGAAAAATGTTTCTATCACAACTAATTAAAGTGTCCCCGTGACAAAAACTATGAGAGCGAGCTATAGACAGGTGGCTTGGATCTTGCGGTGCTAATGGAATATATACTCCTTTCAAAGTTACCTGCAGCTTACTGTTTCTCGATGTCACCCTTCACCTCACACCATCTAGAAGAATGAATTTTACCCTAAGATTTTCTTTTGCCCCCACGAATAATATTCCCCGAAAATGTTATTATAACCATTTTGAAGGAACACGATGACAAAGGAAAATTTGTATTCGTGTCAGTTTATAGCATCTTAAATTTAGAAATGCTTAATTTGAGAGGTAACATCTAAATTTAGAATATGAAAAACGAGTGATTCCAAACTCTTGATTGCTGCTTTACTTTTCTTAATTATATAATTTATACCATTTATTCATCAGTAAGCATAGAGAGTGAGGGGAGCACAAGAAAAAGTAGTAGTGGTCGGTCTTGTAGGGTCTCACAGTGTCCTATATTTAAACTGTAGCTCCAGGAAAAAAAAAAAAAAAAAAAAAAAAGAGGCGTATATATGATCAGCTTTTGCAAAAAGGTCGGTTCAGAACAAGTGGTTGGAGAGTGATATTAATTTAAGTATTTTCTGAGCAATGATTTTCACATGTTATTCTTTTTCTTCTTTTCCCAGTTTCTTTGGTAAACTTTTATAATTCGTGGTCACAGATATTTTCTTTAGACATTCATCTGAGATCGAGGTTGCCAGTGGCCCAGTGCTTCCTTTGTTTGATTAATAAAGGGTACAAGTACAACCATCTCCACAACAATTTTGCCTTTAATTTTTACGACTTTGGTAATCCTATTCCTCACAAATTCGTCAAGTCTTCATCAGATCAGACCTATCACTGAACTCTAAGGTTAAATGTATAAAAACATTATTGATCAAACATTCATGATTTTGATCAGCTATTCTGCACGTACGTAGAACTAATAATAACTCTAATAATTATTTGTACATATTTATATTAATGATTGAAGAATAGTTCAGCAACAAGCTTTAGTATCTTAGTGATCATCACTAGCCTTGGTCAAGACGTACGTTGATTGCTTTGTTGAAGGATTGGGCTACTGAAACTGCATATATTTTAAGTACATGTACAGCCATGTGCCTCTAACGTGCATGGCAAAAGCATCCTATCAACTATTAAGCTTTAGTTAGCTTTAATCTCTTTACGCATCCAGCATCTCAAAGAGAGACAGAGATATCTCTAAAAGGAGATAGGGTTTCCTCCTGGGACTCAGTCGTGCATGGAGAAATAATGTAAAAGTAACTATTAAGCACTAGATCTCTCCCTGCGGTCTTTGTGCTTTAGTCCATTTACGTACTATCTCGTATGTCTAGGTTTCAATATCCATGCCACAGATATTGATCCCTTCCTTGCCAAGGCAAACCTCCTGTGAACTTTTCCAGTTTAAAGTGTATAATTCACATGTAAACATATGAATTTATATATCCTGTAAATATCCAATAATCTCTCTCTGAATAAAATTTTGTTTTTTTTGTTTTTTTTGTTTTTTTTTTTGTTTGGGCAAAAGCAATGAACATTATAGCAGTTCAATGATTTGATTGAAGAATATAAAAGAAGTACTGGAGGTCAAGAAAAAAGGAGTGTAGTTGAAACACAAAACAAGTCATAAGAATATAGAAATAACAATAA